AAACTAGTTTCTACTGTTTTGCTTGTGTTTTTATATGCAGTAATCTGCCTGGAACCTTCTTTTGAAGGCATTATGCAAATTCTAAGATGTAAAAAAACAATAAAATAAATTTAATAAATACCCAGGATGGACACACATACAGAGGTATGTAAACCATTTTCTGAAATGGTGCAGGAAAGCAATCCCAAAGCCATTTTGACTCTCTTAAATGACCCCAAATATTTCTCTGCTGTAGAAGGACGTATCTGGGGGAGAATAACTTTCCAAATAGTTATTTTTCACTTGTAAATCCTGTAAATAAATAAACTGCTTGGAATGGAACCTCTGCAAATCCGGTTTGGCAAGTATCTGTTAAGCAGGAGATGTAAAATGGAGATGTAATATGGACAATGCTTCTTTGAAACACATATTTTTAACAATGTCCCACGCTAAGTTTTGGGAGAAAGAGTTGCATTGTATAAATAACACGTTACGGAGGAATTTAAGATTTTCAAATATGAACATTCTTTTGAACTATATACCTATTGTATGGAAAGTGAAAACGGAACAGTGAAAATGGATTCTACGTGCCATAATGGTGGCTAAGAAATTGATATTGATGAACTGGAGGAATAGAGATATGATTCCCCTTAATCAACGGCTTGACAATATGACAGCATTAGCAACATTTGAACAGACTGCGTATAGACACAGACTTTCTTTGGATGGATATAATGATATATGAAATGACTTTACACAGAATATATTAAGTTATTGATAAAAATATTTGTACTAGGCTAATAAGACTATACACATCTGTATACAACATACGGAAATGTAATTGAGTATTTTTCTTTTATTTCTATTTTCATTCATGTTTTTCTTTTCTTATTCTTTTTCATCACTCTTTTTATAAACAAAATTATTCTAATAAAATACTAATTTAAAAAAGCAGAGCAGACTGTCAATAGAGCATCTTCTGTGTATCAGTAGGTACAAATTTGTGAACGGGAGCCAGGAACTAACGTATTTACCTAGGGTTGCCATATTTCAAAAGGTAAAAAGTAGGACACTCCGAAATTTGTTGTGCTTTTAAAGACAAACCTCAAACGCCAAAAAAAGGGTGACCCAGACTGGTCAAGATAGGGCAATCAGCAAACATTATCAGATATCTTCACAGACGTGAGACAAACTACACTCTCAAATTTATGTTGTAGACCACCTCTTTCTGTGACACGTGTATGATGCTTTTGCGGTGGTCCTTGGCTAAGGAGCTGGACAGTTTCTAAAGTCTTTAAAAGGTTTTGCACACTTTTGTTCTGGGTCCTCACCTTCTGGGGGGTGGGTAGATTCTGTTGCAATAGAATAATAAAGATCTGCCTTGCTTTCACTGGATCCTAGCTTAGCTCATTCTTCTCTGACCGATAACAACCTTGGAGGACTCTGAATCCCTTAATGTAAAAGCTCCCCCCCCCCTTAATTTCCCTATTTTCTGGTAACAAAGAGCAGACAAATCATCCATTTTACTTTTTCCCAATATCTCTGTACTCATTGTATCCTTGTTATATGGAAGGCAGAATAACTAATCATTCTCAGTTGTGGTTTCAGGAGGATTTTCAGACTCGCTTCAAATTTTAAGCTGATCAGACCGCAAATACTCATGCTTTGGATGTTCCTAAATTTCAAACGGCTGAAAATTCAGAGCAGGCATTTAGGTTTGCTGTGAAAACATCTAGCCATCCAGAAATGAAAATGATAGTTTGTACATAGTACAGTGGTACCTTGGTTTACAACTATACAGTGGTACCTTGGGTTAAGAACTTAATTTGTTCTGGAGGTCCGTTCTTAACCTGAAACTGTTCTTAACCTGAGGTACCACTTTAGCTAATGGGGCCTCGTTGCCACCATGCCGCCGTCATGTGATTTCTGTTCTCATCCTGAAGCAAAGTTCTTAACCCGAGGTACTATTTCTGGGTTAGCAGAGTCTGTAACCTGAAGCATCTGTAACCTGAAGCATCTGTAACCTGAGGTACCACTGCAATCCGTTCCAGAAGTCCGTTTGTAAACCCAAACAGGTTGTAACCCAAGGTGCACTTTCACCAATGGGGCCTCCAAATTTTTTTTGTTTGTAATCCCCCCCCCACCAAAGGGGGTTGTAATCCAAAAAAAGGTTGTAAACCGGGACATGCACTTCTGGGTTTGATGTGTTTGTAATCCAAAATGTATGCAAACCAAGATGTACGCAAATCATGGTACCACTGTACGATAATAGTTTGCAGCTGAGTGCTCAGTGTACTTCACAGCCAGTTAGTGCAGATGATACCCAATTAGAATTGTAGCATTAGAAGGGACCCTGAAGATCATCTGATCCCACCCCCTGCAATGCAAAAATATGCAGCTGTTCCATACAGGGATCGAACCTGCAAGCTGGGCATTGTCAGCACCACACTCTAACCAACTGAGCTATCCAAGCTGATGGACCAATGGTCTGACTCACTATGTTGTTGCTCTGAACACAGAACTCAGAGGTTTCTTTAAAGCCCTTGAACACAGAGAGATAGGAGGATCTTTTGGGTCACTCTAGGAATGAAGAGGGTGGGGGAGCGAACATTAAGAAATCTGTGTGCAGATGTAAATGTTTACCCTGTTGCTTTCATTCCCTCCTCAAGCTGTTGCCTGAGAAGGGTCAAAGTACCATCATATTTTACGGATTATGTCAATTATTAGAGGACACTGGCATCCAATACTTGGCCACACACCTTTTTGCTGTGGAAGTGCATGCCAAGGCAATTCAAGACCCTCAGTGCGTATGATGTTCTCCAAGCAATAGCTGCCACAACTGCTTTGAAGACAGAGGTGCCCTGAAAAGCGACAGAGCCCCATGAAGAATCCCTTTCTCCTAAAAACCTTTCGCTCCAGTTCCTGACCTACCAGAATTCTCAGGTTAGTGCTCTCCCCAGATGGGCCTAAATCCCCAACTACATTTGAACAGCAAAAATGGCACTGAAAAACTGCATTTTATCCAGCAGATGTTGAATGAGCATTTCTCTTTCTTCCTCTTCATTTATGGCATGGGTGGTAAAGTCCTCCAAACGTTCTTAGACTACAACCCCCTATAACCCTAGCTAACTTGGGCAATGGTCAAGGATAATAGGAGTTGTTGTTCAGCAACATCGGGCTGATCAACAGTGTGAACTGGCAGTGAACTGGCAGTGTGGTGTAGTGGTTCAAGTGCCAGACTAGGATTTGGGAGGCCAGGGTTAAATCCCTACTCAGCCATGAAGCTTATTCAATGTCATAAAAACATAAGTGTGTGTGTGTGTGTGTGTGTATAGTATTTGCATTTGTATATTTACATATATAGTATTTGTCTAAACCACTGAGCCTAGGGCTTACCAATCAGAAGGTCGCGGTTTGAGTCCCCATGACGATGTGAGCTCCCATTGCTTGGTCCCTGCTTCTGCCAGTTCCAAAGCACGACAAGTGCAAGTAGATAAATAGGCGGGAAAGTAAACAGTGTTTCTGTGTGCTGCTCTGGTTCGCCAGAAGCGGCTTAGTCATGCTGGCCACATGACCCGGGAAGCTGTATGCCGGCTCCCTTGGACAATAAAGCGAGATGAGCGCCGCAACCCCAGAGTCGTCCGCGACTGGACCTAATGGTCAGGGGTCCCTTTACTTTTACCCTTTAATATACAAATACACACACAAACTTCTGTAAATATATGTGTATGTGTGAATAGTTCTGTTATCAACTCACTTACATTGTCAATTCAATAAAAAAGAGTGGGAGGAAATAACAACAACAACAACAATTGTGGGATGAACAAATTGTTTAATGGGAAGATGTCTAAACAAATCAGGATGTGTGCTCATTGTCATATAACCTCTCCAACACATCAGAACAAATGCTAATGGCTGGGCATAGTATCACCTCTCTGTAAGCTTTGTCCAAACAAATCAGGATGACTACTTGATAAACAGGTCATCTGAAGCAGCTCAGTAAATCCAGATCTCCCTGACTCACACCCCTGCCTTAGGCAAGTACTGTATCTTTCCTTCCATCAATGCATGGTCTGCAACAAGAGAACAATTGTGCTAATCTTCCTTAAAAGGTTGTTGTAAAGATGACAATGGCTGCCATTATTTGGAATTGTATTTATTCTTCTGCGCCACGCTTTTTTTTCTTGTAGATTGGTGACCCAAAGGAATATTTTAATTTTTTTAGCGCTAACGTCATTGCAAGGTTTAATTCTTCCACCATGAAAACTTTACTGAAATCACAGATTCTCAGATCGTTCTGGATACTTCGACTGCATCACCGATGGTTCCACAGGCACAACAGGTTCCTCGGCTCTCCCATTTTTGCTCAGTATGAAGCTCAAAGCCAAGGAGAGCAGCAGCTACCTGAGTATTTTAACTTTGCAAGTGACGTATTGGATAAATGGTCACAGATCGAGAAGGTAGAATTTACTTTCCTTCTACAGATGAAGTGGCTCCTTCTAAATTAATATCTGATTGTGTCCTTTTTTGAAAAACAGTTAACGTGTGTGTGTGTGTGTGTGTGTGTATTTCTAGAAAAATATATATACACACATATGATGCTTTGATGCCAACTTCTAAATAGTGAGCACCTCCAAACCATCAGAAATTTGTTTCAAGTACATACAACAAAATTTAGGTTTGCACAACTAAAGTGGATTAAAACGCTCTATCATCCCAGCACAACAAATCCACTTTTAAAAATAATTGAACCTTTTACGTTTAAGAAAATTATGGAGGAATGCATTAAAAAGTGAGGAGTGAGCAAATGATTAATGGGCAGATGTATAAACACCCCACAGACAAATCAGGTATAATGCTCTTTGGTGTACAAACCCACCCCCACCAGATTGCAACAGACATTGAGTAAAGACCAGATACAATCTAGCCTCCACATAAGCTTTATGTAAGCAAATAAGGATAAAGGCGGCTGCTAGACTGCTGACTGGGAGTGGCCACCGAGACCATATAACACCAGTCCTGAAAGATCTTCATTGGCTCCCAGTACGTTTCTGAGCACAATTCAAAGTGTTGGTGCTGACCTTTCAAGCCCTAAAGAGCCTCGGTCTTGTATACCTGAAGGAGCGTCTCCACCCCCACCATCCAGCCCGGACACTGAGGTCCAGCTCCAAGGGCCTTCTGGCGGTTCCCTCGCTGCAAGAAATGAGGTTACAGGGAACCAGGCAGAGGGCCTTCTTGGTTGTGGCGGCTGCCATATGGAACGCCCTCCCAGCAGATGTCAAGGCAATAAACTACTATTTTACTTTTAAAAGACACCTGAAGGGAAGTTTTTAATGTCTGACGCTGTATTGTTTTTGATATTTGGTTGGAAGCCACCCAGAGTGGCTGGGGAGACCCAGTCAGATGGGCGGGGTATAAATAATAAATTATTATTTTTATATTATTATAACAGGCTGCCTGGAGGAGCCCAGTAATAAGTTTCATCCACACACCCTCCAAGCCTGATCTGGAATTGACGTGGTCATCACATACCCCTCAACTGTCCCGCTTAAATCAGGACATCCCATTTTGGGGGGCTTTGCTTGCGCATGAGGACACGGCCCCCTTAAACACACAAGAGCATGGTACCTAAAAACACGATAGATCACAGTGCCCAGAAACATACATTTCAAATAAACACGGTCAGCCCTCAGGCTGAAAAAAGGACCCCCGCCCCTGCTAAATCAGGTCTATAAACAAAACAAACTTTTCCTTTTCTTTTCTTTTAACGCATCTGCATTTATTTTGCAGGAAGGAAAAAGACCTTCTAACCCAGCTCTATGGTGGATAAATGGAAGAGGGGGTGAAGTAAGGTGGAGCTTTGAGGAGTTGGGAGTCCTGTCCAGGAAAGTGGCCAATATACTCTCCAACCAATGTGGGCTATGCAAAGGAGACAGAGTTTTGGTTATCCTGCCCCGAATCCCAGAATGGTGGTTGGTGACCGTGGCTTGTATAAGGACAGGTCAATAAAAATAGCCGAACGTAATACCGCAGGGATGGTGAACCTGTGACTCTTCCGGTGTTGTTAGACTCCAAATCCCATCAGCCTCAGCCAGTATGGCCAATGTTCAGGGATGATGGGACCTGGAGTCTTGCAACCACAGAACCAGAAGGCCACAAGTTCCCGATCCTTGAAATACAGCCTTTCTTGGAACTGTCTTGAACTACAACTTCCATCACCCCCAGCCAAAACTTCCAATGGTCAAGGATGATGGGAGTTGTAGTGCAAGACATCAGGAAGGCATCATGTTGGGGGGGGACAGCTCTTGGTGGCGACCCACAAGTTGGAACAATAAAGCAAATGTGGGCACTTTCTGGCCCTCCAGATGTTACTAAACTACAACTTCCATCCGCCCTAGAAAGAAGGGTCAATGGTGAGGCACGATTGGAGTTGTAGTTTAGTAATATCTGGTGGGCCAATGGTTCCCCCACAGCTGCCATAAAATGGTGGTCAGGAGACTCCATGCCATGGGCCAGATTAGACCCACCAGGCAGAGGCATAGGAAGGTCAGGTGGTACCTGGTGCAGAACATTTCTTGTCACACACACCCCACATTGATTTTATTTTTTTTGCCTGCAAAAATGGTTTTATGTTATTTCATATTTTCTTACAAAGGAATGTGGATTCTGAGCCTCTGATAACAAGCAGGCGACTATGGACAGATACTTAAATCTACAGGATGGATTGTGTTTTGGCTTGCGTTATTTTATTTATATTTATTGTTTATTCATTTAATAAAATTTATTTTTAAAAACCTGCAAAGTGGTTTACCAAAACAAACAAACAAAAAACACCACAGCAGTAAAATCAAGAAAAATTAACAATCCTACTTTAAAACATACAAAAGCTAAAATATTAAGATTAAAATTCTTCAACTTCCTAAGATCTAGGTATGCTTGCCTAAAGAAGAATGCTTTCAGCAGGTGCCCGAAAAGAGTCTAGCAAAGGCATGTGCTTTGTTGAAATTTCAGCCTTCACAACATAGGAAAATGGCCAAGTAAACAGCTATTTTCGTGGAGGAGGCTCAAGATATTAACTGATATGCATGAAATTTCATATGTAGCTATATAATCCCTAGTGTAGTAATGTAGGACTTTTGGAGCAGGCTTTTTTTTTAAAAGGTTTTTTATGAACTGCCCTAGTAGGGCAGTAATTGTTCCTTGATAATTTGTCACCCCCTCCATGATGGCACATGGGGCAGCCCTCCTTCCTACGCCCCTGCCACCAGGCCTCTCCATTTGGCCCAGAAGCATTTGAGTCTCCAAAACTCCTACAACACAGATCCACCGGTCATTAAAAAGAACATTGCTCTTCTTGTAGGAATCACCCTTATGCCTGGAATATCCCAGTTAACAGCAAAAGACATTCAGCACAGACTTCAGGCATCGAAGGCCAAGTGTATTATCACCACAGACGCTTTGGCCCCTGCAGTGGATTCCATTGCAGACAGTTGCAACTTCCTGCAAACCAAGCTGGTGGTATCTGAAGGCCCAAGGGATGGGTGGCTGAATTTCAAAGAACTCTGCAAGTGAGTATCCCTCATTGTGCTTCACCCAACAACACAGGGGTGGAGAACCTTCTGGGCCAGGGGACCAAATGCAGCCCTCCAAGCCTCCCTGGTTAGCCCTTGAGACTTTCCTCAGGCCATAGCCATTTTCCAGGCATACATTCTCTCAGTGCTTTTTTCCCCTAGAAAAAAAAGGGTGCTGGTATTCACCGTGAAGTTATTACAGTAAGTGCCACACTTTTTAACAACAAAAAAGAGGTGCCAGTACTGCATACCCTTGAGTAAAGGTAAAGGTAAAGGGATCCCTGACCATTAGGTCCAGTCGTGGCCGACTCTGGGGTTGCGCCACTCATCTCGCTTTACTGGCCAAGGGAGCCGGCGTACAGCTTCCGGGTCAATTGGCCAGCATGACTAAGCCACTTCTGGCGAACAAGAGCAGCGCACGGAAACGCTGTTTACCTTCCCGCTGGAGTGGTACCTATTTATCTACTTGCACTTTGTCGTGCTTTCAAACTGCTAGGTTGGCAGGAGCTGGGACCGAGCAACGGGAGCTCACTCCGTCACAGGGATTCGAACCCCCGACCTTCTAATCAGCAGGTCCTAGGCTCTGTGGTTTAATCCACAGCGCCACCCGCGTCCCAATACCCTTGAGTACCCCCTGAAAACAACAACATGGCTTTCTCTCCCCAGACCACCCCCCTCTCAGGCCCTGCTTTGCAGCCTCCTTGGGTGTTTGTGCCTGACTGGAAAGCGTCCCTGAGCTCTGTTAAGGCTTCTTGCGTAGATAGAGGCTAAATCTGGGTATGTGATTGTGGGTGGAAAGTGGCCTCTTGCATTTGTGATTGGAGTTACTTTAACTATTGTGGCTTTCTGTGTTACACAGAGAGGCTCCCGACAGCCATACTTGTGTGAGAACAAAGATCCATGATCCAATGGTCATTTACTTCACCAGTGGAACAACAGGGGCTCCAAAGATGGCTGAGCATTCCCAAGGAAGTCTTGGCTTTCGGCCCATCGCCCACAAAAGGTATCAAATAGAGCCGAAGCAAAAATGTACTGAGAAAAGGTCTTGAGGTTTTCTATTTCTCCTCACCAAAGAAGGTTACTTTGCAACATTTTCTCCATATATTCTCCACCATTTTGTGAGGCAGTTTCCATTTCCCATCAGCCCCCATTCCACAATTCCCCAGAAATGCATTATGAGGGATACAAAATGGCGGCCAGGATGCCAACACAGTTGTTGCTGCTGCCAACAGTAATACTGAGACCCACCCCTGAGAAACTCATGAAGAACTTCACTCTCACTCACCCCCAGCCAATCTTCCCTCAATTTCTCTTGGCACAAGTTCAGGGTCCAGCATCACAGAGTCAGGCAAGGCAAGGCAGGGCAAAGTCCAGTTTTCAGGAAGACAGAGGAGGGTCAAGCAAGGCAAAGTGAAGTCCAGCTTATGGTGAAGCAAGGCAACTTGGTAAGTTAAAGTGCAGCAAAGTAAGATAGGCATTTGGGAATGCAGAACAGCCTTGTGGAGCACTGAAGGCAGAGACGCATTCATGCAATTCATGTCTCAGACTGCACACCTAAATGTGAATGCAGCAGAACACCAGGCACAATTTCTGGGCGGTACCTGATCAGCATTAATCTAAGGGGGGGGGGCTCCTTAGGCTTTCCAAAATGGGGGCAGAGACCCTAGTAGATCAGGGTTGCAAACTTTGAAGGGTACAAATGTATTTAATAAATATAATAATAATAATAATAATAATAATAATAATAATAATAATACCAAACAGTACAATGCCAGCCGCTGAGCATAATCTTCAAGGCCCTTATTGCATGCTTGAATTGCCTGTTGCCATTTTCTTTCCTCTGTTATATCAGATACTGGCTGGATTTGACCCCTGCTGACATTATGTGGTCCACTGCAGATACAGGATGGGTGGTGGCTTCTCTGGGATCTGTTTTCGAACCATGGGCTTTGGGTTCCTGCGTCTTCATACACAGCCTGCAGCAAATAGAATCAACAATTATCCTGAATGTAAGATTCTTGCTCCTGTCTCTTCAAACATTCTACCTGATTTTTCTCTATAATGGCAGCTTGTCCGTGGCTGGGATTACATTAGAAGTGGAGGAACAGTAATGAGACTGATTGTTTTTTAACATTGTGACTAATTGCTATTGTCTCTGAGCCTGTGGAATAGGTTGGGATTTATGCCCACTTAAGGTTAATCAGACCACAATTGCTCTTGTTTTACTTAGGGATGGAGGAGAATGTTTGTCCTGAGGGATTAGAGATAAATTCAAAATAAATTCAGTTTGCATTTCAAGATAAAGCTACCTAATTCACACTTTCTGAAACAATACGAGAACCGAGACATGAGAGCCTTCTTCAAATATCTGAAGGACTGTCAATGGAAGATGGCGCTAGCTTGTTTTCTGCCACATGCAGCCCTCTCAGTCTGGCCTTTGGGGTTCTCCCCAAACTACAACCCTCGCTAGACTTGCAATGTACTCTCCTTGGGTGTTTTTGTCCGGATAGACTGTGTCCTTGAACTCTGATAATGCTTTTCATTTGGAGACTAGAGAGTGTGTAGAACTAAGCCCTCTGTTCAAGGGTAAAATTAACATTGGTTGCTCCGCCCACTTTCCCCTCAGGCCCCACCCACCATGGGCATGTGGCCCTCAAAAGGTCACAAAGAAGAGAGAGTGACCCTCAGCCTGAAAAAAGTTCCCCACCCCCCTAGTTTAGCACTACTGTGCATCAGCCAATTTGTGAGATGAACCAAGACAGTTAATATAAAACTCAGTTGATCAAGACATTGGGTTGGATCAGATTGTGTTGTTCTTGCACAACCTTTGCCTTTTTTATGTGCTAGACTCTGTCCCGGTTTCCCATCACCACCATCCTGGGTCCTCCAACCTTGTTCCGCATGTTGGCACAGAGCGATCTCACCAGGTACCTTGAATACGATTGTTTCAGAATGGATTTGCTGCATGCGTCCAGACTCAGTGATGTCAGTGATGTTATTGAAGCTCTAGTTTGAAATACAAACCTTAGCATCTTGCCCTACTTGTTTCCAATACCAGACAAACGTTACATTCCAAGAATTACAATTGCAATTTGAGAGGAAGAGAAGAACTTCTACCTCTAATTCTGGTATCTGGAGTGGTAGCAGCAGGAAGGGGTGTGGTTCTTGCTCTTTCCCCTTGGTGGTGCCTTGGGCACTAGGGAGCCTGGGAAATGTGTTTTTCCCAAGGCACCCAATAGCTTCAGTTTAGACCTCCCAGACACTTGTGCCCCTGCCATAACAGCATTCAGGGTGCCAGAGAGAGGGAGGAAGAGGGAGGAAAATCTCACGGCCTGGCACTACCATGGTCACAGCTGCCTTTGCTAAGTCAGGTGAATGACAAGCGGGAAGTGCAAAGGTTTATTGATGCGGTTTGGAAGGCTTACACAAATTGGATAAGGACCCAGTTGTGTTCCTAATGATGTCATCAGGAGCAAAGTAGGCCAAGCTGGATTCCAAATGAAGAGTATATCTGTACACATACTCATGGCTCAGGATGGAGACACACAACTATATTTAGATACTGATGCAGTGATCCTTTTTTTCCAGTGGCCTGAAGGTGTGTTGAGACCACATTTCACCATAGTCTTAAATACCATCAAAGCAGTATCTGGGACATCGGGAAGCGTGGGAAATGTGCATTTCCTAGGGTGCCCAATAACTTCTGTGCAACATGTTCTGGGTACTCAGAAGGGGCTCTCTAGAAAGTGCCTATCTAGGCCTGCCCGCTAGATGCCAGTGCTTGCACCAGCCACACTCCTGGACAACACATATGTTGGGATATATGGGGGTGGGGTGAGCCAGGTGTGCTCTAGAGATACCCCCTTCACCTATTCCGTACCCACAGCCACCAAATGACTGAATAGAGTTCATGTTCTTTCCCCATGAAGTGTAACTCCCAACAACCTGCCAGGCCTTGTTGATGAACACCACCCCCCCTTTGAACTGTGCGTTTCTAAGATGCTGCATAAAATGTCCTTGGGGGTTCTCTTATTTTGTTCACCCACATTCAGTTATAAGTTCATGAGTCTGCAGTACTGCTTAAGTGGAGGGGAACCTCTGAATCCTGAAGTGATGGAGCAGTGGAAGAGCATGACAGGACTGCAGATCTATGATCTCTATGGACAGACGGAAACAGTAGGTGCTCCTGTGTATTCTTACGCTTTCAATGATCTTTTAAGATGGAGATAGGGGACCTCAAACACATGGGCCAAGGTGGATGCCAAGCCTCACTATCTGGCCCTCAGGATTCTTCTCATGCCATATCCCTCCCCAGCCACACCCCGTCTCCCCAGGTCATGACCTTCACTGATCCCCTGCTTTGCACCCAAATTTAGTGTTTTCACTGGGTAAATAAATAGTTGTCATTGAACTCACATAAAATGCTTCTTCCTTGCCTAAAAGGAGGATTCTGGGTATTGTGAGTATCTGTCAGCTTTCCCCACCTCTGCACCTTCAGCTCATGTTCTGGGCCAAGCTGATTGTCTTTAAGCATCACCAATTTGCCTCCCGAGAAATGGGTTTCAACAGATGGGCTAAAAAGAGTAGTGAGGTATTTTGGGTTCAGGCCCAACTTCTGCACCTAGCAGTGACATCCCCTGCTATTTATTGAAACCTAGGGCAGATCTATGGGATGCGGGTGACGCTGTGGGTTAAACCACAGAGCCTAGGACTTGCTGATCAGAAGGTCGGCGGTTCGAATCCCCGTGACAGAATGAGCTCCCTGCTCCTGCCAACCTAGCAGTTCGAAAGCACGTCAAAGTGCAAGTAGATAAATAGGTACCACTCTGGTGGGAAGGTAAACGGTGTTTCCGTGCACTGCTCTGGTTCGCCAGAAGCGGCTTAGTCATGCTGGCCACATGACCCGGAAGCTGTACACCGGCTCCCTCGGCCAATAAAGCGAGATGAGCGCCACAACCTCAGAGTCGGTCACGACTGGACCTAATGGTCAGGGGTCCCTTTACCTTTACCTTTAGGGCAGATCTACACTCATGATTTATAACGTTAAGGAAGGTTTAAGGAACGGTTATCATAACATATTTGGACATACTACGTTTTGCTTTTAATAATGCGTTATTAAAATGAGACACCATCGGGCGTTGCAGAGCAACCAGGAACCGGGCAATAGGGAAACTGCTTTGTTATGAAGGAAACAAGGTAAGGAACATTTTTATTTTAGCAGTATGCCCTGTGACGTTTTAGAACAATATATCTAATAGTTTAGTGTAGACCTGGCCCTAGTCAAACGTTGTAAAGCTACAGAAACTTGGGAATGTGCCATTTGAAATCCTTGCGAGTCACTTCAGTGTAAACGTGCAGAAGATCAAGATGCAAAGATATCAAAAGCTGTTGGGGAAATGCCATATAGTCCCTTTTGAAACAATATAACAATCTTCTTTTAAACAGGGTGCGATTTGTGCGGTTAAAAAAGGGATGAAAATTAAACCCGGTTCAATGGGAAAGGCATGTGCACCATATCAAGTCAAGGTGAGTGGTTCCTATTTTTCTAGCTCCTATCCATTTTTAAATGACAGCCAGCGAAGGTTGGTCCATTAGGGAAAATGGGGCACTGCACTACCAATGTCAGTCCGCCTTCAGCCAACACCCTCCCCCCGCAGCTGCCTATCTGCCTACTTACAACCAGTCTCAGAGTCGCCCCAGCTGCCAGCTTCCCCCTTCCTCCTTAGTCTCAGTGTTGCCCTTGTAAAACTCAACAAGGAAGAATGTGGAGACAAAACTAAAATTAGTTCACTTTGCCAGTCATTTGGTTCTACCTACTGCTGGCCTCATTGCTTTCTGCCACACTAATCCGAATGGGCAGATCCTGAAGCTGAGACTCCAATACTTTGGCCACCTCATGAGAAGAGAAGACTCCCTGGAAAAGACCCTGATGTTGGGAAAGATGGAGGGCACAAGGAGAAGGGGATGACAGAGGACGAGATGGTTGAATAGTGTTCTCGAGGCTACTAACATGGGTTTGGCCAGGCTGCGGGAGGCAGTGGAAGACAGGAGGGCCTGGCGTGCTCTGGTCCATGGGGTCACGAAGAGTAGGACACGACTAAACGACTAAACAACAACAACAACAATCCCAATGGGCACCAGCTGAAACCACAGAGTACAGCTGTTGTGACACACCAGAATGGAGGATACTTGATGCTGTGGTCTAAACCACTGAGCCTCTTGGGCTTGCTGATCAGAAGGTCGACAGTTCGAATCCCCGTGACGGAGTGAGCTCCCGTTGCTGTGTCCCAGCTTCTGCCAACCTAACAGTTCAAAAGCAAGCCAGTGCAAGTAGATAAATAGGTACCACTGCGGCGGGAAGGTAAATGGCATTTCCATGCACCCTGGCTTCCGCCACGGTGCACCAGAAGCAGTTTAGTCCTGCTGGCCACATGACCCGGAAACCTGTCAGTGGACAAACAGCAGATCCTTCGGCTTGAAAGTGAGATGAGTGCCGCAACCCCATACTTGCCTTTGATTGATCTTAACTGTCCGGGGGTCCTTTACCTTTACCTTTACCTTTACCTTTACCTTTACCTTTACTTTTCTTCTAGATCATAGATGAAGAAGCAAATGTTCTGCCACCTGGGAAAGAAGGAGAAATAGGCATCAGAGTGAAGCCCCAAAGACCCCTTGGTTTCTTCTCTCGCTATGTAGTAAGAAGCCTTCTGGAGAACTCCATTGATTTTTGTGTGGCATATGAAGGGACACCATAATTAGAAAGTCTGGGTGAATCCACACAGCTTTGTTCCCTTTGGTTCAACTCAGGTTTATTCTGCATTTCAATCACTACCGCCCCAGAATCGGGGGGGGGGGTGGAGTTCCCAAGCGAAACTTGGAAGGAGTTGCAGATTTGTGTCTTTATTTACATATAAAATAATATTCATATACCATCCATCCAAATAAAATATCAAAACAGTGGACAGCATGCTTTGTATATGTCCGTCTAATACAGAATAAAGGCAATACAAACGAAACATTAAAGTGACTGGCTCACCTTGAGGAAATTCTAACAAATGCATAGGCCTGTTGGCATCAAAAGATCCTCAACAGCAATTAGCAGTAGGAGAGAAATTAGATTCAGTTTTCATTTGAAGCTGAATTTGTCAAATCTGCCCTTTCCAATATATACCGGTATACGTCTCTGTGTGTGTGAACAGATCTGTCCTTCAAAATTTGCACCTCTCTGAATTTCGTTTGCATTTTTTATTTATTTTTATTTATTTTTTATTTATTTTTCATTTGCATTTTATTTATTTATTTTTAAATTTGCATGCCACCCTTCCTCTGTAGATCTCAGAGTGGCTCACAGCATAAAAATGCAAGATGAAAACACAAAATACATAATAAAAACAAGAACAAAGCAAAACAATAACACCTCTCCCTCCAAGCCCCTCCTACAAGCACATTAAAAAGGATATAGGATATTAGTAAGGCTATTTTTCTAGATAAAGAGGTACCAGAACTCACCATGATCCTTGTTCTCTTAGAATGGCAATGATGCCCACCTGAGAGGTGCCGGAACTGAGTTCCAGTGAGTTCCAGCTGGAAAAATAGCCCCAAATGTTAGTCGGCCACAAACCTGGCTGGAGATATGCTATGCAGTTTGCCAACCAACCAATATTACATAAATGCATATATTAGGGGACACTGTGCATGAAAACAAACATACTGATGAAACACAGTTGTGTTTGGCTTAACCACCATTCATCTTCTCATTGAACTCTGGGAACTGTAGTTCTGTGAGGGGGATAGGGAATAGGGACCTCCTAGGATTTGCCGATCAGAAGGTTGGCGGTTCGAATCCCCGCAACAGGGTGAGCTCCCGTTGCTTGGTCCCTGCTCCTGTCAACCTAGCAGTTCGAAAGCACGTCAAAGTGCAAGTAGATAAATAGGTACCGCTCTGGCAGGAAGGTAAATGATGTTTCCATGTGCTGCTCTGGTTCGCCAGAAGCGGCTTAGTCATGCTGGCCACATGACCCAGAAGCTGTACACCGGCTCCCTCGGCCAATAAAGCGAGATGAGCGCCGCAACCCCAGAGTCAGCCACGACTGGACCTAATGGTCAGGGATCCATCCCTTTACCTTTACCTAACCTTCTGTCAGCACCCTTAACAAACCAGAGTTCTCAGTCAGTGTAGAGACAATACTGAACCAAATGGACCAATGTTCTGACTCCGGGTAAGGCAGCTTCTGATGCTCCTATAACTCTGCAGTCCTGGGGAAAAATGTCCCTGTAGCTAATTCCCCCTTTCTGAACTGTTTCCATTAGGATAACCCAGAGAAAACAGCTGCAACAGAACGAGGGGATTTTTACCTTACTGGGGACAGAGGACTGATGGATAAAGATGGATACTTTTGGTTTATTGGGAGAGCTGATGATGTCATCAATTCTTCAGGGTTGGTTTGTTCTCTTCCTTTCCTAATTATTGTGTGCTACTGTAGCTCTTTGAACCCGGATGCTTCAGGATCCCCAAACTAACTTGCATTGGCACAAACATGATTCTAATCAGCCAGTGCTCTGTAGCCGCTGGATGTTGGACGAAGATCTGGGAGACCTTCAACCAATCACAGGCTTGCAGGCTGATCTACTTCACAGGGTTGTTGCGAAGCTAACATGCGGAGGGGTGAATGATACTTTGAGTCCCTCAGAGGAGAGTTAAAGGAGATGTTATGATTATCTAGAGTAGTAGCAGTTGTGATTCAGCTCCCAGAGCAGAGGTTCCCTGTCTGTGATTCATTGTTTTCTGCAACTTATACTAGTTTTCAGCTGTTAGCTGTAAGCTTCTTTATACGTAAGATGTCTGTGTTTTCACCCCCGGTTCCAACAAATGCAACTAATCTACTCATCCTTCTCATCTGCAAAATAAACATTGTTCAGGTTAAGAGACATTTCCGTGCGGGGTATCTTTCCTCCTACAATTTCATTGTTGCATTATTATTATTATTATTATGTCAATTTCTTAGGTATCGCATTGGACCATTTGAAATAGAAAGCGCCCTTTTGGAACATCCAGCGGTAGCAGAAGCCGCAGCTGTCAGCAGCCCAGACCCGCTCAGAGGAGAGGTAACAATTGCAGAAAGAGCATCTGTCCAGCAGGGCTGGGGAACCTGTGGCTCTCCAGGTTTCACTGGACTGCAACTCCCATAATCCCAGGCTATTGGTCCTGCTGCCTGGGGCTAAGAGAGCTAGTATGCTGCAGTGGTTAGAGTTGTGTAGTGCTCAGACTAAATCCTGGGAGACCAGGGTTCAAACCTGCCACACAGCCATGAAGCTCACCGGGTACCCTTGGGCCTGTCACTGCTGCTCAGTCTAACGTCCCTCACACGGTTGATCAATAAATGTTTTGTTTATAAAACAAGTATGTTTCCAAGCACAATTCAAAGCACTGGTGCTGACCTTTAAAGCCCCAATCTGCCTTGACCCTGTAGACTTGGAGGAGCATCTCCACCCACAATCGTTCCACCTGAACACTAAGGTCCAGCTCTGAGGGCCTTCTGGTGCTTCCCTCACTGCAGGTAGTGAAGCTACAGGGAACCAGGCAGAAGGCCTTCTCGGTAGTGACACCCACCCTGTGGAATGCCCTCCCACCCGATGCTAAGGAGATAAGTAACTATATGACTTTTAGGAGACATCTGAAGGCAGCCCTGGAGAGGGAAGTTTTCAGTGGTTGATGTTTTATTGTTTTTTTAATATTTTGTTGGGAGCTGCTCAGAGTGGCTGGGGCAACCCAGTCAGATGGGTGACATAATGTTGTTGTTGTTGTTGTTGTTGTTGTTGTTGTTGCTGTTGCTGTTGCTGTTACTGTATTATTATTATTATTTGGGACACGGGTGGCACTGTGGTCTAAACCACTGAGACTAGGGCTTGCCGATTGGAAGGTTGGCGGTTCAAATCCCCACGACGGGGTGAGCTCCTGTTGCTCGGTCCCAGCTCCTGCCAACCTAGCAGTTTGAAAGCATGTCCGTGCAAGTAGATAAATAGGTACTGCTCCGGTGGGAAGGTAAACAGTGTTTCCGTGAGCTGCTTTGGTTTCCCCAGAAGTGGCTTAGTCATGCTGGCCACATGACCCGGAAAAACTGTCTGCGGACAAACGTCGTCTCCCTCAGCCAGTAAAGCAAGATGAGCGCCGCAACCCCAGAGTAGTTTGCGACTGGACGTAACTGTCAGGGATCCTTTACCTTTTATTATTATTAGTAGTAGTAGCAGTAGCAGTAGTAGTAAGAGCCCTTTCTGGAACAGGCCAATAGTCCACCTAATCCCGCATCCTGTTATCCCAGTGCCTTCTGTGGGATACTCACATGCAGGACATCCAGAATATGTGAGGAGGGGAGGCTTTAGAGGGGTTTGTGCAGGGTGTGTGGTAGGGGTGTTGGTGACTAGAGTGAGCAGGGGCACAGCCCCCTGTGTGTGTGTGTTTGTGTGTGTGTATGTGTGTGTGTGTGTGTGAGAGAGAGAGAGAGAGAGAGAGAGAGAGAGAGAGAGAGAGAGATTGTCTTTGCTTATATGCCAACTCTGTCTTTTAGGTGGTGAAAGCATTTGTGGTCCTGTCCCCAGCCTACACACTCCAAGACAAGGAAAAATTAACACTCCAGTTGCAGGAGCACGTCAAGAAAGTTACTGCTCCATACAAATATCCAAGGAAGGCAAGTATTACCATGGAATATAGAGATGTTTAGAGATAGTGGTGCTGGAGAGAGCGGTGTTGTAAGCTCAGGAATAACATACTCGCCCCACACCAAAAAAGAGAGATATGAAAGGTCACTAGTCATATTTTCTATACCATAATGATGCCTCTGATCTTTTAAGAAATGAAGGCACACCAGTTACTTTGGAATCTAATCACCTAGTAATTATCATTAGTCTTTGATTTGACTTCTAATTTTCCTCATGATTACTATGTTCCCCAATCTTGTTAACCAGTTCTTAATTACTGGGATTTGAAAGGCTCCTCCTTTCATACTTTCAAACTTATTTTCCCAACAGCAAAATGTCTGTGTCTGAGATCATAACCTCACCAAACATTTAAAACACTTTTATGCCACTAACAATCTTGGCTTCCCCCAAAAAATATTGGGAAGTATAGTTTGTTAAGGGTTTTGAGCTGCAATGCCTAGAGTGGTTTAACAGTCAATCCCTTTTCCCAGGAACTCTGGGAATTTATCTCTGTGAGAGAAATAGGGGTGTCCTAACAACTCCCAGAACCCTTAACAAACTAAAGCTCCCAATAATCTTTAGGGAGGGGAGCCCTTAATGTTAAAGTGGTATAATAGTGCCTTAAATGTACATGACTTGATAAAGAATGCTGTGTTATTAAATACATCGTAATAAGAACATCTCTAGTTGGGACACTCACTGTCACTAATAACAGATATCCATTCGCCTAATCTGGATTCCACACCCTCCTTGAAAAACTCTGAGAAGTGACCCATATTCACCATTCATGAACAAGTCCATAAATGTCGGAGGCTAACTGAATTCAGGCCTGTTTGCAACACTCATCAACTGATAGATGCCCTGATCTCAGACCCCATGCCTCTGCAGACAGATTGCTCAGAAATAACAGCCCCCACCTGCAATCCGAAGCGGCACGTTTTACCTAGACCAGGTGCAGGGAAGCTTTGGCCCCCCTTTGGCTGAACTACAACTCCCTTCATCCTACTGCCTGTAAAGGCCAGCCCACATAGACTGTCATTATTCTGAACAGACACTCCCCCTGCATTTCACACTATGCTAAACAGCCGTAGCTATTGTATAGGAAGTCACTCTATGGGTTGATTTGCCATGCTTCCTTTCTTGTTGTTGTTCTTGTTTTGCTAGATGGAGTTTGTCAAGGAGCTGCCGAAGACAGTCACGGGGAAAATCAGACGGAACGAGTTAAGAAACAAAGAATGGGGGCGAGTTTGACACAATGGGGGAGGTTGCACAACTACCAAGTTTTCTTGAACGCCATGGACGTTATTCAAGGCTTGTTGATATTGGGATGACCTAACTCTTGGCTGGACTTTGAGCATCCAGATTAGAGGCTGTGGGGATGATAAACAATGAAAGAAGGGAAAGTGGACTGTACCATTACTATGCAGAGATATCCATGGACTTTAAATATCCCTTGTTATGTGCCACCCACTCTTCCACGCAGTGACAAGTCTGAGACAGCAACATGAGATTTAAGTGGATGAAAGAGACCTCAGGAGATTTTGAAATATTCGCTTCATTTACAAATTTTCAAGAAGAGCACTGTGGAAGCAAATGGACATCTACTGCAAGCAGCACAGCTCCTAATCCTGCAATCCTGCACCAGAATCCTGAGTAGCAGCTGCATCCCAAGAATGCTTCCATTTAAGTCAGCTCCAACTTTATATTTGGTGGCGGGCACATCTCATTCCTGTTCTCTTTGACTCTAGGCTCTTCCGGCCTGCCACTATTTTTGTTTGGGATTCAGCCACATTCCAGCAAATTCAGATTGTGCAATTAAAGTAAGAATGATTTTATTTGTGTGTGCAATGGGCATTACAAAACATAGGAATAGTACATATGACTACAATCACAAATCAGCAGCAGTTAAAGTTGATTCAGCACTCTTGTGTAACAAACTCACTTCTCTTCCACAACCAGACTTCTTACGACAAGTGATGATAATAACAAAAAGCTCTATTTCTCCTTCACATCTGCAGGTGAGGCGGTGGATGTGCTGAACTGGGGTCTGGCCTTTGTAATGGACTGGATGAGAGCCAATAAACTGAAGCTCAATCCAGATAAGACAGAGGCACTGTTAGTAGGTGGTTCCTTAGACCAGATGGAGACTGCTTGCTCCTGGGGGTTTACACACCCTCTAAAGGAGCAGGTACATAACTTGGGGGTGCTCCTGGATCCATTGCTGTAGCTTCAGGCCCAAGTGGCCTCAGTGGTGGGGAGTACCTTCTGTCAGCTTTGGCTGGTGGCCCAGCTACACCCTTATCTGTGCAGGGATTACCTAACTGGTGTGGCCTCTGGTAAGACTACTGCAATGTGTTATACATGGGGCTGCCTCTGAAGATGGTTTGGAAACTTTAGCTGGTGCAAAATTTAATGGCCAGGTTGCTCATGGGTGCAAGATGACTGGCCCAACTGCACTGGCTGCCAATTTGTTTCTGGGCCCAATTCAAAGCACTGGTGCTGACCTATAAAGCCTTGCACGTCTCAGGACCTCATTACCTTAAGGACCTCCTCTCCTCATACAAACAGACCCAGGCCATGTGGTTGTCATGCAAGGCCCTTCTCTGGGTGCCCTCATTCCTGGTGGATGGCGAGGATGACATCATCACATGTCTTTAGGTGTCAGGTGAAAACATTCCCATTTTACCCAGGACTTCAGCAATTAAACAATCTATGGCCTTTTAAAAGTGGATGGTTGGATATAATGACACCCCCCCGATTGTTTTATTGTTTTTTATGTTATGTAAATTATGTTTTAATGTTGTACTGGGATCTTTGGTTAAAGGGTGGTATATAAATTGAATAATCAATCAATCAATCAATCAATCAATCAGTGATTGCTTGCCACACACAAATCAGAAGGAAAGCTCAATAAATAGCCAACATTGCCTAACAAACTTTGTGCAAATAAAGGTGACCTTGAACTCTGAGAATGGCTCTTTGTTGTTTGGGTGGAGAGCCCTCTGCGGCTGTGTACAGAGAGTAGCCTACTGTACAAAGGTAAAATCTGCATTCATTGTTCCAGTCACTTTTGCCTATGGCCCTGCCCACTATTGGCATGGCCTTCATAGGTAAAGGTAAAGGGACCCCTGACCATTAGGTCCAGTCGCGGACGACTCTGGGGTTGCAGCGCTCATCTCGCTTTATTGGCCGAGGGAGCCGACGTACAGCTTCCAGGTCATGTGGCCAGCATGACTAATCCACTTCTGGCGAACCAGATAAGTGCACGGAAACGCCGTTTACCTTCCCGCCGGAGCGGTACCTATTTATCTACTTGCACTTTGACGTGCTTTCAAACTGCTAGGTGGGCAGGACCAGGGACCGAGCAACGGAAGCTCACCCCATCGCAGGGATTCGAGCCGCGACCTTCTGATTGGCAAGCCCTAGGCTCCGTGGTTTAACCCACAGCACCATCCGTGTCCCTTTGGCCTTCATAAGGTTTGCCTTATGAAGAGAATGTGGCCTTCAGTCGAGAGTGAAAGGTGAATAAAGTCATGTCATGGGGTGGCTGGATGCAGAGGAGGGATGGGAGGCACCAGCTGGGGAACCCCAAGAAAACCCCCGGGGGGAAGAAAGCTCAGTACCAGGAGACTGGTGATAGGATGGTGATGAGTGGCCAGAGGGAGAAGAGGGAGCCAACCAGGAGGAGGAGGGGTCAGAAGTTGGAGAGGTAACAGGGTTTAGTGAGCAGGAAGAGGCTGTGGCAGAGAGCAGCCCAGAATCAGTGGCAGAAGAGGAGGCTGGTGAGAAGGAGTAGCCAAGAGGCAGAGATGTGTCAGGCTGCTGAAGAAGCCAGGGAGTCTCCCCTTCCTGCTGCAACCACCTCTCCTCCCCCATGGTCTCCCAGAACACAAAGAGGACTGAAGAGGGCAAAGCAAAGAGAGATAAGATGAAGGAGCTTTAGGCTGCTGGGGAAGAAGTTAGAGAGCAGCAGGAAGGCAGGGACCTTCAGTCCTCACAACTGGGGCCTCATTAGACCAAGACCTACTAGGAAGAATTGCTGTGACCACTAGGCCTGTGCTGTTTTGGATTCTTTGAAGAAAGAGTTAACTTCACTGGCACCGGGGTTTTTATTGCTGGCATGCTCCAGTCTCCAGCTGCCAACAAATAACAGCAGCAGTTGCAGAAGTTCCTAGGTCCAATGCCTAGCATCTCCAGGTAGGGCTGGGAGAGACCTTCTACCTGGATTTCTGGAGAGCTACTGCCTATCAGTGTAGGTAGTACTGAGCTGGATGGAGCAATGGTCTGGCTCAGTTAAAGGTAGCTTCTGCTGTCCCTATGAAGCTCACTAACAAGACTTGAAGTTAACAGCCCTCTGAGTGGTGCCATCTGTGCAGAAGGGTTGCCAAATGCAGAAGAGCTGTCTTTACCAGATTTTGAGGTAACAGAAATGGTAATAGAAGGAATCTTCTCAATGGGGTGGGAATAGGTTCCTGTACAGCATTTGAAGTAATACACAGAACTGTCTAAAGAGGGGTGGAGCCCATAAGACCACCAAGTTTGCATTCATACCATACATTTAAAGGGCTATGGTAGCACTTTAATAACCCATGGCTTTCCCCCACAGAATTCTGGGAGCTTTAGCTTTTTAAGGGGAGAGTAGTTAGTAGGCCCCTATTCCGATCTAAGAGCTACAATTCCCATAGTTCCCCATGAAGAGGGATTGATCGTTAAACCACTCAGGGAACTGTAGTTCTGGGAGGGGAATCAGGGCCTCTTATGAAGTCTCACTCCTCAAATTATTGGGAGGAAGCCATGACTGTTTAAAGTAGTCTATAGTGCTTCGAATGTCTGATGTGAATGAAGCCTAAGTCCAGATGGTGGACCGTCTGCCAACAAAGGGGAAAGCTGATAACTGTGCTGGTGCCACTTCTAATGGTGAGCACAACCCTGAGAAAATGGTGGAGAACTTCTCATCCCCCAGGAGAAATTCTATGGAGTCTCTCCATCACAATTTCTCTGCCAGCAAATAAGATGAGCAACTTCAAGAGTCCATTTGCATGCAGCCTTCAATTTATCTACAAACGAACCTGAACTTTAGACACAAGGCTGTTCCAAACCTTAACACTGAGGTCAACATGAAACTGACAAGTTCAAATCAGAGCGAGGTGGAAGCTGAGTTCGAAGGAGGATTGATTAACTTGGACAAGACTCTGTTCTGCAGACCTCTGCAAGTTTGGTATTACAAATGGATGACCAGGTAAAACTAGCAGATCAAAAGCGAGGCACGTTGAGCAATCCCATGCCACTGGATGATCCTGTCCAACTTCCTGGCTACATTTATGTCCACCACTAGTTCCATTCAGTTCATGGTTTGAGTCCTGCCCTCCAGAACAGGAGAAAACTTAATCCATCTTCCATGTGACAACCTTTTAGATAGTGGAAGATGGCTGTCATATCTCCTCTCAGCCTCTTCTTTTCAAGGCTAAACACACCCAACTCCCTCAACTGTTACTCACAACGCTTGCTTTCTGGACCCTTGATAAACTTGGTTGCCCTCATCTGCACACATCCAGCTTGTCAATAGCCTTCTTAAATTGTGGTGCCCAGAACTGGGACACAGGACTCCAGGCGTGGTCTGACCAAGGCAGAATAGAGCCGGACTATTATTATATGAGATCTAAACAGAACCCCAAGCCAGTAATCTGGCTGTTGCATTTTGGACCAATTTAAGTTTTTGTGTTGTTTTCAATGGCTGCCTCATGCATAGTACATTGCAACAACCCAATCTGGAAGTTACCAGAGCATGTAAATAATGTCACAATAGCCTGCATTTCAGTTCACATTTTTTTGTTTTGGGAAGTGTGAATTTGGTAAATCATGTCCTCCCTAAAAGAGGGCACATGTTGCGGTGAGACCTGGAGACCAATCCCCTGGGTTGTGGGTGAGTAAGATTGATTAGCCACAACACCTGATTGGTGGGTCCCTCGATGTTGGGTTCAATTTGGCCAATGGGGTGCAGTCCAAACGGATTGAGGGACCTATTTATGCCCATGCACGTGACCCAGAGCTTCCTCTTTCAGTGCATGCATTCAGAACACCTGCCCACCTCTCCCTACTTTTATGGCTTGTGCTTGACCTTGCTATGCCATTGTGTGTTGTCTGTCGTTGGGACAGGGGCACGGCAGGAATTTCCCCCACTTGGCTGATTGGCTGTTGCCATTTGGGTTTGGCTTGCTGCGTAGCAAATCGTCACAACTTGTAAGGTTGCGGATAGGCTCTGGTTCAGGTGATAGGGATGGGGGAACGCTCTTGCCATCCCTATGTGAAGGGTATTCCGTTAAAGGAATCCAGGAACTCAAATGGTTTGGTCAACCCCTGAGAGGGGGACATCTGGGTGGCCGACATAGTCTGTTCCCGATTTTTCACCCATCCAGGTGTTCACCCTTGGCTGACCTATGCCAAAACCCTGGGTCAGTGCTACCTGCAAGTGCAGGGAGCTAATCGAACCAGAGCCTATGCAACCACTCAGTTTCTGTAATCAATAAAGTTGTGGCCTAAATTCTGTCAAAAACCAAACTAAAATTTGAGTCAAGTGTGAATTTATTTAGGGTGGGTCTGAACACACAATTAACTTTCAAATACAAACTGAGCTGAACCTCTTCTTCATTACTAATGAAAATAGTACAAAATGTTGAAAAGCTCTGTGACCTCCTTCAAAAGGAACCCAAACCAGAACCCCAGAACTGATCACCACTTGATTCACCACTTGAAGAACTAGGGCAAGCCCAGGAAGATGTTGAATGAAACAGGAGAGGCCACCGTTTCTACCTTTCAGAGTTCTGCCATTTCTGGATTTGCTAAGCCTCTCTACTCCATTTTCCCTTATCCAACCTGCATTCCCCAATGACTTTTGAAGGGGGAAAAAGAAGGCACATCCTACATTTCAGCATAAATTAATTTGGAGGAAAGAACGGGGGCCTTTTTGCAAATACGTGGCGATCTAGTCAAACATTAACTTTTGACTTACATCAGACTATTCAAGTGAAAGGTTCTCAAATGTCAACCGATGGATCTCTGATAAAAGTTAATGTTGTTGTACTGCTTGCTGTTTAATTCAGTTCTCAAAAACCCTGGTGAATTTCCTTTTGGAGTGCTCTCTGCTATTCCAGAGTGTGGGTTGTGGTAAGTTGTCTGCATGTTTATACAGAGATTCTAGTTTCTGAGTTGTATAACGTCGTCTGGGTATGTGTCTAACAATGAAACTATGTTGTTAAAACAACCAGATCTTACATAAAGCATGTAGGTACCAACGCCCAACTAAGTATAGTCACAAAAGCAGTCAGTTTGAAATGAGCTGTAACTAATATACATAGATATTTTCCAGTTGTTTCAAGAAAGCATTAGCCACAGCTCAACTAAGTAGGAGTGCTTTCAGACTGTTGCTCTTTTTGGGTAGGATTCAGTCACATAGCTGCAAATTCAGGATGTGCCATTGACGCTGATTTTGTGCTCTTGCACAGCAAACCCAGTTTCCAAAGACACCGCAAAACTGGATTTTTAAAAAATTCAATAAAGGAATGTGATGGGAAAATGCACTGAGGGGTGTTGAATAACAGTTGCTTGGCATAACATCAGACAATATAAGCAAGTCAGGATGAGTGCTCAGTAAACAACCCCGTCTGCAATCCAATCACTATTGATACTTAATAGACAATGTAGAACCATCCTATATTTCAGCTAGATTATATTTATTTAGAGACTCTTGTTACATGTTACATTCCCATGTTGTTTTCGAAGAATGGTGCTTAGGAAGTAGCTAGAAACTGCCTGTTTGTACAATGTCAGGATGGTCCAGTCAGTGGTGCTCTTAAGAAGTGGTTTATACATAAGAATGTAAAATGTTGTCAGGGGGTGGATCTACACACTGGGGGGGGAGGGGCGTGTTATAAATAAGTCAGAAATTAAATCCGCTATGGGAAATCGCTTATAATTTTATTTGCTCTCTGGCGCCATCTGGTGTTGCATGTTTATAACACATTCAAAAGGCTGATTCCAGGTTCTGCAGTTTGCATGGCTGCCAATAGGAGGCCCCACCAACTGCAGCATGAGGAAGAGCGGTGCAGCCCAGCAAGCTGTTTAACAGAGCAAGTGGGGGGGGGCTTGAAGCACCTGCCCCACTCCATTAAACGTGTCCACAGCAAGCTTTAGCAACCCACTGGGTGAAGTGCCTTCACGCACACACACACAAATACTACCAGCTTTTGAATTTCACTGCTTGCCCTTTTCACATTTTGTGTGAACAATAATATCATTTGTAGGTATAGCTGGATCTGCAATCCTATATTCACTTACCTGGGAGTAAGTCCTATTTAAGGACGCGGGTGGTGCTGTGGGTTAAACCACAGAGCCTAGGACTTGCCAATCAGAAGGTTGACAGTTCGAATCCCCGTGACAGGGTGAGCTCCCGTTGCTTGGTCCCTGCTCCTGCCAACCTAGCAGTTCAAAAGCACATCAAAGTGCAAGTAGATAAATAGGTACCGCTCTGGTGGGAAGGTAAACGGCGTTTCCGTGCATTGCTCTAGTTCACCAGAAGCGGCTTTGTCATGCTGGCCACATGACCCAGAAGCTGTACGCCGGCTGCCTTGTCCAATAAAGCGAGATGAGCACCGCAACCCCAGAGTTGGCCACGACTGGACCTAATGGTCAGGGGTCCCTTTACCTTTCAGTCCTATTTAATTCAATGTGGATTACTTCTCGGTAGACATGCCTTCTCTGAAGATGTTTTATTACCAAGATGGCAAGGTCTAACTTCTCAAATCAAGCCTTCCCCTGGACTCTCTCTCTCTCTTTTAAAAAAAACTTGTATTTGTACATGCTCTTTTCTTATAATTTCTAACTAAACAACAATAAACTAAAGTAAAAAATCCAATAAACTAAATTCCAATAAATTAAATTATATGAAAACAGACTTCTGGTCATTTCCCGATGTAAGTTACATTTACGACATTGAATGTACTTATACTTCTTACCTTACTCTTACTATCGTTTCTAGTACTTTCTTATAGCATATCGTACCGTTTTTCCTTGCTTGGTAGTATTTAATTTCCCTGGATTCTCAATGGATCCATGCCTGCCCCTTCCCCAGAATTCTGCTCACAAGTAAATGAAAATTTGAGGAAAGTGGATGAAATTATTATATCTCCTGAGCCTCTCAGTAGAAGCAACACAAACATGTGATTTGATGGTGAGGGAGGGTGGGGTGGGGAGAGAGAAAATTGATTTTCAAAAGCCTCCAGCAAACAGTGATGAAATCACTTTAGTTTTCTTTAATTTGAAAACCAGGCAAGGATATTATACAGGCACTGCTTTCCTGTCCTTAAACTCCCTCTCTGAAAAATATATAATTTAATGTAACAAGGGTTTCTGTCAGGGAACTGCCATCAGTGCCGGAGGGAGAAAGCAAGCTCCAGAGGGATCCCAGAGAGCGTCCCGGGATTGGGAGAGGCAGCCCATCTTCTGGGGAAGGGAATCAGCTTAGCTCCAGTAGAGAAGGGGGGCAGATGGGGGAATCAGAGAGGCGGTCACATGACTCCTTGCCGTGGACCAGCGGGGAGAGGAAGGGTCCTCCGCTGCCTACGCCCTCCTTGTGCAGAAGGCTTCCGCGCAGGGAGAGTAGGAGGAGACTGGGCGTCAAAGAACTTCTTTGCTGGAAGAAGTTTAAGAAACGCCCACTGACGGATTCTGCCAGCGATTGAGACAGCCACGGGTGAGTGGCTGTCCGGACAGGAAAGGTTCACTCAGGCAACCCAGCCAGGTGTTGCCACAGGCTTACGCACGAGCAACCCCTAGAACCACTACAGTTTCCCTTCAGTTATGCTTATTCATCAGGGACATCAGCATTAAAATAGGACTTTTCAGTGGGGCATGTGGAATTCCTCCTCATATTTATTTATTAAATATATATGCAACTTTCCTCCTGTTGCAGAACCTATGGCAGCTTGTTGTTTAGTCGTTTAGTCGTGTCCAACTCTTCGTGACCCCATGGACCAGAGCACGCCAGGCACTCCTGTCTTCCACTGTCTCCCGCAGTTTGGTCAGACTCATGCTGGTAGCTTTGAGAACACTGTCCAACCATCTCGTCCTCTGTCGTCCCCTTCTCCTTGTGCCCTCAATCTTTCCCAACATCAGGGGCTTTTCCAGGGAGTCCTCTCTTCTCATGAGGTGCCCAAATTATTGGAGCCTCAGCTTCAGGATCTGTCCTTCCAGTGAGCACTCAAGGCTGATTTCCTTAAGAATGGATGCATTTGATCTTCTTGCAGTCCATGGGACTCTCAAGAGTCTCCTGCACCATAATTCAAAAGCATCAATTCTTCGGCGATCAGCCTTCTTGATGGTCCAGCTCTCATTTCCATACATCATCACAGGGAAAACCATAGCTTTAACTATATGGACCTTTGTTGGCAAGGTGATGTCTCTGCTTACAGCATCAATTAAAACAGATGAAGCTTCAAAGTATAAATATTAAAACCAATTAAATAGGTAAACTTTGTTTTTAAAAGCACTGAAAACACTGAAAACCATTCAAATTCTCACACACACTCAAAAGAACATCACCCACCTCAGAAGACCCCGCCAGTTTGTGGTCAAAGGCCTGTTGGAACAAAGAAATCTTTGGCTGGCAGCAAAAGGAAAGCCCAGAGGGGGCCAGCCTAGTCTCATGGAAGAGAGTTCCACAATCTGGGAGCAACCACCGAGAAGGCCCTCTTACCTTCTCGCCCAATGTGCCTACAAAAGTGGCAGAACCAAGAGAAAGGCCTACAGAAAGCGTTCCTTTTTTAAGGGACCAAATGTGTACTAAATGTGTCCTTTAGAGAAAAGTGTGCCCAAATATACATATAAATGCGGAACTGTTGAGGGAGTCGGGTATGTTGACCTGGAGAAGAGGAGACTTAAATTATAATAATAATAATAATTTTTTATTTATACCACACCCTTCCCGGTTCAGAAAACCGGGCTCAGGGTGGCTAACAACAAATTTAAAGCACTTAATTGATGCAACCAAAAACAGTATAAAATACAGTATAAAACATGAATAACAATAAATTCAGAATTCAAAAATCAATTTAGGGGGGAAATCCATCCAATAAACATTAGATGATCACCAGGGCTAGCTGGCTAAATTAGTCCTATTTGGGCCAGCGAGGAGACCAGGGGAGAATTAGCTGTGGGATCCCAGATGTTATGTACTGAAGTTCTCACCCTGGGCCAGCAGGGGGATACTGTAGATAGTTTTCACTCAAGTCCACATATGCAAATAAGGAATTGAAAGTGACGTTCAGTGATTGGATAGTTACAGGAAGTTGTTACTGTTGCCTTGTAGCGGAGCTCTATATAAGCAGGCTGGCTGAACCCTTCAGTTCAGTTCTGTTCTGGCCTGTGAATAAACAAGAGCTGTTTGAAGAATCGCTGTGTCGTCTGATATGTTCACCCACAACTTAACACCAGAGTGGGTAATCTTCATAAAAAGGGAAGGGGGAGGGAAGGAAGGGGAATAAAAGATCAGGCTAAGTTCAAATTGAAAGAGGTGAAAGGCCATCTTCAAATATCTGAGGGGCTGTCACAAAGAAAATGGAGCAAGCTGGTTTTCTGCTGCTCCAGAGGGTAGGCCCTCAACCAATGGACCCAAATTACAAGAAAGGAGGTTCCGGCTAAACATCAGGAAGAACTTTACGGTGGTAAGAGCTGTTCAACCCTGGAGTGAGCTGCTTCGAAAGGTGGTGGGATCTCCTTCATTTAATTTTTAAAAAAACAAACAGAGATTGGATGGCCATCTGTCAGGGGTCCTTTAGCTGTGATTCCTTCACTGCAGGGGCTCTGACTAGATTAGGGTCACTTCCAACTTTACAATTCTCAGATTCCAGGATTCTTTGAGGCTGGAACCCGTCCCAGCAGCAAATTGGCAATGGGAACATGACGCACAGTTCAGCTCCCATTTTCAACACTGAAAGAGCTATATAGAGCAGGCTTCGTCAACCTCAGCCCTCCAGATGTTTTTGGCCTACAACTCCCATGATCCCTAGCTAGCAGGACCAGTGGTCAGGGATGCTGGGAATTGTAGTCTCAAAACATCTGAAGGGCCGAGGTTGAGGAAGCCTGATACAGAGTAACTCTGAATTCCCACCCCTAAGACACATTCTGGCTATGGAGTGAAGTTGCATTTCCATTGGAGTTCCACTTTGCAGTTTTGTCACTGGAATTTATTCGATTCATACATATATTTCTGTCATTGGTGTTTTGTTTTTGTTCTTGAGCAGAATCTTGAATTATCATGTTTAATTCTTTTTTCTTTTTCTTTTGGTTTTCCATAAAGGTAAGAATTGTTTTCATGGCAGGGGCAAGGAAGCTTCTCTCCAGAATTCCAGTTTTAAAGTCTTTTAGTGCTTTCAAATTGCCTTGTAGAATCATGAGTCAACCTTGCAGTGGATCTCCATTTCTGGATTTCTCAGACACTGAAGCCCTCTACAAAAATGTGCCAGAGCATTTTAATTTTGCACATGATGTCCTGGATCAATGGAGCCAAAAGGAAAAGGTAAGGGACTGTATCTGTCATGATTTCCTAGTATTATCAGTCAGTCATGCTGATCTTTATTGTTTATAGCAAACGGTCATTGAATATATATCTCAAAACAAACTATATATCAACAAAACATAAATTAGCATTAATTTTCAGCAAATCATCAAAACCTAAAGTTACTAAGTTCCCCATTTCATTTACATTAAGAAGTGAAGTCCCTTTGGTAGACAAAACTGTTTTGAGTCAATAAAAAAGAGTAGCATGAAAACTTCCTCACTGCTAGCTAGAGTTGAGAAAAGTTGTCCTGTTTGGCTTTTCTCGGTTTCTCATTTTTCCCGTCTTAAATTCAGTTCTCAACATTTCCCCCTCAGCTTACAAATCCATTCTGCCTCCTGCCTAAAAATGTCTGCATGGAATTCATCAGCATTTTAGTGTGAAAGTTCTTGTCTAACCCTTACATCCTCTGGTTTTTTCGTTTTCCCTTATTTAACATGCCAAGTGATGTTCAAAATTCTGAATGTTTTTGTATGTTTTCTTTTCCTTTGTATAAATGGCATTAAGATTGTTACTTGAGGTCTGCTTAATTCATTTCTGTTGTCTCGAGGACTTGAATTTACAGAGTATCAGATACGTTGCAAATTTTGTCTGTAGATAGTCTAGCTGTTTATGGGGATGCTACATCTATAGTTTGATTAATTTTATGCCTACTTGCTCAAAAACAAGTAGGCATAAAATTAATCAAACCATAGATAAAATATGAAACAGGATGTAAGGGATAGTTTGATTTTATTGGTGTCTTCTTTGGAATATTTTATAGGGTTTTCTGTAAACCGCTGAGAAACCTGTTGCTGATTATTTGGTATATAAATCTTGTTAGAGAGATAGCTAAGTAAAATAGTTTCCATTTTTTCCCCATCCTTTGTGCCTGATAGGCTAGAAAGAGACCTTCCAATCCCGCTCTTTGGTGGGTAAGTGGGAAAGGCGAGGAGGTGCGGTGGAGCTTTGAGGAGCTGGCATTCTTATCCAGGAAAGCAGCCAACGTCCTCTCCAAAGCCTGCAATCTGCAGAAAGGAGATCGAATCGTCATCATCCTCCCCAGGGTGCCTGAGTGGTGGCTGATCAGTGTGGGCTGCATCAGAGCAGGTCAGTCAGGTCCTCTCTGTGCTAGGAACCGACAGAAAGATCCATTTTTGCTGTGTCTTCCTCTCCTCTCTTTTTAATCACGCTTTGTTTTGCTCCTAGGTGTCACCTTCATCCCAGCCACGACCCTGTTGACTGCTAAGGACATCTTGTACCGGCTCCAAAAGTCTCGGGCCAAATGTATAGTTACAAACGATGCCTTGGCTCCATTGATCGACTCTCTTGCATCTGATTGCCAGTTCCTGAAAACTCGGATGTTGGTCTCCAAAGGCACCAGCAGAGAAGGATGGCTGAACTTCCATGACCTGCTGAAGTGAGAATCTCTGCTGCCTTGTTAAGCAAGTCAGGGATAAGTCAAAGAGTGAGATAGAAAAACCTGGGGTCTGCAGTATTCATCACCTACATCAGGAAGATAGCCAATTACTTGCGAACATTTGTATAGCAGACAAAAGTGCATACAGAAATATGTATTTTGGGAGGAATGTCAACTAAAATGTTGCAGAATTTTCACGGGATTGTGTGTTTTTTTTAAGTACAGTGGAACCTCGGGTTACATACCGTCTTCCTTATGAACGCTTCGGGTAACGAGCTCCGCTAACCTGGAAGTAGATGCTTCTGGTTGCGAACTTTGCCCCAGGATGTGAGTGGAGGTCACGTGGCGGCAGCGGGAGGCCCCATTAGCGAAAGTGCACCTCATGTTAAGAACGGTTTCATGTTAAGAATGGACCTCCGGCACGAATTAAGTTTGTAACCGGAGGTTACCTCGGGATGCGAACGGGATCTGTTCCGGAGCCCCGTTCGCATCCCGAATGGAATGCAAGATGCAACGGCACGTCTGCACATGCGCGGGTCACGTTTCGCCACTACCGCGCATGTGCGTGACGTCATTTTGAGCGTCTGTGCATGCGTGAGCAGCGAAACCCGGAAGTAACGCGCTCCGTTACTTCCGGGTTGCCGCGGAGCGCAACTCGAACACGTTCAACCTGAAGTGCATTCAGCTCGAGGTATGACTGTATATGAATCACAAGCTGATTCAAAAATGTGAGGAACTTGAGTTAATTTGAATGGAGTATTTTGGATGAGGTCTTCCCACTGCAACATTTTATTGCAGTTCCCACTTATTCGTTTTCTACTGGAATCCTAATTTCCCAGAACACCTTAAATTTACAAGATCACAGACCATTGATTTTGATTGCATCTACTCCATTCTTACTACTTGCCTACTTTTCTGTTTTTTAAAGTGCTGCAGACGGTGATCATCAGCCTGTCAAAACAAGGAGTCAAGATCCAATGACCATCTACTTTACCAGTGGAACCACGGGTTATCCCAAAATGGTGGAACATTCCTGCAGCAGTCTGGGGATTGGGCTGACAGTTGTTGGAAGGTATCTATCCCTTTCTAAATCTTCAGGGGCAACAAACACAACAGAAAGTCCTGTGGCAGTTTAAAGAATGACTATTTAATTGTGGCAAGAACTTTGATAGGCATGATGGCGTGGCTGTAATCTTTGTTTTAAGCTTAAATCACAATAAAACTGCAATTCTTAGTCATCTAAAGGAGAGCCCCCAAGCACAACATTTTAAAGTAAGTGCGCATTACCACAGCTTTGAACCATTTCCACCTCTCCACCTCCCCCATTCTTGCACCTGCTGTCCTTTAAGTCTTAAAATCAAAAGATCTGATCTTTTCACCCTGTCTAGTTTGTTCCTCAAACATACCTAAGTCTAATAAATGTAACTGAGCAGTCGTCGTGTTTGCCTCCTTATTACAGGTACTGGATGGACCTGAATCCTTCCGATGTGATCTGGGGTTTCTCCGACACAGGCTGGATCAAATTCGTCTTCAGCAATTTGTACCCTTCGTGGATCCAAGGGGCGTGTATCTTTCAGCACGGCATGCTCCAGTTCGAGCCAACGACTGTTCTCAATGTAAGGCTAACATTGCCTTAAGGCAGGAAGCATTGGGACAGAAGACCAAGGTGTCTGGGGGAGTTGCTCTGCCAACAGAGATCCTGAGTTTTCTCCTTGAGCTCCAGACCCAGAAGAGTGGTTGAGAATTTGCTTTGGATTTGGATTTGATATCCCGCTTTATCACTACCCAAAGGAGTCTCAAAGCGGCTAACATTCTCCTTTCCCTCCCTCCCTCACAACAAACACTCTGTGAGGTGAGTGAGGCTGAGAGACTTCAGAGAAGTGTGACTATCCCAAGGTCACCCAGCAGCTGCATGTGGAGGAGCGGGGAGGCAAACCCGGTTCCCCAGATTACGAGTCCACCGCTCTTAACCACTACACCATGCTGGCTCTAGACAGCATTCAGAAGGTTCTAGGTTCAATGACATCTCTAGGTAGGGCTGTGAAAGATTCCCTGTCTGGGACCCTGTGGAGTTGCTTTCAATCAGCGTAGACAAAGCTAAGCTAGATGGACCAATCTGATTCAGTATAAGGCAGGTTCCTATACATACACCATAATAGCCTTGCCTGCCTTGCAAGAGCTATCTGGGGTCTCCAACAGAGGTCTTTCCCCAATACCTCCCATCTCATCCTAGGGGTGGAGAACATTTGTCAGCATCAAGGCCCACGTAACCTTCTGGGCAGTATCCCAAGGTCCACTTGCCAGTGGTGGGTGGGGCCAAAGGGGAAAGTGGGCAGAGTAATAAATGTAAATTGAACCTTTCTACAATGAGGCCTTTTCTACTCACTCATTTGCTTCTCTTCCTCCACTCTGGAAGTTCGAGAGCCAATGTGGTGTAGTGGTTAAGAGCGGTAGACTCGTAATCTGGTGAACCGGGTTCGTGTCTCCGCTCCTCCACATGCAGCTGCTGGGTGACCTTGGGCCAGTCACACTTCTCTGAAGTCTCTCAGCCCCACTCACCTCACAGAGTGTTTGTTGTGGGGGAGGAAGGGAAAGGAGAATGTTAGCCACTTTGAGACTCCTTCGGGAAGTGATAAAGCGGGATATAAAATCCAAACTCTTCTTCTTCTTCTTCTTTGAGATTAAGGGAACATCCCCACCAAGCAAAACATCCAAGAAGGGTCCATAGCAGGGCCAGGGAGGGCTGTGGCCTGGAAAGAGTTGGAGAAGTAGCTGGGGAGCATTCCAAGGGCCGGATAGAAAGGTCTGAAGGGCCACATTCTGCCCCAGTCTAAGGTTCCCCAGAGAGGCTAAGAATTTAACTGGGAATCTTCTGCATTAAAAGCTCTTCCCGCTGAGCAGTGTTCCCTCTCCAGACCACAATTCACTCTTTTTGAGGGAGGCAGGAAATCTGTTTCCTCCATTTCTTGGTAGAAGTAAAAACAACATATCAGCCTTGCAGGAAAATGTTTCCGACAAAAAGTTAAAAATCAGAAATCAACCCTTGTGAGACTTCTGGAATCACATGGTGCAATAGGAATGTGTTTGTGTTTTCCCCTCTAGACCCTCACCAAGTATCCAGTGACAACTTTCTGTGGCCCCCCAACTGTTTATCGTATGCTTCTGCAGCACAACGTTGGAAGGTACAGCAAACACTGCATGGTAGCATCTGTGCATTTTAAAACTCAACACTAACTTCCTGCTTTTTAAAAAAGTGCACTTCTGAGTCCCTCTGCCTGGGTTTACAGAATCATAGATTCAAAGAACTGCAGAGTTGGAAAGGACACCGAGGGTCATCTAGTCCAAACCCCTGCCTGTTTTTTCTTGCTTTTGTTTTAGCTTGTTTACTATTAAATCCATCTCATTATTTATATTTCTTGCTTCCTTTGGAAATATGTCATAGAATCTTAGAATTGTAGTCGAGGGATGTCCCAAGGCTCACCTAGTCCAATCCTCTGCAATTTAATTTTCCATTGCTTTATTTCTTGCATTTACAATAGTTCCATTTTCTACTTCTTGCTTGCACTTGATAACATTTATTTTTTTTAATTTCTGAACTCAGTCCTACCCTAACCTGAGCATTGGCCAAGCTGTCCGGGACTGATGGGCATTCGAGTCCAACATTACACCAGCACTAGGTGTGCTAACTGGGATGCTATTGTACGCCTTGCTACAGAGGCAATAATCACTGATGACTCCAAGCTTCTTCATACCCTCATGCAGATACAAGTTCAAGAGCCTGAGACGGTGTCTGAGCGGTGGAGAAGGCAACAGCCCTGAAGTGATGGAGCAGTGGAAAGCGCAGACAGGAGTGGGAATCCGTGAAGGCTATGGGCAGACGGAGACGGTATGTTGGCATTTGACCATGTATCTATAGACAACAACGTTAAACCTATGGTTACGTGAAACATACTCAATAAACACACAAGATGTAACCGGCTGTAAAGGTAAAGGGACCCCTGACCATTAGGTCCAGTCGTGACCGACTCTGGGGTTGGGGCACTCATCTCACTTTATTAGCATGACTCAGCCGCTTCTGGCGAACCAGAACAGCGCACGGAAACGCCATTTACCTTCCCTCCGGAGTGGTACCTATTTATCTACTTGCACTTTGATGTGTTTTCGAACTGCTAGGTTGGCAGGAGCAGGGACCGAGCAACAGGAGCTCACCCCGTCACGGGGATTCAAACTGTCAACCTTCTGATCGGCAAGTCCTAGGCTCTGTGGTTTAACCCACAGCGCCACCCGCATCCCTGTAACCGGCTGTACTTTTGAATAAATAAGGTATGCTATTCATTGTATCAAATTGTAGATTTCAACGGAAGTTCAACGGAAAAAGCAGAAGACCCAGTGGATCAGTTCATTCTCTAGTCAGTTCATGCAAGGTTTTCCGGAATATTAGCCTTGTTTCGCAACCACTACTATGCTATAAGATCCACTATCCTGTAATATTACATATGAGCCTGTTCTACTGATGAAGCCTAGGATGGCGAAACAAGGCTTATATTCCAGAAATCCTTGTCTTAGACTCTGTGAAAGGATTCTGTGGAACTGTAACAACCCTTCATGTGGATATTGGACTCTTTGAACAGACAGGTAGAATAGATAATTTTACATGTATGGACCTTATGCATGAACTGACTAGAGAATGACTAGAGAATGAACTGATCCACTGGGTCTTCTGCTTTTTTTGTTGAACTTTATGAGACTTCCGTTGAAATCTACAATTTGATACAATGAATAGTATACCTTATTTATCATGTATCTATAGAATCACAGAATCACAGAATTGTAGAGTTGGAAGGGAGCCCAATGGTCATCTAGTCCCCCCGCTGCAATGCAGGAAACTTGCCTACTGCTGTCCCCGTGTGGGCTTGAACCGCCAACCTTCTGGTTAACAGCCAAGCACAGCTGGCCCATTGTGCCAGCAGAAGCTTATCAAATCCAAATGCATGCTTTCCCCAAAACGCCCCACCTGGGAGAATGCACCTCCATCCATATTGGACAGAATGGAATGGAATGCCCTGGAAAAGGGCATGGCTGGCTGGTTGGAACCCTGTATAGGAAAAGTATACCTGAAGGAACGTCTCTACCCCCATTGTTCAGCCCAGACACTGAGGTCCACCTCTGAGGGCCTTCTGACAGTTCCCTCACTGTAAGTGGTAAAGTTACAGGGAACCAGGCAGAGGGGTTTCTTGAAAGTGGCACCGGCCCTCTGCAATGCCCTCCCATCAGATTTCAAGGAGATAAATGACTACACAACTTTTAGAAGACGTCTGAAGGCAGCCCTGTATGAGGAAGTTTTTTTTAATGTTTGACATTTTATTATGTTTTAATATGTACTGGGAACTGCCCAGAGTGGCTGGGGAAACCCAGCCAGATGGGTGGGGTATAAATAATAAAATTGTTGTTGTTGTTCCATGCCGCAACTTCTCCTGCAGACTCCAGCTTGTACAGTCCCTCACTCAGGTATGGCCCTTCCCCAGATCTGTAAACGGAAGATAGATAAAGTCAACTGAAAATTCTCTAATCTGTTAAAAGCCATAGTTTCAAAGAGTGAGAGAGAGAAACCTAACTGAACATTTGCCGTTTCTATACACAGACTATGTTGTGTTCGACTAGGAGAGATATGAAAGTCAAGCCTGGCTTTGCTGGAACGCCAGCTCCTCCCTTTGATGTCCAGGTAGGAATATTTATAATGCAGGGAAGCCATAACAGTCACCATAATAACCTATGTTGCCTGAGTAAACACCGTGATGTGCCCATATTGCTCAAGTAAAGAGACAAAAAAGAAAAGCTCACATAACCGACGCTTGGGGTTCCATCTTTCTAGATAATAGATGAACATTGCAATCGCCTACCTCCAGGGGAAGAAGGAGACATTGCTGTTAAAATCAAGCCCAAAAGGCCCTTGGGTCTCTTCACCTGTTATGTGGTAAGAAACGAACCCTCTCAAATGATGGGGCAGCCTCCAAGGAATATAACAGAGTTGGGGGACCTTCCAGATGTTCCTGACTGGACCTCCCATCATCCCTCTCCATTGACCATGATTGCAAGGACTGTTGGGTATTGTAGTAGAGCAACATTTAGAGGACCACCCCTAGAATCAAAAGATATTGTGTGCTTTTTTCAGCAGATGTTAATAAGGCTGGGTGGGGGACTTACAAACCCGTAAAATGCAAAGCAAGCTGGCAATCAGTTTAAATCATTTGAGGAGAACCTTTGGCCCACCAGATGTTACAGAACTACAACTCCCATCTACCCCAGAAAGCACAGCGAGCAAGCCGGGGATGATGGGGGTTGTAGTTCAGGGCCAAAGGTTCCCTACATCTGGTTTAAACCAAATAAGTAAGGGAAAATATGATGGAGGAAAAATTGCTAGGAGAGTTCATACATCAAAAATTGTGGGGGGGGGGGTTTACCCCACCTTACTGAAAAAACAGGTCAGGAACCATAGCTGTGGATCATCCCATTTAACAACGGAATGCCTGGGTAAGCAGAAATGTCTTAGCCTGGTGACTAAAAGCTGGCAATGATGGTGCCAGGCATGTTTCCCTGGGGAGAGCATTCCAGAAACAAGGGGCCACCACTGAAAAAGCCCATTCTTGTATTGCCATTGTCCGCACCTTCCTTGGAGTAGGCACTCAGGGAAGGGCCCCTGCTAATGACAGCAGAATCCATGTAGTTTGAGAAAGAAAGGTATTATCCATCATGGCTGTATGCAATCTCCAGGACCAGAAGTGCCATGAGTTGTATTCCATGCTAGTTCTTTGCAGTTAACCAAATGTGAAAGCCAACTTTTACCCAGGAAAGCACTCAATTTGAGATCTTAGAATGTTCTGCCTGTGTTGCTAGATCTGCCCTTCCCAGCTGCAGGATACCAACTGATGTTGCAAGAATCAAGAGATGAATGTGCCTTTGTAGCTTCGTTGATCTCCACTGCATTGTTCTTAGGATGACCCTGAGAAAACAGCCGCAACAGAGCGTGGGGACTTCTACATCACCGGGGACAGAGGGTTCATGGACAAAGAGGGATATGTCCAGTTTGTGGCAAGAGCTGATGACGTTATCTTGTCTTCTGGGTATGCTTATTTTGTAAAACACTTGGCACAGCTGGTTTTTTTTTACCGTGCCACAATGCAAAAGTTGCACACCATTAAAAGACTAGAAATCAAGCCAGCCCTGTCCCTGGTAAAGTAACATCCATTCCATACATTTAAAGCTCATTTATTTCCCCAAAGAATCCTGGGAACTACAGCTTGTTAAAGGTGCTGGGAACTGTAGCTCTGTGAAAATTAAACTACAGTTGTCAGGGTTCTATGGGGGAAGCTGTGGAGGGTATTCAACTAAGTTTTACTCAGAGTAAGCCCACCGAAATTAACAAACATGACTAAGTTAGGCCCATTCATGTCCATATGTATGCTCTAAGTAAAATTTAGCTGAATGATACCCTATGCGCTTTAAATTCAAAGTAACGCTAAGGAGATGCTTCTATAACCAGAAGTGTTTCTGTTTGTCTCACAAAGCAATCTCCCCTCTTGTCTCCATGCACTGTTCTGGGGTTTCACCTGACAGGTCCCGGTCCCCCCCAGCACACTTGAGGGTCTAGGGAGTGGAGACAGGGGGGAAGCCCTATTCCACTAGCAGAAACCTTTGTGCTGGCTTACACTCATGGGACCGTGCAGATGAATCCTTGCCCCTGGGGTGACGGGAGTTATAGCTGAGCAATATCTCGAGGGTCAAAGTCCTCCCCACACCTGAATCAGGGTGAGATCCAATCTTAGCCCTATTCAGAGTAGACCCATTGAAATTAACAGACCTATGTTAGCACTCACAAAGCTCTGCTTCAGGCTGATAGCTTGCCAAGCTCTAACTTCTCCTTCAAATTTGAGATATCGCATTGGGCCATCAGAAGTAGAAAATGCCTTGATGGAGCATCCGGCAGTGGCAGAAGCAGCCGTCGTCAGCAGCCCAGATCCTGTCCGAGGAGAGGTATGGTTCTCCCTCCTCCTCCTCCTCCTCCTTCTTCAATATGTCTGTATTGAAAGATTTTCACTACGTAACAAAAATACATCCAGTGTCTTTATTTTCAAATCGTCAAGCCCTTCATATAGGTCAGTTACAATCAGTTTGAGACCTTTTTGTTATAGGCAATGTGGGGTTGTAGGCGACATGCAGCTCCACCTGTAGTATAAGCATGGAAATTGGAAGTTAAGGCTTCTATGTTCCTGCTCAGTCTGTGGTCCAGGAGCTAAGTGTGGATGGGGAGCTTCTAGGTCTCTGCACTTCCTTCTGAGGGTTGTTCAACTTGGGACTGGTCAGCCCTTCAAATACCTGCAGGGCCAATGGTACCCCACACCTGAAAAAGATGGCACCTTCACAATAGAGGGCTATCCCAGGACATCCTAGGAGGAATGAGTCTCATCTTGCTTCCTCCCTGTTTCGTTTTCTATGTACAGCAGGGGGCGACTGTGTGTGCAAGAGAGCATTCAGTGATGTCTGAGCCCCCACCAGCAGCCTCAGGTGGGACAGCCCAGACCTACATTCCCCATCTCTGCAAGAGCTAGGTTTTTGTCAGAGAGGGAGGTGGGTACAATTGATAGTATCATAAGAAGTTTCCTTATTCTGAGCCGGGCCATTGATTCATCTACCCCAGTATTGTCCTCACAGACTGGCAGTGGCTCTCCAAGTTTGCAGGCTGGGTTCTATCACAGCCCGACCTGGAGAAGCTGGGACCTTCTGCAGGCAAAGCTCTAACCACTGAGATGCAGCCCTTTCCCTCATTTCTTCCCCTTTTACACACACAAGCACGGCTATCAATTAACCTTGCCTCCACTCGCCTTCATTGTAGGTTGTGAAAGCTTTCGTCGTCCTGTCACCAGTTTATCAGTCACATGACAAAGAACAATTAATTCTTGAACTGCAAACACATGCCAAGAAAGTGACAGCTCCTTATAAGTACCCCCGAAAGGCAAGTACAGTGTTCAGAATTACTCGGCGTCAATCTCTGGATCTTGGGTGGAGGGAGAGACAATGTTCTTAAGAACGAATTAGGAATGATCCTAGCCTAGCAATGCTTCCAGACTCTGGTTTCAGACAAGAGGCACAGTTCAAAGCAAACTTACCTCATTTGTGCTGTCCTTTGAAATTTGTGCTGCTCTGAATTTTACGATGCAGTTGTCCAATGGAGTTGTGCATTCAAAATGCATATACTGGAGTAAATTTGCATAGAAGCGCAAAAATGCATTATATTAAGGGGAGCTGATCTGCAAAAAAAAAAAAAGTTTATATTTGAAGAAATTTGCACACAAATGGTCGTGAATTTTCATGTGCACGTTTAGAAATGTTAATTCGCAAACTGATGTTGAAATGTGAAGAGCTGAATTTAAGATTGGAAAAACGAAAAACAGAGATAAATCAAAATTGACATATTCATCTGTCCTCTGGTTGCTGGGGATTGAACCTGAGACCTTTTGCATGGAGAAAAAAAAGACGTGTTCTGCCACTAAGCTACAATCCCTCTCCAGTGGCTCCTATTTAAATGTGTATTATCTCTCTGAATATATATTACTGTTATAATCCACCCTTCACCAGTATGTCTCAAGCTGCGTTACAACCATTTAAAATCCAAAATTAAAAACTTTAAACCTAGTTTTAAACTCCAAGTTTGATACATTTCAACTGCCAGAGACCACTACAGCATTAGGAGAAGTGTGAAGTCAGTACATTTGTCCAAGACATGCAATGGATCATCTCACAAAGGAATTTGCAATGCCTGAATTCCTCAACCATTCAGATGCAGAAATTCAGCTGCTGTAGCATTTTTGCTGCGTGGAGCTGAAAGGAGGGTCAAAAACTCCCATGGCTAAGCCTCTGGCTGCCATACCCCAGATTCAAGGCCCAGGACTCTTTCCAGGAGAGGTGGGGACAGCTGGTCATCCTGTGTTTTGTTAAGACTTGGATTAAGATTCCCCTGTTCCACAAAAGTTGGTTTTTCACAATGACTAAATGTAACTCCAAAAAAAGTTGATGTGTTCAGTTTACCCCTCTCTTTTTAATCCTTCAAAACAGATAGAGTTTGTTCAAGACCTACCCAAGACAATTTCTGGGAAAATCCAGAGGAAGGAGCTGAGGCTGAAAGAGTGGGGGAAAGCCTAAGGAGACTCTGAAGCTATCAAAAAAGGACTGGTTGTCACAACAATATCACAGATGGATAGATGATGATGCTCCATTTGCCTTGGTGGCTCTTGGGTTGCCATCACTGTACAAAATTCTAGTGTCTCTCGTGGCTATAAAATAGGAATTTATAGCCTATGGGATATTAATTGACCAGTTGGTGTCCTTCATGGTCACTTAAATTTCTTTGCTTTATTATAAATTAATGGTTAATTATTGAAATGTTAGTGCTGTAAATGGTATCATGATTTTAAATTTCTTTGCTGTATTATAAATTAATGGTTAATTATTGAAATGTTAGTGCTGTAAATGGTATTATGATTTTAATTATGTATTGTGGTTATTGTATTGCTGCTTTAGGGGTGTTACTCTTTTGTAAACTGCTTTGGATACAAGTTTGCAGAAAATGCAGTATAGAAATAACATCATGATTATATTATATAGTTATTATTTTATCATTATGAGCTGAAGAATTTCTCCTCTCCTGTCAGTATATATCAGTATTGTCTTGACATATCTTAGGGAAGTAGCAAGAACTATATAATGCCAATCTGAATAAATATGGAAAGTTGGTTTACATAAAATAGTGTCTAATGAATAAAATGGCTTAGTAGCTTACACTGCCGTTGCAGAAAAATAAAAGAGCAATCTCATGAATTGTTACAACTTACACAATACATTCAAACCTGCATTGCAAGGACCATAAGCATAAATTACAGGTGATGAACCTTGGGCCTTTCAGATGCTACTGGACCATAGCTGTCAATGTTTCCCTTTTTTAAAGGGAAATTCCCTTATTCCGAATAGGATTCCACACAAGAAAAGGGAAAAGTTGACAGCTATGTACTGGACTCCAATCTCATCAGCCCCACGCTTGAGTTCCTTTACCAATAATTCAGGAATTTTCACCACTGTAACTAAGCCAAATTTTACTGTCTGTGTTTTCTGACTGGTGTATGGAAAAGCACATGAACCTGACCTTTAAAGAGTTTGTAAGTAAACTAATTTTAACTTGCTAAATGTGTGATCGTTTTCTATGATAGGGGAAGAGGGGAACTTTGGATGAAATGTAGAAGGGCGTATTTTAAAGGTCTAACAGTCTATATTTCCACACTTTGCTTTGCTGCATATTATGTGATTTTAAATCTCTGCTGGAGTTCTCTAACCAAAGAGTACTTGCCCAAAGCCTGGATCTTGGCATCCAGAAATTATCTTTTTATACCATTTTCCCCCACCCCTTGCCACAACACTTTTTGGTCTGACTGGAATCATTTCTCATCATAAGATTGTTTTGAAGTTAAGCTCTTGTGTTCCTGAGCTCCCAGACTTTAAGATCTGCAACTGGATGACCAGGTAGTTGAGTCAACCCAGTTGGATACTTCACCCACATATATGAGGAAGTAGATGCTGGTTTATGAAGGCTTATGTCTTATTTTCTTTTTTTAATAAACACAGTCTTTAATGTGCCACAGACCCTTTTGTTCTCCTGCCCCTGATACCACAGACTAACACAGCTACCTCTCTTCTGTTTATTTATTTTAAACATGCAATTTAGACAAACAGAAACAGACAAAACTGCTTTAAAGAGTGGGTGAGAGAGGTGGTTTTGTCAGCAAATGCAAGCTTATTCAGCTGGCTATCTTGAGCCAAGATAAGATAGCCTTAAGCCTGGTCTTAAACTGGAAGGTTGTCTTTTAACAATAATGGATATTCTAGGGTCTGGAGTGGTTGCAAGACTCCTGCAGAACACTCCTGATGTTTTCCTTTGAATTGTGTTCAGTCCACCATTCTCACCAATTCACCATGGATAGATTGGTATTAGGTAGTGGAAAGCCCATTTTGATGTTTCCACTGGTGAAAGTACAATTACAGCATCCTGCGATGGAGATCTGAATGCAGGCCAGATGGAATCTCCACTACTTCCTCTCTCTCTTTTTTTTGAAAACATTGGGTTTTTAAAATTATTTCCTTCAGTGTAACAAGGAACAATAAAAAAGGAACAAATAAATCAGCAATAAATAATACAGTGGTACCTCGGTTTACAAACTTAATCTGTTCCGGAAGTCCGTTCTTCAACCGAAACCGTTCTTAAACCGAGGCGCACCTTCCCTAATGAGGCCTCCTGCTGCCAGTGCCCTTCCACCGTTCAGATTCCGTTCTTAGACCAAGGTAAAGTTCTCAAACCAGGACACTACTTCCGGTTTTGCGGAGTTCAAAAACCGAATCGTTCGTAAACAGGACTGTTCTTAAACCAAGGTACCACTGTAAAATAAAATAAAATCATCACACACAGAGTGGATTATATACACATGTATGCACAACACAGGCATGTATATGCATGTGGTATACAGAATAATTTAAGTGACTGAAACTAAAGAAAATAATAGGCCTACACAACAAGAAGAGGTACAGAATGTTTAGGACTGAGGTGAATGGTTAGACAAGAAAGGCAAGCGGTATCTCAGAGGATATTTAGTACATCCAGCTTGTATGAGGTAAGTCAAGAACCGCATATTTTCAGATTTTTCAGATTCTGTCAGTCCTCTGAGAAGCCTCTTTCACTCGGTCAAGCTTTTATTGTAATACCAAATTCTAGACTTCACTCTCCCTCTAGAGAGAACACAGAATTATGTTTCCAGTGGTGAGCTATTTCCATCTTAGTAGCCAAAGGAAGAAATAAAATAAAGTCTTTGGGGGTTAAATCATTCATGTTATTCAGGAAGATAGAGCGCAAAGCAAACCAGGGTCAAGGGGAAGGCTCTGACGAACAATAGTGGAGATTTGTTGTAAAACTTCAGCCAAGACAGGTCCAAAGGTAGACAAAGGTAACCATTCCATTGCACCCCCTCCAGCAACTGGGTGTGAGGTCAGCATTCATCTTAGACAGATATTTTGTTAAAGCAAAATAAACCCTAACCTATCCTCTTGCTGACCAGTCTCTCTCATCCATTAATTTATTTTACAAATAATTTAACATAAAATAATGGACTAAGGGAGCGCTTTGGGATATAAGTGACAATCTAGTAGAACATTAACACCAGATTGCAAAACAATTGTAGAAAAAGGTTGCCCAATGTCACTGAATGGAGTAAAAGTTAATGTTTATGTTCTTAAAGCTTAAACATTTTCAGCTAAATCTGACTCTCTTAAACTCTGGTGACTTTCCTTTTGCACTTCTTCCCAGAGTGTAGGATGTGGTAAGTATGTACAGGTATATATATATATATATTATACTATTTCTTGTTCCAGTCTGAAAAAAACTTAAGAAGTTTCCTTTAGCAAACTCAGATGGCAGTAAATGGGGTTTCTGAATTTCAGACCTATAGGTATGCATCTAACAATGAAACAATCTAATCTGACATAAATATATAGGTCCCAGTGCCCAACTAAAGATAGTCATAAAAGCAGTCCGACTGAAATGAGCAATGACTAATATTTTCTTCCAGGTATTTTTTTTTAAAAAGAACAACTTTAGACACAACCATTTTTTTAATGGATCAGAGCAAACTCAGGTTGTGCATTTATACCTGATTTGGTTATCTTGCTCAGGAGACCAGACCCTGCCCACTGGACTTTTTGCTATAAGAAAACAGAGCTGGAAAATGCACTGGGAAGTGTGGTGTAACAATTGCTTGATGCAACACTATATGACAAATCACCAATATTCAGTAAGCAGTTGACATTATCTACTCTCTGCCACCCACAAACATAAAGTGTAGTTGATGTTCGTGAGCAGCTAACTTTGGTGCATTCCGGTCTACCACTAGCACACTTTATCGATGAGGTCCATTGCAGGTGGTACTTTACACACAGTTAGCCTCCTATTTTCAGCATGAGACTGAAGGAACTAATACTCTGAGCTCTTCTGCCCTGAAGAAAGGTCCTGGATCTGGAGTGAAGTTGCATTTCCATTGCATCGTTCCAGTTGCATCGTTGCATCCATCTTTCTTTTTCATATACTACAACATCAGTGTTCGTTTTGTTTTCTGTTCTTGAGCAGAATTTGGAATGTTCTTTTTTTTATCCTTTTGGTTTTCCATCAAGGCAAGATCATTCACGGCAGCTGCAATGAAGCATCTCTCCAGACTTTTAAAATCTCTGAGTGCCTCCAAATTGCCCTATAGAATTAAAAGTCAACCTTGCAGTGGATCTCCAGATTTGGATTTCTCCGACTATGAAGCTCTCTACAAGAATGTGCCCGAACATTTCAATTTCGCAAGCGATGTGCTGGATAAATGGAGCCAAAAGGAGAAGGTATGAAACTCTGTCTGTCATGATTTCTTCCTAATATTATCAATCAATCAATCAATCAATCAACCAATCAATCAATCTTTATTACGGTCCAGAGACCCAACAAATCATTACAAATCAATACACAATTTTGTTGCATTGTGCAAAATATGAGCAGGCCAGGGCTGAACTGATATTACCCTTGCTGGTACCTTTCCCGGGAAAATCAGAGGCTCACTATGTCAGGTTCCTACTGGAAGACCGGACAAATGCTAGAACGTTAGCAGTGGCAAAGTTTTTATCGGTGGTTGCAAGAACAAATGAGCCCTATATTCTAAACAAAATGCTTGACTAATATTATCAGCCAGCCTTTCTTTGCTGTTTACAGTCAACAGTCATTGCAAAAAAAACAATGAATCCAGGTGGAAGTGAGCATCAATTTTCCGATCCGCAAATCATCTAAACTTAAAATTGTAAAATTCCCTGAATCTTTTAAATTAAAATGCCCCTTTGGCAATCAACACTGTTTTTTTAATAAAAAAATACCGGTAGCTTTCTTACTGCTGGCACATATAACATTACTCTATAGGTAACAAATGAAACCATCTAATAATATTATGTCATCCCATAGACAGAAATGCATTACTACTGCAATGCACTCTACGTGGGGCTACCTTTGAAGGTGACCCAGAAACTGCAATTAATCCAGAATGCAGTAACTAGACTGGTGACTGGGAGTGGCCGCCGGGACCACATAACACCGGTCCTGAGAGATCTGCATTGGCTCCCAGTACGTTTCCGAGCACAATTCAAAGTGTTGGTGCTGACCTTTAAAGCCCTAAATGGCCTCGGCCCAGTATACCTGAAGGAGCATCTCCGCCCCCATCGTTCAGCCCAGACACTGAGCATAGCTGTCATCTTTCAGATTTGAAAATAAGGGATCAGCAGCCTCACCTGTCCCGGGGACAGTCTACAGGATATCTAACAATCCAGGATAGCAGCGGGAAGCAGCAGGAAACGCACTGGAATAAGGGAATTTCCCGCAAAAAAAGGGGGAGGTTGATAGCTATGACACTGAGATCCAGTGCTGAGGGCCTTCTGGCGGTTCCCTCATTGTGAGAAGTGAGGTTACAGGGAACCAGGCAGAGGGCCTTCTCGGTAGTGGCGCCCGCCCTGTGGAACACCCTCCCATCAGATGTCAAGGAAATAAGCAGCTATCTTATCTTTAAAAGACATCTGAAGGCAGCCCTGTTTAGGGAAGTTTTTAATATTTAATGCTGTATTGTTTTTAACACTTGATTGGGAGCCGCCCAGAGTGGCTGGGGAAACTCAGCCAGATGGGCGGGGTATAAATAATAAATTATTATTATTATTATTATTAACCTTAGAATGGACTTGAGCAACTGATCAAATCTCTCCATCATGTTAGTTCCTTAATAAGGGTTACCCTCCTTTGAACTGCAGTATTTCTTAGGACACAGTTGATAGTGCTATTAACTTAATTCTAGCATAAAGAATACACCTGGACGATACATCAATTTAATATGGCATTCATACCACTATGGAGGAAGTGAAAATAGAGGTGGGAGCAGGAAGCCGATTCAGTTTGAATTTAAAGGCAGACTTACATCATTTGCATTTCCTGAAACAAGGTTCAAACCAAATGCAGCCATCCTTCAAAATTTGCAATTTTCCAAATTTTGCAATGTGGCCCTCCAGCCAAATAGTTTGTAAAGACATGCATATACTAGTTTAAAGCTATTGGATTATATTTTGGTGAAAATAGCATGCTAATATGCATTATATGAGGGGAAATTGCTTTCAAAAATGTTTATATCAGGATAAATTTGTGCTAAAATACTGGTGAATTTTCATGAGAATTTAAAAATAAAAAAACTGCAAACTGATGGGGAAATATGGGATCTTGCCAAGCCTATCCACGTGGTTCAGAATTAGATCCCTGCCACTGTACTCAACAAGACTTTCTCCAAAATAAGTTTGAATTGGAATGTGACGTCAGAATAAAAGTTCATTTCATGTTCATTGTTGTATTTTACCTATAGTTTGGTAAATGTTATGCCGACATCTTTTGTATGTTTGATCAGTATTTATCGGTATTTACTTGTGAATGGCTTATATTCTTTTCTGTAAACAGCTTAGAGGCTTCTTGTTGTACAAACAGTAGATAGATTTTTGGGTAAAGGTTTCTACTCTGCATGCAGAAGGTCCCATGTTCATTCCCCAGCATCTGTCAGGCTTCAGGAAATTGGCTCCCTGCCCCCCATGGTAGTAGATAAGCAGAACAAAGGAAAAGGAGTCTTCTTACCAGTTAGAAACTTTAATAATCACAGCGAGAGAACAAAGAATGCAGCTCCTAGAAAGGGCGGTGCTCCCAATTAAGGATCACCCCCCCTTCCATCCCTATTAATCTTCGTCATTCCCACGTCTTGTAATCTGAGCTTGTACCTGCTAATATTGTAACGTCTCATTCTCACATTGCAGAATGTTGCGGGTTGCCTTTAATTACTTACCGTAATTTTTGCTCTATAAGACTCACTTTTTCCCTCCTAAAAAGTAAGGGGAAATGGAGTGAATGAAGGCTGCGCAGCTATCCCAGAAGCCAGAACAGCAAGAGGGATCGCTGCTTTCGCTACACAGTGATCCCTCTTGCTCTTCTGGCTTCTGGGATTCAGAATATTTTTTTCTTGTTTTCCTCCTCCACAAACTAGGTGCGTCTTATGGTCTGGTGCATCTTATAGAGCAAAAAATACGGTAATTGATTTATGAGAATGGGAACTATTTAAATGTCTCCTCTCTCTCTGCTCCTCTGCTGAAGAAGATGGATGTGAGAGTCGTCTTGTTGTTTTGTTATTTGCTTTATAGATAAAACCTTTGATGTTACTATTCCCACCACAGTTGCTTCTGCTGCATTCTGCTGTAAAGGACTGAGTTTACTATCTGCAAAAGGGCATTTAATGCTCACAGTACCCTCTGTGCTTTCTGTTCTGACACTTTCCGAGCCCTTCTTGACCTTGGGCTGAGCGGAGGAATGCTGTCCAGAGACTGAGAATCTGTTAACCCTCTTTCTTCCAGTGCTTCTTCTCCTAGCTGTTCCCCATCCAGTATTTCCCAGCTTCTGCCTTCTGAACTATGCCCCTCTGCAAACCACTGTTCCAAATCTATACTGTCCTCTTGCTCCTGCGAAGATTCAGGAGCAGGAGAAGGGGGAAACTCCCACCATTCCTCCTCAGTACAGCCCTTCTCAGCATGGTCCCTGACAGCATCTCCACATAAAGCTGGGAAAGACGTCCATTGGAAACCCTGGAGGGCTGCTACCAGTCAATGTAGAAGATACTGAACTATATAGATCTATGGTCTGAATCGGTATCAGGCAGCTTCCTGTGTTGTAAAACGAATAACTATCCTCCATATACCTTTCCATCTTTTGTACCTGATAGGATGGAAAGAGACCTTCCAATCCCGCTCTTTGGTGGGTAAGTGGGAAAGGTGAGGAGGTGCGGTGGAGCTTTGAGGAGCTGGCATTCTTATCCAAGAAATCAGCCAACGTCCTCTCCACAGCCTGCAATCTGCAGAAGGGAGATCGAATCATCATCCTCCTCCCCAGGGTGCCTGAGTGGTGGCTGATCAGTGTGGGCTGCATCAGAGCAGGTCAGTCAGCTCCTCTCTGTGCTAGGAACCGACAGAAAGATCCATTTTTTGCTGTGTCTTCCTCTCCTCTCTTTTTAATCACACTTTGTTTTGCTCCTAGGTGTCACCTTCATCCCAGCCATGACCCTGTTGACTGCTAAGGACATCTTGTACCGGCTCCAAAAGTCTCGGGCCAAATGTATAGTAACAAACGACGCCTTGGCACCATTGATCGACTCTCTTGCATCTGATTGCCAGTTCCTGAAAACTCGGATGTTGGTCTCCAAAGGCACCCACAGAGAAGGATGGCTGAACTTCCATGACCTGCTGAAGTGAGAATCTCTGCTGCCTTGTTAAGCAAGTCAGGGATAAGTCAAAGAGTGAGATACAGAAAAACCTGCAATCTTCATCCTCTAGACAGGAGATAAAGGAGATAAGTAACTATACAGCTTTTAGAAGACATCTGAAGGCAGCCCTGTATGGGAGAGTGTTGTTTTTTTTACATGTTTAATGTTTTATTGTGTTTTAATATACAGTCGTACCTTGGAAGTCAAACAGAATGCATTCCAGAAGTCCGTTCAACTTCTAAAATGTTTGGACACCAAAGTGCGGCTTCTGATTGGCTGCAGGAAGCTCCTGCAGCCAATCGGAAGCCACAGAAGCCCCATCAGATGTTTAGCTTCCAAAAATAGTTCACAAACCAAAAGAGACACTTCCGGGTTTGCGGCATTCAGGAGCCAAAACGTTCGAGAACTAAGCCGTTTGGAAACCAAGGTATGACTGTATGTTGGAAGCCACTCAAGGTGGCTGGGGCAACCCAGTCAGATGGGAGGGGTATACATTATTATTATTATTATTATTATTATTATTATTATTATTATTATACCAGGGAGGTGGCCATGGTGATATTGCTTCCAGATGTTGTGCCCCAGGCACCATGGTCAATGTTCGGGGTGATAGATATTGTTGCCCTGCAATAAATGGAGGGTATGAGGGATTTGGCCTGGAAAACAATAAAGAAAATAACCAGTGCTTGCAAAACCTTGTCACCCATTCAGTAGGGCTGGCCTGATACATTTTTTCTGCTGGAGAAGAACAAGATCATGCAAAGGGATGGGGAGGAATCTGGTTTGCTTCAGATTTTAGTGTGAAACTACCTAATTCACAATTTCTGAAACAATATATGAACTCAAAGGTAGCCGTTTTCAACTTCTCTGAAAATTGTGATGCAATTGTCCCACCAAATACTGTGTACAGAAATGCATACAGCGTGTGCATAAATATGCACACATTGGTGAAAATTACAGCCACAAACCATTGTGTGAGGAAACATCACTTGCAAAAATGGGCCAAACAGGCAAAGGTGTGTGCAAAAAATATGTATTTTGAGAGAAAATGTCCACTAAAACCTTGGGAGAATTTTCACGAGGGCTTAAAAAAAATATCACAAACTGATGCAGAACTTAAGACTAGAAGAATGAGAAACTGATGTAGATCATAATGGAGTCTTATGGACGAGGGCTCTGTACTGCAACATTTTGCTGCAGGTCCCACATATTCATTTTCTCATTTGTAGTCTGGTCATGCACACCAGAAGCCAAATCCCCATGCTACTCAATTAGTATAAAAATGCCTCTCATAAACGAATAAAAATAAAATTGACCAACAACAAGTTCAGGACAAAGGAAAGCATTACATAACAGAACCACTTATTGGATGCTACCAGATGTTGTGGGAGATGTTCCCTCTATTTCTACTGTTCAGAGATGAGTGTTGATCTTTACATAGCCAAAACAGCTCTATCCATGCACAAAGTGGAATGCTTCTGTAACTGAACCATTTGGTAACAGACACATCCAAATCCTAAAAGAATTTCACAATTTGAGCTTGCAAGATCATAAACCATTTTGACCACACCTAGTCCACTTTTACATACCTGCTTCTCTACTTTAAAGAGCTGCAGGTGATGATCACCAGCCTGTTAAAACAAGGAGTGAAGATCCAATGATCATCTACTTCACCAGTGGAACCACGGGTTATCCCAAAATGGTGGAACATTCCTGCAGCAGCTTGGGGATTGGACTAGCAAGTACCGGAAGGTATCTCCTATCCCTTTCTAAATCTTCAGGTGCGGGAAACACAAGAGAGAGTCCTATATGAGGGTTGAAGAGTGACAATTTCATTGTGGCAGAAGTCATCATGTGCAGTAACTATGGCCTCCCCAAAAAGCTTAAACCACAATAAAGTGTCAATCCACAGACACCCAAAGGAGGGCAGCTGGACACAGCTGGGGTGGCTTGCTGGTGTTATTATGCAAATCTATAGTGTGACCACACTTGGGGTGCTATGTACATTTCTGGCCACCTCACCTCAAAAAGGATATTGTGGAACTGGAACATGTTCAGAACGTTAAAAGGAACCTGCTAGAACAGGCCATTGTGTCCAGTCCGAAGCCCATAAGAAGCCTCCAAGCAGGATCTGAGTGCAATAGTCCTTTCCCTACTTGTACTTCCTAGCAACTGGTATTCAGAGGTGTGCAGTCTTTAGACAAGCCTTATCCTCTGTGAAGATGTCTAATCCTTTTTTAAAGCAATTGAGGTTGGCGAACATCTCACCAAACATTGCCAACACAGCTAATCACAGTTTCAGGAAGGTTGTTTAAATCTGAGATATTGCCCAACCTTGATCAGCTTAAAGTCATTCCCCCCCACCCAAACCCCACATCCCAGCAGTTGCTGTTCTTTAAGTCTTAAAACCAAAAGATCTGACCACATATGACTTTGTATTACATCTCATGTGGCCCTCAGACATTGGCTATTTAATTAAATGTAATTCTAGGGCACCTATCATAGAACTGTAGAGTTGGCAAGAGTCTCTAGTCCAATTTCCTACAATGCAGGAATGTCAGTTAAGCATCCATGGCAGATGGCCATCCAACCTCTGCTTAAAAACCTCCAGAGTCCACAACTTCCTGAGGGAGTCTGTTGAACAGCTCTTACCATCACAAAGTTCTTCCTGATGTTTAGTCAGAATCTCATTTCCTGTGACTTGTAGCCATTGGTTTGGGTCTTACCCTCTAGAGAAGGAGAAAACAAGCTTGCTCCTTCTTCCATGTGACAACCCTTTAGATATTTGAAGATGGCTAGCACATCGCCTCTCAGTCTCCTCTTTTTCAGGTTAAACATACCCAACTCCCACAACCGTTCCTCATAGGGCTTGGTTTCCAGACCCTTGATCATCTTGGTTGTCCTCCTCTGTACATGTTCCAGCTTGTCAACATCCTTAAATTGTGGTGCCCAGAATTGGACACAGTATTCCAGGTGTAGTCTGACCAAGGCAGAATAGAACAGCACTATTCCTTCCCTTGATCTGAACACTATACTTCTGTTGATGCAGCCTAGAATATTATTAGGTCTTCTTCTTTTCTTCACATGTACAGCTGACAAACCAAGTGTTCCCCATCTTATACTACACTTGTTTGCCTCCTTATTAACAGGAACTGGATGGACCTGAAAGCTTCAGATTTGATGTGGGGTTTCTCCGACCCAGGCTGGATCAAATTTGCCTTCAGCAATTTGTATCCTACATGGATGCTAGGGGCATGTGTCTTTCAGCATGGCATGTTCCAGTTCGAGCCAACAACCGTTCTCAATGTAAGGCTAACATTGCCCTATTCGAAAGGCAGAAAGCATGTAAAATATAAGATGTGTGAGACCTCCTGAATCACATGATGCATTTGGAGTGTGTGTGCTTTCCCCCCCTAGACTCTCTCCAAGTATCCAGTGACGATATTCTGTGGCACCCCAACTATTTTCCGTATGCTTCTGCAGCACGACGTTAGCAGGTACAACTACCTGGCTGTGGTTTCTAGAACTCCACCCTAGAGTAACTTGATTCCTGTTTGTTTACCTCACTTCAAAGTCACTCTGCCTGGCTTGAGTCCAGTGATGGCTGGTGCCTGTCGGAACTGGTTGGGCAAAAGACAGGGAGGCCAACAGTAGGTGGAGCCAAAGAGAAAAAACTCCCCTACTGGTTCTAAGTAAGAACTCTATGGGAGATGACTGAGGGTAGACTTTGATGGGGCACTGCACAATTTGCCTGAATAGACCAGCCTCTGCTGGCTGACTCTTTCATTGTCCTTCCCCTTTTCAATTTTACCTCTATGTCTATAAAATTCTCAGAGTGTGGATCCAGCTGAGGCCAAATTGGCGCCACTCATTCTTTGCTTTTCCATGTGTTCTAGATAAAAGTCAGATCTGGTAGAATTAAAATGGTTGTCTCTTTTTAGGAAGACTAAATGTTTCTTCATATCCTTGTTCAGATACCAGTTCAAGAGTCTGAAACGATGCCTGAGTGGTGGGGAGCCAACCAACCTTGAAGTGATTGAGCAGTGGAAAGCTCATACAGGAATAGTAATCAGTGAAGGCTATGGGCAAACAGAGACTGTATGTTTGCATTCAGACACAAACATATATGCCAATGAGCAACAGAAGCCTATCAAATCTGTATGCATGCTTCCCCCCCCCCAAACTCCCCAACTTTGATATGTCCCTCAGTCCATATTGATCATACATAATTCTTATGCAGTACATTCATGATTTGCCTGCACAGGTAGAAATGGGGGGAAATTGACACCCAGAAGCCCAGGCTCAATGTGATGCCAAGAATATCTGATTGGGTGGGGTGAGGGAATGGAATGGAATACCCTGTAAAAGAATGTGGCTGTTGTTTTTTGGAATCCTTTGCAAGAAGACTTCACGGTGCAATTTTTTTTGCAGGTCCAGCTTGCATGATCCTTCCCCAAATCGGTAAAGAGGCAGATGGTTAAAGTCAACTAAAATTTATCTGATTCACTAAAATCCATAGTTACACACACACACACAGAGAGAGAGAGAGAGAGAGAGAGAGAGAGAGAGAGAGAGAGAGAGCTGATTGCACATCTACCTTTTTTTCCTCAGACCATACTTTGTTCAACCCCGAAGGATATGAAAGTCAAGCCGGGGTTTATTGGACCATCATCTCATCCCTTTGATGTCCAGGTAGGCATGTTTATAACACAGGGGAGCCGTAATGGTCATCTTGGTTGTAACAGCCCATGTTGTATGATTTAATATCACGATACCATATTCTAGTAAAACTTAACACTCAGCTAAAATGACAAAATGGAAAAGCTTGCATAACCCACCCTTGTTTATCTTTCTTTCTAGATAATAGATGAACATTGCAATCGCCTGCCTCCTGGGGAAGAAGGAGACATTGCTGTTAAAATCAAACCCAAAAGGCCCTTGGGTCTCTTCTCTGGCTACTTGGTAAGGAGCATAGGTGCCAACTCCCTGAGGCCCTGGGCACCCACAAATTTCAGTGCCAAGGCCATGCATGCTGCATGGAACCCAAGGCCCCAGGCACCCACGGTCGCAGGGCCAAGCTGGCACTCCTGGTAAGGCGGGACCCTTTCAAATGGTTGGGCATTATTCAAGGAATATATGATCATGAGTGTTTCCTCAGCAGACACTAGGAGGACAAAGACTTCACCAAGACCTACTGGCTTCATTTTTCTGCATTCTTGCTTCATGCACTGAGGGTTTTTTTAATATTTTGGTCCATTTTTGTTCATTCATTTAAGGTCCCAGGGCAGGTGGCAAAAATAAAATACACAATTATAAGACACTTGTGACCAAAAAGCAAACAACTTAAAAACAATTCCCTATATCAAAACCATTCAAGAATGTAAAAGCAATCAATTTCACCTCTAGAACCATTTAAAAAATAATAATAATAATAGTTCCAGTACAGATGTCAATTGAGGTAAGAAATATATCCATTTAAAGGACTGTTGAAAGAGGAAGGTCTTTCAATGCTTGTGGAGGCTGCCTTCCTGGAAAGAAGTTTTTGGATGAAAGTGTAATTTATGGATTCTTAAAAGTAAGTAAGTAAAAGTTTTAAAGGGGTATTCACCAAATTCATGGAGGGTGTAATTATTATTATTTGTTGCTTTCCACAATAAAATGACTCAAATTGACTTGCAAAGCCATAATATGACCATCAGTTGATGGGAGCAGCAATGGGAGTGTGTACTGAATTGGAAAGACCTTTGATCTGATCCAGCAGGACTCTTTGAGAATGATATTGACAAATGTATGAATGTTGTGGAGATGGGAGAGACTGAGACATCATTAAGCCCCAGCTTAAGGCCCCTGCTTTCTTGCGTACATCTTTGAAATCTCTGGAAAACCAAAGGTGAGAGCCAACTCCTCACCCACCAAAAAAACCACACACACACACACACTGAATTTGTTGTGGCAGGAGAACATTCTGTCTGTGTTTCTAGATCTGCGACAGGCCCTTCACAAGGGCAGGACACCCCTTGAAGTTGCCGGAATCGAGAGATGAATGTTTCCCTCTTTGGCTTTAGTGATCTCTGCTGCATTGTTCTTAGGATGACCCTGAGAAAACAGCCTCGACAGAACGTGGAGACTTCTACATCACTGGGGACCGAGGGATCATGGATGAAGATGGCTACATCCGGTTTGTGGCAAGAGCTGATGATGTCATCTTATCTGCTGGGTAAGCCTATTTTATGGGCACTTGGAAGGACTATTTATTTACAGCAGAGGTGGGGAACATTTTTCAATCTGAGGGCCACATTTCTTCCTGATGACCTTCCAGAGGCCACCTGCCAGAGGTGGGTAGGTCCAGAGGCAAAAGGAGGTGGAGCAACAAATGTACATTTTACCTAAAGCAGGTTAGTTTCTGCACGTATTTTCAAACACCCTTCTTTAGCTTCCATCCAGGAAAGCAAGAGGCATTAAAGGTAAAGGGACCCCTGACCATTAGGTCCAGTCGCGGACAACTCTGGGATTGAGGTGCTCATCTGGCTTTATTGGCCGAGGGAGCCGGCGTTTGTCCGCAAACAGCTTCCGGGTCATGTGGCCAGCATGACTAAGCCGCTTCTGGTGAACCAGAGCAGCGCACAGAAACGCCGTTTACCTTCCCGCTGGAGCGGTACCTATTTATCTACTTGCACTTTGACGTGCTTTCGAACTCCTATGTGGGCAGGAGCTGGGACCGAGCAACGGGAGCTCACCCCGTCACAGGGATTCGAACTGCCGAACTTCTGATTGGCAAGCCCTAGACTCTGTGGTTTAACCCACAGCGCCACCCGCGTCCCTGCAAGAGGCATTATTGGTGTTCAAAGTCACATTCTAGCAAGGCAAAAGCACTCAAGGAGGATGCAAACCAGGGCTGGCAAGGAGTGTGGCCTGGGGAGAGTCCTGGGGGCCAAATGGAGAGGCCTGCAGGGCTGTGTCTGGCTCCTGGGCCTGAGGCTCCCCACTCCCAATTTACATCATGCATACAGGTCACCCCATGCACACCAGTCTCTGGGCGACTCTCAAACATGAAACAGTAAAATACCATGTTAAAAAATTGTTGGCAGAGATCAAACTGGTTTCACACCACATGTGAACAGTGGCATACCTGTCAACTGCCCCAGAAAAACAATGTTTTGAAAGGTTATAAATATAAAAACTGTCAGGGACTGGGCTGAGGTGGAATGGTGGAGACCGTCTCCCCAGCCTGACCTTTCCAGAGAAGAAGAATACAGTTCAGAATTACAACAGGGGTTTGAGGGAGGTCACAGCTCAGAGGTAGATGAGGGGAGAAGTTGGGAAATAATGGGAGAGGAGGAGCAGGCAGAGCAGGAGCAGCTGGCTGACATGTTGTCACTAGAAAGCATTCCAGACCCACCATCTCCCAGAAACCGGCGAGCCTTAAAAGTAGGAGAGCAAAGATCTCAAAGACAGGCACCCATAGAGGAGGTGGGAGAGAAGGGGGGTGGAGATTCACTGGGACAAAGCCATTATCCAAGAGGCTGTGTTCCAAAGCCTCTCTCTGTAAATACTGAATAAAAAGCGGATGGTAAGAAACTTTTCTTTGTCTTTGTACATTCCCGGGCAACCAGCCATGGGAGTTGCTGGCAGCCACCTGGCAAAAACCAATTCCAAACAACATACTTCAAATCAACTCAAATTCAGAGCAGAGACAGACTTTAGAAGACATGTGGAAAGGAGTAAACATATCGGTATGTAATGAATGAAGCTTTGCAGGGTTAAAGAAAGAGAAAAATGGCATAAAAAGTATAAAGATCTACATTAGACACAACAACTTAGAAAGAGTAAAAATGTCGAGGTCTTAGAACAAAGGAAGGAAGTCAATATGTGTATATGTATGTAATGATTAGATTAGAGTGATGATATGGTTTTATTTGTAGATGTGTGTTTTTGTTTTTTGTGTTCTTTTTTCTCTTGTGTTTTGTTGTTTTTTTCTTGTTTGTACTGTTTCATTTTGGATTCAATGTTTGTAATTTTTGTTGTAATTTTGCATTGATTTTTTTATAAAAAAGAAGGCTTGTGGAAAGAGGAGCAAGTTTGGCAGGCTCCCAAAAAGGACTTTTCTCCAAACCAAGATACTGTATCCCAAATGTTATAACCTTTCCTATTAGAGGAATTGCTCTATCATCTTCATTGTATTTGTTGCCTTTCTCCAATTCTGCGGTATCTTTTTTGGGGGTGAAGCATCCAGAAAAGAATTTAACTTACGCCTCTCAGTATGCAAAGCATGTCTCCTCATGTTGAGCTATGGCCCCTCCTTGTTAGGTATCGTATTGGGCCCTATGAAGTGGAACATGCCTTAATGGAACACCCAGCAGTGGCAGAATCGGCCGTTGTCAGCAGTCCAGATCCCATCAGGGGAGAGGTAACATGAAATGGACCACCATCCACAGTCAGCACCTGGACAGCAGACTGAGCAGGCAGACATGTCACTTGGTGACAATTTCCTATTCCCCACCCTCCTTATGATGAGATGCACTGTATTTCTACTCAAACAATGCCTCTTATTACCAAATTTGCATGAATACATATCCATTCACATATATCCATTCACTGCACACAGGTGGTGTAGTGACAATAAAGGTTTATTATTATTATTATTATTATTATTATTATTTCCATTTTTATGCGAAATCTTGTAGGTTGTGCAAGTGTTGATTGTGGCCTTTCTTTTATTTTTTTGGGGTGGTAGGTTGTAAAAGCCTTTATCATCCTGTCGCCTGCCTACGAGTCACGAGAGAAAGACCAATTAATTTGTGAGCTGCAGGACCATGTCAAGAAGACAACAGCTCCCTACAAGTACCCCAGAAAGGTAAGAAGAGGGTTCGCTGTTCCTGGGCATCAGTCTTGAGGCTGGATTTAACAACAGGCAACACCAGCCAGCAGCCTTGGGCGGAGGTATAGCCTGCCAACTTCAACATTTGAACTGCCCAGTCATGTTCAGGTGGGGAGGAGCAGCCTGAGCAACGGACCAAAGTCAGGAAGTCTTCACTCCAGTCTGCTGTCTAGGAATAAAAGCCTTGGACACTCAGTACAGTTGTCCAAAGAGTAGCCGTCCCTCCCTCCCCTCACGCTGCTGTTGTTTAACATGTAATCAAGCACAACTCTGTATACATGATGAGAGTGTCTTGCACGCTAAATAGCTCAACACAGCTCCAAATAATGCAAGCTCAAATAATATATATAAATATACAGTCTCAAATCAGTCTTGAAGAGATATATACAATCGTACAAATTACTATTCAATGCCACCAGGTTCAAGAGTTCAACTGCAATTTACTGAAGGCCAGGGTGCAGGTTCTCTGCGTTAAATCTTGTAGATAAGAAACTGTGTACGAGGAGGACTCTGACAACGAGACGTCTGGGTAAAATCTCTGTCTCGTCTTCCTCCTTCAGGTCGGTCCAAGTACACTGACGAACAGGCAACTTTATGCTCACAATTAGGTCATGTCCTGCCTTGCGTGGGCACTCAGCTTCTGGTAAAATGCTGTTTAGCATGTGTCTTAACCTTGCTTTTGCTTCCAGGTGCACCCTGTGTATTGACCTTGCTATGGTTTGAAATAATAGTAATAGTAATCTTCTGGGAGCAAATTCCACAGCTTATGTATGTACTGTATGAAGAAGTACCTCTTATTATCTGTCCTGAATCTTCAAACATTCAGCTTCAATGGATCACCCTGAGTCTAAGTCATTTAAACACTTCTATCATCGTTTCCCCTGGGAAAGGAATGACTACAGTGACCAATAAAATGTGCTCATCTCTCTCTCTCTCTCTCTCTCTCTCTCTCTCTCTCTCTCTCTCTCTCTCTCCTTGATCTTTCAAAACAGATAGAGTTTGTTCAAGACCTGCCCAAGACAATTTCTGGAAAAATCCAAAGGAAACAGCTGAGGAAGAAGGAGTGGGAGAAAGCCTAACAGGACTCTGAAACCAGCATGAAAGGACTGGTTTTTATTTGTCTCAATAGTCTCAGAGGTAGATGATAGATAGATAGATAGATAGATAGATAGATAGATAGAAGCCATCAGGGACAAATTAGACATCACCAATCACCTATCAGCATATGGTAGCATTAAAGGGTTTCTGACTATGCATGAAGCTTGACGTCAGTGCTTTCCAAATCACTTCAAGGTTGGATTACTGTAATGCACTCTGTGTGGGGCTTCCCTGGCACCTGACCCAGAAACTGCAGCAAGCCCAGAATTCTGCAGCATGGTTGCTGACAGGAGTAAAACTCCATCTACATATGACACCTCTGCTCAGAAATCTGCTCTGGCTGCCCATTGGTTACTGCGACAAGTTCAAAGGCGTATATTAAGCCCGTAACAGTTTGGAACCAGTTCGTTTGTTAGATCACCTTACCCCATAGATGACCACGCAAATTACCCCTACACCTAATCTTTCCTATCACCTCCTTTAAGTAGAGATTCCGTTTGTCTGCACCTCCTGCATGCACAACTTGTGCCAGTGGCGAACTTTGGGCTTTAAAATTTCAGCTGCGCTCTGTGCAATGCCAAAATTTGGCACTCCCCATGCCTTCCGTTGTGCATCAATGTTTCAGCACCCTCTCGACTCAGCACCCAATGCAGGCGAACCAGTCATGCTCCCCTAAATCCGCCTCTTCGTGTGCCCAACTTCTGCGCTGTGATTCCTTACTGAATATACTTTAATAATGGGCAGTGGAACCCAATCATCCATTTCTTAATCTGTTCAAGGTTACAGTTGCAAAAACAAAATAAAAAAGAGCTCCGTTCATTGCCAAGTTGTGCTTAACGTTGTTTTTAACCATACATTACCTGAAGCAAAAGGACGTGTGCAACCTTAGTGTGCTCATTTGGTTGTTTATATCATAAGCATTCGGTGAAACACAGGGCAAAGGAGTTGTCCCCTCTCTAAATAACTTTGCTACCCATGCCTTCAAGAAGACCCTGGTTCTCTTTCATTGCCACAAAGCCGAGCTCACAAACACATCTGCTCAGACGCAGCCTGGGAGAACAGCAAACCGGTCTGATGGCCAAGCTGCCAATTATCTTTCAGCAAAGACCTCAATGGAGTGATTACTGGGCAAACAAACAGCAGTTCCCAGAAGGAACGGTGCCAAGTGCCGCCCCGCAGGTGGATCTATAATACCCCAGCACTTTGGGGGATAATGCTGTGTTTCTACAACATCTAAGCTTTTAATTGATGCTGGCGAGGGAGACGAGGTCAGCTTTCTTCCATCTCATAAGGGTAATTCACATTAATAGCGAGTAAGAAGGACACTCCTGTTGGGTGCAGAGGGTATCTCCATGCCCTTTCATGCTTGCTAAACAAAATGAGAGCAGTGAGCAGAAGACTAGATAGGAGCTGGCTCCCAAGGAAAGCATTTGTCATTGGTAATGAGTTCTCCAGGGGACGAGGCTCTGCTTGTTTGGCACAGATACCACCTTAGCAACACAAACAACAGAAACATATTGCCCTGCTTATGGACTTCCCCATAGAGACCTGGTTATCCACCATAGGAAGCAAGATCCTGGACTAGATAGAGCCTGGATGTGGGGACCATTGGTCCTCCAGATGCTGTTGTACTATCATCATCTTCATCATCCTCTGATGCAAGTTGTAGCTCAGCAACATCTGGAGGGCCAAACGTTTCCCACTCCCAAGTTAGACTTTTAGCCTGATCCAGTAGGTGTCCTAGGTATGTACTTAGTAAGGACAGTCCGTATTATGTAGTAAATGGCTCACTGCCCATATTCATCTCATGGTGGTGATCAGCTCAGGCTTCAAGAAGAGCATTAAGGACCTAAGAAGAGCCTGCAGGATCAGGCCAATGGCCCATCTAGTCCAGCATCCTGTTCTAGCAGTGGACAACCAGATGCCTGTGGGAAACAAGCAAGCAGGATTTGAACACAAGAGCACTCACCCCTTCTTGTGCAAGCTGCACCTCCAGTTTCCATTTCCTGGCTTTGGGCAGTATTCTGTCCCAGCCAACAGTCCAAGATCAAGTGAGGCAGGTGTAATGGGGGGTGGGCTTGTGGCAAGTCCTCAAACACCAGATCACATACCAATAGCACCAGTTCCGAATTCAGAAATGTAGGGGTTATTGTGCTAATTTTACTGGTTATAATGCTAGCACTTCTTCCCCAGTTTCTAATATTCCTTTTACACCGCAGCACCATGTTGTGTTATGGAACTGAGACTTTTTAAAAAATAAATAAAAAATCAACGTTCCACCACATTGTGCTAAAATTTAAAAGGGCAAGGAAAGACCTTATTTTGTCAATGCAAAACTCAAGCAATTTTCCCAGTTGCAAATGGATTCCCACCCCCCTCAAAACAATCAACACCAGAAACAAGTGCTAAATCTCCACTAGATTTCCAGAAGTGGCTTTCACATTATGGGGACGACCACCCAAAGTGCAAAAATGAACAAGCAAGCAGCACAAAGATGGACTTAGGTGTCATCTGAATGTGGTCAGACTCAGCTCAGATTCCAGCAAGGCAAAATCTAACACAGCAGAGGGCAAGTCTGGACAAGCAAGGTGAACATAACACCTAGTCTAGAAGATGGGCTTGAATACTACTACAACATACCCTCCAAGGGTCCCCATTTTCCAAGAACAGTACCAGAATTACAGAAGCCACCCCAGTTTCTGATTTCATCCCAGAATGTCCCGGTTGTCCTTTTTCTTTCCCTCCATGTCTCGGAGAACAATTAAAAATGGTGTACGTCTGTGGTTGCAAAAACGGGAGTCCTGTTTATATGGAGAATAAATCCCTGAACCAAATGAAGGAAATGTTGATGGGGCACATAATCTTGAAGGAAAGACTCACTAATCCGCTTTCAATTCTTTAATTCCAATGCTTCTGCAGCCAGCAGTTTCTTTGGAAATGCAGGGCGTATCTATTTCTTTACAGCCATACCTTGGTTCTTGAACGGAATCAGTTCTGGAAGTCCATTCAACTTCTGAAAACATTCAAAAACCAAGGCGCGGCTTCCGATTGGCTGCAGGAGCTTCCTGCATTCAAGCGGAAGCAGTGTCGGATGTTCAGCTTCCGAAAAACATTCGCAGACTGGAACACTCACTTCCGAGTTTGCGGCATTCGGGCGCCAAAACATTCGAGTCGCGAGGCGTTCAACAACCAAGTTATGACTGCATTGTAAATGGAGCCTTACACTGTCTACTCAGAAGTAAGTTCTGCTGTGTTCAAGGGATGCATTATTATTTCTGAGGCTTTCAAAAGGTACACCTAGTAACTGCCTGTTTATTCCTCAAAACAGAAGCATTTTTTTTTCTTTATACCCCTATGCTGTCATCTCCTGAGATTTCCCATCATCCTCCCTCAGTCTTGCCAAGGGAGTCAAAATTCATTGAAAACATGGTACTTGGAGGCAGAATTATGCAGATTGATTTAATGTGCCTAATGTATTCATAACAAAGAATGGTGGTTGCCCTAACCGATGGCTTTAATTGAATCACAACTCCATCCCTTAATAGATGTTTTAATATTTTAAATAGCTATGCCCAAGGGCCTTTGTGCAGCTCAACAAACTTATGCTAAGCCATCATTAACTTTAGGCATTTTGCCCAAATTGCTATGATGAGTGGAAACAGTACAGCGCTACGGCACAACTGGAGCAAGAAAATGAAGAACCACACAGGAGAAAACAAAAGGAGATTGGGGTCAATGGTGGCTCAGTATCAAAATATGCTTGTTCTGTTCTTCATTCTAAGTGAGCAGGTATTGTACCAGGGCTGCTGTCAGCAAATGGTGTCCTTGGGCAGTTGCCAGGGTCCCAACAACCTGGTTCACAGCTCTGAGAAATGCTAGGCAGCTGAGTCTAGCTGTCATTTTAACTTCCCACATTGTCCAGAACCAAACATCATTCTGGGGCCTTGTAGGAGATTAAAATGGTGCCTCCTGCCCATCTTGAACTGCTTGAAGTAGTACAGCTCCCTGACATGACCGCCAGTTGAGTGTGTCCACAAGTGGAGGAGGAGGAGGAGGCCACTAGAGAGTGTCAGACTAAAATCTGGAAGTCCAGGCTTCAAATCCCCATGAACCTCAACTGGGTGACCTTGGACCAGTCACTGCCCCTTAGTCCTAACCTACCTTGCAGAGTTGGCTAATATGGAGAGGGTTAGAAAGAGCCATATACACCACCTTGAGCTCTTTGAAGGAGATGTGTGCTTTACTGACTGAACGAACGAACGAACGAACGAATATTGGCATTGGCCATCTGAATGGGAGTGTTTTCTTCCAATCCAAATATTTTTATTTATTTATTTGGAGGTGGGGAATTATAAACCACCCTTTATTCAAAACAGGATTCCAGGGTGGCATGCAAAGAAATTTTAAAATGACAGAAACATTGCAACACAAACTGATACGAATAAAATTAAGAAGACTAAAACTGTTCAACAATCAAAAATGACTGCTAGTAGTATCAACCCCGGGCAATCTGGATAAGGTCTGGAGTGGGGAATACAGGGTTAAGGGCCCTACATCAACCTCCACCAGCTGCTACCTCCCCATGCATGCCAGTTACTTACTTAAAACAACAACAACAACAATAACTAGGAATTGTTAATTGTATGAATGCCATCCTGTATAGTTCTACCTACACCACAAAACTTCCTGAACTCCTATATTAGCTGTCTCCGCCCCCCAAATCTCTGCTGGCACCATAGGATGAAATTATAGCTTCACCTGCAGCGGATTAGTTATTGATCTGCAGTGAGAGGCCAAGGAAAGGCAGGGCTAGTATATGTTTTCTTTTCTGCTCTTCGTGGCTTAAAAAAAAAAAAAAGGATCATTGGTGAAACAAACAACTTCATTCTCACAGGGGAATAATCCTTTCCTGCGAAAGGCCCTTATAGTACGAACAAGACTCATACGCTTTGAAGAAGCCGGATTGAGGAGCAGGAGTTGGCCAGAGGCTCTTTCCCTCTCTGGTGGTGCAGGATGACATCTTGTCTAAGCCAACTGCCTCCAGGTAACAATGGCTTGCTTGCTTTTGAGTTATCGGTTCTTCCATGCACACCCTGAATTTGTTTGTGATTTCTTATCTATCCTTGCAACAGTCCTGTGAGGTAGGAAGGTTGCCCAGCACGAACTTTCTCATCGCTAGTCCTACTGCCAAACTAGATATGATGTCACACTTTTTTAAAGAAGGTAATAACTGGCAGGGGGCTGATCTGGACCAAGAGAAGTCATAGGAGCTTTACGGAAGTTGTTTTAGACTGCTTTTAGTATTGTGTTGTAAGGTTGTGTTTTGCTGATGTAAACTGCCCTTCAGGGTGAAGGGCAGGTAATTAATAATAGTAATCATAAATAATCATAATGTAACTCTTTGCCCCATCCGTAATACTGATTACAAATGGTGGAGGTATTGGGTTCAGTTCACATTCAGAAGGTGCATCTAATTAATTCACCATTCTCAAAACAATATGTGAATTGAAACACAGCCATCCGTTGAAATTTGCATTTCTCCAAATTTTGCAATGCATTTCTCAAACCAAATAATGAGGACAAAAATGAATATGCTAGCAGAAGGCGCACAGAGCTTGCATATATTAGTGAAAATAGCATACAAAACTACATTGTGTTACCCGGGGCTTAAAAAACAAACAAACCATGAATTGCTGCAGAAATACTGAGAAATGAATTTAAGATTGGGGAAATGAGAACCTGAGAGGGGCAAAATTGACAGATCCTTCCATCTGCTAGTCAGGGATGTTGTGCTTGCATGCCCTGTGTGTCTATTTTGTATTCTTTTTAAATGTGTATACTGTTTTTTGTGCATTTAACTGTTTTTTCCCCATTTTTATTGTTCATTCCAATTGGGTAGAAGGCAATTAATAAATTGTTAATCATCCTCACCATCCTGCATTGCATATCCTATACAATACAAATGCAAATAAACATCCAAGACAGAGATGTAATAAATAAATAAATAATACATTTGGCTGGAAAAGCTGGCTAGAACAAAAATGTCCTTAGTTATTTCGAGAAATTATAAATAGTAGCTAGAGGAACTGGACTAGATGACATCTAAGTCAACAGTTCTATGGTTCTATAACAAATAATGATTCGTTTTCTCTTTTCTTGAAGGACCAAATCACCCATGATCCCAGGTCCACTCACATTGCAACATGGAAATCTTACTCAAGCTCAAAACACTCAGGCCTGTCTGGAGTTGCCAATCACTTTGCAGGGCATTCCAGAATGACAACAAGAGGTTCGCTTCACTCAACCTTTCACACTACGAAGCTATTAACCGGGGTGACAAGGAGGTCCCAGAGTACTTTAATTTTGCAAGCGATGTGCTGGATCAATGGTCCAAAGCTGAAAAGGTAACCTTCCTCCCCACTCAGGGTAGCCATTTCCTGCTTTACTGGGGTGATATGCCAAGACAGTGCTTGAATTTGGGAGGAAGGGGGATCCTATAAAGAGAGACACCTCGTTCCTGGCCTCCACCAGTTTTTAGCCAAATTGCATCCCCTGTAACCTTCAGAAAAGAGTAGCTAAGGTAAGTGTCTCAAAAGATAAGGCGACCAGGAGCCCTCAACCCACTTAGTCACTTAACTAGGCAAAAACAGTCATCTTTCACCACGTCTTTGACCTTTACTTATCCATGGTCTCTTTGAGTGAATGGGATGTTTTAATCTAAAAACTAAGGCCGAGGGGCCGGATGTGGCCCAATCGCCTTCTAAATCCGGCCCACAGACGGTCCGGGAATCAGCGTGTTTTTACATGAGTAGAATGTGTCCTTTTATTTAAAATGCATCTCTGGGTTATTTGTGGAGCATAGGAATACATTCATTTATTTTTTCCCCAAAATATAGTCCGGCCCCCCACAAGGTCTGAGGGACAGTGGACCGGCCCCCTACTGAAAAAGTCTGCTGACCCCTGTTCTAGCTTGTAAAAAACGGTTTTTTCATTTTTCTTTGTTTTATTTTTCTCCAGTTTTAACGTATCTGTTTGCTTGCTTGTTTTTACTGCAAATCACTTAGTTACTTTGGTTTAAAAAAGAGTGACCAATAACAACTTATTATTGTTATTGTTGTTGTTATTGTTGTTATTATTGTTATTATTACCAGTGCTGCTACTATTACTCTGTTCTGAAGGTTGCTTACACAAAGCTTACGTGGTGGTTAAACTGTGCCCAGACTTTACTGAGCATTCGTTCCAATTTGTTTGCACAGCCTGCATTTACGTATTGGTAAAAGGGCTGGAGACTTACTTTGATTTTTTGCAAAGGGGGGCTGCTTTGTATGATACAACCTTATCCATAAAGTTTCTACCATAAACTGGAGAACACTGTGAAACTAATGCTGTTTTGCAGGATGGAAGCAGGGCATCCAATCCAGCCCTCTGGTGGATAGACGGCAAAGGGAAGGAAGTGAGATGGAGCTTTGAGGAGCTGGGAGTCCTGTCACGGAAAGCGGCCAATGTGCTCTCTGGCCCATGTGGTCTGCAAAGAGGAGACCGAGTGGTTCTCATTCTGCCACGAGTCCCAGAATGGTGGCTGCTGAATGTAGCATGCATTCGGTCAGGTAAGCACATCTTGGGTGCTCTGGAAACTCGAGAAACTGCTGTGGGTGCCAGTCACAAAATGGCTGCTGTGGGGTTGTATGTAGTATGGTATAAATTGGCTGCTGCATCTAAAAAGGAGACAAAGACACAAAATGGACCATGGACCAGAGGTTCTTCACCACTGCTAAGCAGGTCTGGGCCTGCGTTCCGCCTTAGAAGAAAAGTGGGTGTATAGTCCATCTGTCCCCACATACACTTTTCTTCTATACACCCAGGGATGGAAAGAAGAAAAAGTCCCATCAAAAGAAGAATGGATAATGAAGATGATGGACTATGTGGAGATGGCAAGGCTGACCAGGAAGATTGGGCACCAAGAAGATAACAAATTTAATAGAGAATGGCATAACTTTATAGAATATAATATTAAAGAACATTGAAAAACTTTAAAAACATTTGCAGGATTTACATAACACTTTACATAACAACGGATAAAAATGAAGTATAACAATTTGGATAAATGTAATTATATGCAAGTTTGACCAAACTGCGGGAGGCAGTGGAAGGCAATGGAAGACAGGAGTGTCTGGCGTGCTCTGGTCCATGGGGTCACGAAGAGTCGGACACGACTAAACAACTAAACAACAACAATTATATGCAGTTTTAAAAGGTGAATTTTTGAAGCCAAGGGAGGGGTGGAGGGAAGTCTGGGGGTTCAGGGAACCCCATAAAGGTACTGATATGACCATGGTTTTAGGAAAGTGTGTGTGTGTGTAAAACGTTTTCCTTGTTGAATCTTTGGAAAAAAAATTCTAAAAAAGGAAGAAAAGTGGGATAATAAAGTAAAAACAAAAGTGAATCCATAAAACCTAAACACCATTTTGAATGTGTTGGTCTTCTAGGGATTGTGTTCATGCCAGGGACACCTCAGCTGACGGCCAAAGATATCCAGTACAGACTCCAGGTTTCGAAGGCCAAATGCATCATTACTCATGACACCTTGACCCCTGCAGTAGACTCCATTTCATCTTCTTGCCCCTTTCTGAAAACAAAGTTGCTGCTCTCCGATGGCAGGAGCGGGGGCTGGCTGAATTTCAAGGAGCTGCTTGAGTGAGTAACAGTGGCTTTATTTATACGGCAGGAGAAATGTCCTGGTAGGGTTCAGAACCGGCAATGAACCCACATCTCAACATGCATGTTCCTCATTGCTTCCTCCAAAGAATCCTGGGAAATGTAGTTAAGGCTGCTGAGTTGTTAAGAGACCTCTCTTCCCCTCAGAATGCTACTATTCCCAGACTGCCTTAGCAATCAATTCCTCTTTCCAGGGGATGCTGGGAACTGTAGTTCTCTGAGGGGAATAGGGGTCTTCTAACAATTCTCAGCACCCTTAACACCTTACAGATTTTTGGGGGGAAGGAACGGCTGTTTATAATATTATAGAATCAGAGAATTATAGTGTTGGAACGGACCATGAGGGTCATCTAGTCCAACCCCCTGCAATTCAGGAATCTTTTGCCCAGTGAGAGGCTCAGACCCACGACCCTGAGATCAGAGGCAGATTTAGGGGAGTGCACCCAGTTTGGCCACCTTGGGCACTGAGCCAAGAGGGCACCACAAAAATGACTTAGAATGGAAGGCGAGAGGTGGGGGCGGGCACTGAATTTTGGCATCACGCAGGGCACTGTTGAAATTTGAAATGTCAAAGTTCACCACTGCTGAAATTAAGAGCCTCATGCTCTACTGACTGAGCATAATAGTACTTAAAATGTATGACTGGTGACCACAACTGGCATTGGAAAACCACCTGCCCTATAAGTTTCCCACAACTCCGCAGAGTTCCTGCTGTAGCTGTCGGGATCCCCGCTCAGCCAAGCTGATAAAGCTCATTTTCTTCCTGTGACTCGCAGCAGCTGCTCAGTGAGAAACAGAAACTAACAGTAGCATCACTCTTGGGCATTATAGGAAGTTAGAATGGCAGGCAGCTTCCCTGATCTGGCCACTACTTCCAAGATGGTCCAAGCGACCATCAAACCTGCAACCAGCTCTAGCAAAGGCCCATCTCATCCAACATCTTGTTCTCACAGTGGCCAACCAGATGCCTCATGGGAAGTCCACAAACAAAACCTGATTCCAGCTGCCCTCTCTTCACTTGCGATTCCCAAGCAGTGGTATTCAGAAGCATACAGTTGCTCATGAGTGTCTGAGAATGAGTATCGGCACAGGAGGTTCATGTGACAATTGCATGACCGACACAAAGCCACATTAATAGGCTCACACAGTTGGCACTTATGAGGCTGGCCCCTGTTATAGCATCTGTTTGTACCCTCTGCTGTACATTTAAATACAGAAGACTTGGACATTCACTTCCTTGACCTGTCACCCTTTCTTGACTTTCTTGAAGCGTGGCCCCTTCTGATCACAGCTGCGTGAAAACCAAGAGCGATGAACCAATGACGATCTACTTCACAAGTGGAACTACTGGGTCTCCAAAAATGGCAGAGCATTCCCAAAGCAGTTTAGCTCTTGGATTGGCATTATCCGGAAGGTATAGTTCTGTAATTTGCTTTTTATAAATCTCCAGGAAGCATTAAACTAACTCTCTCTCTCTCTCTCTCTCTCTCTCTCTCTCTCTCTGGAGCAGGGATAGACAAATCATTTTTCAGTTTTCTCACTTTCTCATTTTTCCAGTCTTAAATTCGGTTCTCCATATTTCTGCAGCAATCTGATTTTTTTTAAAAAAAAATCCTTGTGACAATTTCAGTGACAAGTTCTCCTAATAAACACAATTTTGTATGCTATTTTGACAAACATACACATTTTGACAAGTACATTTTGAATACTGTTTTCGTGAATATATATATATATATATATATATATATATATATATATGTGCACACTTTACCCAAATGTTATGCATTTTTTTTGTACACACTTCTGGGTTGGAGAGCTGCCTTGCAAAATTCGGAAAAGTGAGGATTTTACAGGATAGTGGCGTTTTGGTTCGCCTATTGTTTCCCAAAGTGTGAATTTGGTAAATACAACTTTTAAATGCAAAGTGAATCAATTTTCTTCCCCATCCCCAAGTTCAAGGGTGGAGAAATTGAACCTGGTGGGCAAAGGAAGTGAGGTTTGCAGGCTGCCACCCATCAACTGATCGTTTCCGTATCCCATATCCTCTCTGAAAGTCTCTGGGCAGAGTGAAAGACACAGTTTTTCTTGTACGTATTAGTGCAGACTCCCGTCTCTCAACCTCTGTCTCTTGCAGGTCTTGGCTAGACATAAGGCCTTCAGACATCATCTGGAACATGTCTGATACAGGCTGGGTGAAGGCAGGCCTGGGGAGTGTTTTTGCCCCATGGCTTCGAGGCGTCACCGTCTTTGTACACAGCATGCCCCAGTTTGAGCCGAGAGAATTCCTGAATGTAAGAATAAAAGTCCTGTCTTGGGGGGTGTAAGTTATGTTTCACACTCTCTGCCAACTGGGTAAAAAAACAAAACCCTGCCTATGGAACCTTGACCAAGTGAAGTGATCTGCGGGTCTCAGCCAGAGGGCCAGTGTGGCCCTTCAGACCTCTCTGTCTGGCCCTTAGAACTCTCTCTTGGCCTACCACTTCCTGACCCTGCTTCATAGTGTTTTTCATGGTTGGGAATGGATCCTTGAACTTTGATAGTGCATCTTGTTTCGCTGGATGGAGGATAGACAGTGGAGTATGCTAGCATGTGGGTACCAGCCTGCAGTGCAGTGGTTAAGGGAAAAAATACATTTGTTGCTTTGATCATTTTTGCCCCTAGCCTCACCCAACACTGGCCTATGGCCCTCAGGAGGTTTACTAGAAGCAAATGTGGCCCTCAGGCTGAAAAGGAGTCACTATCCCTGTCTTAGGTTCTGAAGCTCTGAGCTATCACCAAGCCTTGCTCCAGCACAACTGAGAAATTGCCCCACTACCTACTATGTTACCATTTGAGATGCACTTGTTTATTTAAAAAGTCATAAACTGCACTTTTTATAAATATATATATATATCAAGGCCGCTGGCAGCATATACACCACATGATATCTATTAATATCTATAAAACAGTATGCTATAGAGGAGTGTTTCCCAAACGTAGATCGCCAGCAGTTTTTGGACTACAACTCCCATCATCCCTAGGTAGTAGGACCAGTGGCAAGGAATGATGGGAACTGTAGTCCAAAAACAGCTGGATACCCAAGTTGGGGAAACCCTGGTGTAGTTTCAGACTATGGCCTGGGAGACGTAGGTTCAAATCCCCATGCATTCATGAACCTCATTGGTTCATGGTCCAGTCACTAACTCCTACCCTAACCCATGTTGCAGGATTGTTGCGAGGATAAAATGGGTCTGTGGAGCAGAGAGATAATGAACTCTTCCTAGGGCTCTTTGGATAAAGGGAAGGCTCAAAATGTGCTCTTGTTACCCACGAAGCGAAATATATTTTACATTGTGAATTTGTGCTTTTCTTCCCACTCTTCCCTTCCTACTTTCTCTAGACTCTCTCCCAGTATCCAATAACGACAGTGTGCAGCGCCCCGACAGCCTATCGCATGTTGGTGCAGCATGATCTCACCAGGTACCTTGCGTTATTGTTTTGCATCGGGAATGTAGCTGTTCTTTTGTGATTGGCATCCAGCCTTGGAATGGAAAACACCCCACCTGTATCTGCCCACCACAATGATCCTCCCAGCCTGCACATCAAAGTGCTGCAATCCTGCATCTAGCGCACTATGCACTAATGTACTGGTGGGGAAAAACACGGCATCACCAGTGGTGTAGCGTGGGTTGCTAGTGCCCGGGGCTGCACGGAGGGGGCAGGTGGGAGAGAAATGGACGGAGTATGCATGTGCATTCAACCGCCTGATGGCGTCCGCGTCACCCGGTGATCACAGCCACAGAGATAAGAAAAGAAGAGCTTTTCCATTGTCTAGAGGGCACACTTCCTGGTTCATGTGGAGAATCCATTTTCAATGGAGCCCAGGGACATTTTAAATAATAATAATAATTAAGGAACGCACTTAAACCTCCTCCTCTTATTTCTGTTAAGCTACAAGTTCAAGAGCCTGAGGCACTGTTTGACAGGAGGGGAGCCGCTCAACCCGGAGGTGATGGTGCAATGGAAAAGGCAGACGGGTCTGGATATCTACGAAGGCTATGGACAGACTGAAGTGGTAGGCCCAATTTAGCTGGTCAGCATTCCAAGCAAAAGAAACCAGGGCACAATGTAACATCCTTTGTTGTTGGAGCAAAATTGAAGATGCTTAATGCAGTGGAACCCTAACCGAGTTAATGTGCTTAGCCAATGTCATAATTGTTGATTTAAGCAGAGTCTCGTTGCCAGCGGAAGGATGAGGAAAATGTGTTACATACTCTATATTGCTTTATTTACAGTTCAAAGCTGGTATATTACAGAAAGACATCTTGCCTCTGCAGGAGCAGAAAATGCATCCTCTCTCCTCGACAGCTTGGAGAGAATCACACAGTGAAAAACAGGAAACCAGTGTACGTCACATCCAGTCTCCCTTTCCCGTGAGAAACCCAACAGTACAGACTGTGGAATGTAAACACCTGTCTTGTGACTGCAGTTGCTGCTCAGTGAAGGAAATAGAAACCAACATCCTCCCCCTTTCTGTGAACATCACTGGGCAGCGTGTTTGTACAATATCAGTACAAACCCAACTTCTGCACATAGGTACAGTGTTGATCCCTTGATACAATCTTGGACAATACATCAGCAGGAATTTCATTACCTGGCATATAGGACACCGTTACGAGTCCCTTCTGAATACATTCCCTAGCATGCTGCAACTTTAATTGCAAGTGCTTTGTGCTTTGCTTACAACCTTCAGACTTCAGCAAAGCCAAACATGCTTTGTTGTCCTGGTAAACCTGGATTGGACATTTGACAGGAATTTTCATATCTTTGCACAATTGTACTAACCATTCACAATCCTTAAGTGAATAAGACAGTGCATTCAGTTCAGCTTCACAAGTACTTAAGCTAACTGTTGTTTGCTTCTTGCATGACCAATCAAACAGACTCTGATTGTACATGTAGCAAACTCCAGACGTACTTTTCCTGTCTGTAGCGTCACTTCCAAAACTTGCATCTGCAAATATCTCAAGACCACCAGACTTCTGATTGTTAAATCTCAGTCTGTAATGCATAGTGCCTTTCAAATACCGCGCTATGCGTTTCAGAGCTTTCCAATCCTTGACACTAGGATTGTTGACTTGTCTGCTTAGCAAATTACAGCTAACAGCAATGTCTGGTCTTGAACATCTGGCAATGAAGTTTAGCTTGCCTAGCACACTCCTGTACAGTGTAGTGTCAGAAAATGCTTCTTCAGTGTCATCTACCTGATAACTTGTTGTCATCGGTGTGTCTACAGGGTTAGCATCCATCAGATTTAGTTTGCTTAACACATCAGCAATTTTCCGTGACTGGTGTACTAGAATGTTACCATCTTGATCTCTCTCTATTTCCAGAGATAGGTAGTTGTTTACCTCACCAAGATCTTTCATGTCAAAGTGCTCTTTCAGTTGAGCTAGGGCGCTATTGTACATTGCAACATCTTTCCAAAAGAATAATAAATCATCAACATAAAACAAACAGTACAGTTTCTTTTGCCCCTCCTCTTTGACAAATACACATGGATCAGCTTTCCCTTGCTGAAAACCTAGAGAAAACAATACTTCAGTGAGTTTTGTGTGCCAACACCGTGCACTTTGTTTGAGACCATAAAGGGATTTCTTCAGAGCACAAACAAATCCCTGTTTTACCTGTACGCCATCAGGTGGAAGCATATAAAGTGATTCATCTAGAGATCCGTACAGAAAAGCTGTATTAATATCATGGTGACTAATGTGTAGGTTTTCCTCTGCAGCTAGCTTAAGCATAAGCCTAATGCTTTCATATCTCACTGTGGGTGAATAGGTCTCGTGATAGTCTTCACCTGGTACCTGTGCAAAACCTCTGGCTACCAATCTGGCTTTGTGTCTGACTATCTTGCCATTTTGATCTGTCTTCGCTTTGAAGACCCATTTGCTTCCAAGCAGTTTCATTCCTGGAACTACTGGAACTAGTTCCCATGTTTTGTTCCTTTCTAAGGAATCAAGCTCAGCCTTCATGGCATTTAACCATGGCTCAGCTTCCTTTGAATCCAAACCCTGGATTTCTTGGAAACTTGAAGGTTCAAATACCTTCTTGGAGCTTTTAACAGCTGTTACTGCTATCGTAGCAAACTCATCAGCAAATCTCTTTGGAGGTTTGCCTTTTGTGGCTCTCTGTGACCTACGAATTAGCCTTAAGTCTTCAACACTCTCCTCTTCCTTCTTAGGAGAAAAACGACCTATTGTGAACAATGGTTCCTCCAATTCTTGATCAGAGCTTTCAGAGGGTCGCATAGAGGCTTTCGCACTCTCGAAATCCTCTGAATCACCCGATTCAGTTTCAGATTCAGACTCAGAACCTTCATCAGTGGGTGTGGGCTGTTGTGGTTGCTTTTGACTATCCTCAGTCTCATCACCGTCATCAGGATAACATTGGAAAATTCCCACACTCTCCCCCCCACTTTGCATTGTACTCAACACTTCTCGTGAGCTTAATTGTCTTAGAGTCAGTCATCATTATTCTGTAAGACCCTTTCTGATAACCTAGAAAGATACCATGCAATCCACGCTTGTCTAACTTGGAGTTTTGTGGTGAGCGAACCCACATGTCAGAACCAAAAATCTTCATGTGTTTGATGTATGGCTTCTTGCCAAACATCTTCTCATAGGGGGTACAACCAATCGCTGAAGATAGCCTGCGATTGTAACTGTAAACAAAACACGAGAGAGATTCGGCCCAATAACTCTCTGGAAGATTGGCATCATGCAGCAAGGTTTTTAATCCTTGAAGCAATGTCTGATTTGCCCGTTCCGCAAGTCCATTCTGCCATGGCGAGCGAGGACTAGACAAATCGTGTTGAATTCCTTTCTCAGTCAGAAAAGCTTCAAACTGCTGAGAAGTGAATTCCCCCCGCGATCACTGAAAAGAGTCTTTATCTTCTTACCATGCACATTTTCCAACCAAGCACAGAATTCCTTGAACCTAGGAAAAGCCTCCGATTTCTGCTTGAGATTGTACACAAAAATATATCTAGAAAATGCATCAATGAGAACCATGAAGTATCTATTTCCACCCAAAGAGGGCGTTAGTGGTCCAACCAAATCAGCATGAACAACCTGGTATGGTTCTGTAGCTTTCCTACTAGACACCTTACCTTTCGCAGCCATTTTCACCTTGTTTGCTGCGCATGCTTTGCACTTCATGTGGTACCTGCAGGGTTTAATAGTCATACCTTCAACCAAGGCAGGCATTTTAGATACTGCCTCAAAATGCAAATGAGCAAATTTTCTATGAAAATCGTGAATACATTCTGCATGCAAACTTTTGTTAGAACCTGCAATGCAACAAGTGTCATCCTGCACCACATCATCATAATACAAAACAAACAAACGATCAACATATTCTGCATGCAATACATAATCATTTTTCTTTGAGATGATGCACTTCTTGTTCTTGAAGGAAACGTCAATGTTCCGCTCATTCAGCTGTCCAACGCTGAGCAGATTATGTTTGGCGTCTGGCACGTAAAGCACATTCTGTATCGATAAGTCCAAACTGTGAAGAACAACAGTTCCGTAGCCTTTACTGGGAATAGTGTGGTCATCCGCCTGGTGAATCGCACCTTCCTGCGGTGTAAAAGACACAAACAGTTTCTTATCGTTGCACATGTGGTGGGTCGCCGCTGAATCAACAACGAAGAAAGATCTAGACGTCTTCTGGACCTCTGCAACCTTTGGAGTGAAGCGTGAAACCATAGCCTTGTGCTGCGTTGTCCTAGACACCGGACCTTTGCCTTTGCCTCGGCCTTTTCCGCGCGATGAGCTTTCGCTGCGCTGCTCTGTCTTGGCCCTGGGATGTCTGCATTCCCTCTTCATATGGCCTAGACGTCCACACGTGTAGCATTTCACTGCCTTCAAAGCTTTGGCGCCATCTGGTGGTTCCACTGCACTATGGGATGACGTCTGTGAAGACTCTCCCTTGCCCATGCAGCTAGCACCCCGGCGATCTGCTTCATTTAAAATCACGGCAGTAACAAAGTCCACTGTCAGCTGAGCAGTTGGTTGCACAGCAATCTGGGTTGCAACAGACTCCCAACCTGAACCCAAAGATTGTAGTATCATGAAAGAATACACAGCCTCTGGAAAGTTGAGTCCTCTCTGTTGCAGCTCATGTCTCAGATTTTGCATCTGCATCAGATGTAAACGTACATCTCCACCTTCAGCAAGAGCCATATTATGCAGCTTGTTAAAGTAAAACATAGTGGATCCAGCTTCTGTCCTTAAATGAGCCTCTCTCAGAGCGTCCCAAATTTCTCTGGCTGAGGTCTTATCACGCAATAGACAGAGCTCTTCTGGGGATACTATCAATGTAAGAGTTCCCCTTGCTTTGGAATCCTTAGCTTCCCATGCATCTGTAACTGGAACTGGGGGTTCCTGTAATCACCTCAAACAAACCCTCTTTCCGCAGAATTGCCTCTGCATACTGAACCCAGTCGCTGTAATTTTTCTTGTTGAGCTTAGGAATCCCACAAGCATCCTGAAGGGCCATCATGACTCTGGCATTTGCCTTCAGCGTCATATGCTGCTTTAAATCTTGCTGCGTCACTGCTGCAGCTGCCTCATTACAAAGGCACACTTAAAAGTTACTTTCGATTTCCCCAGCATAGTGACTTGTGCCTGGGAGCCTTTTGCCTATTTGCAAAACCGGCTTTAAAAGTTCAAAGTCCAGCCATAAAGCCATTAACTTGAAGCTGGCAGGCTGCCCGGAGCAGTAGCACATACCTCATCAATCACTTCTACGCGCAGAGCAGATTCCTTTCCGAGCCGTCCCTCTGCATTCCGATCCTTTGCCGGCACTCCGATTCGACCTCTGGAGTCCATAACCACGTGTTGATTTAAGCAGAGTCTCGTTGCCAGCGGAAGGATGAGGAAAATGTGTTACATACTCTATATTGCTTTATTTACAGTTCAAAGCTGGTATATTACAGAAAGACATCTTGCCTCTGCAGGAGCAGAAAATGCATCCTCTCTCCTCGACAGCTTGGAGAGAATCACACAGTGAAAAAACAGGAAACCAGTGTACGTCACATCCAGTCTCCCTTTCCCGTGAGAAACCCAACAGTACAGACTGTGGAATGTAAACACCTGTCTTGTGACTGCAGTTGCTGCTCAGTGAAGGAAATAGAAACCAACAATAATAACCACCATCCTTCATAAAGTGTTTAGTTAATTTGTTGCATCTTCCTTCCTAGGAACTCAAAGTAGCGGACAGAGCCACATTTCCCAGAGTTCCCTGGGAAGAGGGTTCTCCTAACAACTTTCATCATCCTTAGTGAACAATTGCAGCCAGGATTCTACAAAGGAAGCCATGACCATTTAAAGTGGTATAATTCTGCTTTAAATGCACAGTGCAAACGGGGCCTAGTTTTTGCATAGAGTACGCCCATTGAAATAAATGGGCCTCAATTAGCCATGCCCAATAATTTCAACTGGTTTACCCTGAGGGGAACTTCGTTAGAGACAGACCATTTAAAAGCAATCATTAAAACAATAATTTCAGAGTTGTCAAGACAGTATCAAATTGACAGCCATCAAATTCCTGAGCAAACAGGAATGTTAATAATGAGGGCATTCCACAAATGGGGAGCCACCGCTGAGAAGGTTCTGTCACAGGTCTGTACAAACTGAGTTATCTGCTCGAAATTTTAAAGTGGAATAAAAATGCAACTTACAAAGATGATCTATGGTTTGAAAACTTTTGTTTGCTGCAGGGTATTATATCACAAAATGAGAAAGGGAAGAAAATTAAACCTGGCTCCATGGGCACACCAGCTCCACCTTATGATGTTCAGGTAAGAGGGCAGCTAATTTGTCAGGTGGGTCTAGTGAAAATATGGAAACAAGAAGAGTTTCAAGAAAGTAGTAATGATATCTGTGTGTTTAGAGGTGTTTCCCCACCCCCACCCCTCTAAACCATAACTGTACTTGCCTTTCCCCCCTAGATTATAGATGAAAACGGCAATATTTTGCCTCGTGGGGAAGAAGGAGACATTGCCATTAGAATAAAATCCAAGAGGCCATTTTGTTTCTTTTCCCGCTATGTGGTAAGCAGTTCATTTCTATGCAAGACAGTTCCCTCTGTATAGTTTCCGGAAATCAAATCAAAGCAGCCGTTTTGTTTTTCTTGCTACATGTTAAGTGATTTATATACAACACAACGTTTCCCCTTTTAATTTTCGGTATGTCAAATCTAAGTGGCCATTTTGTATTTTCTCTTGCTTCACAGTAAATTTAGATATGAGTTCTTTCCCCTCTCTAGTTCTGTACACCAAATCAAATTGGCCATTTGGTTTTTCCTCTCTCATTATATGGTAAGGAGTATCAGTTCTCTGTATGTCAATGTAATTGCAATGCGATGGCAACATTTTTACCACCGTAATCAGGGGTGGGGAAACTCTTGCCCGTGAGTTTAAATAGGCCTGCCAAGCCTACCCATTTAGTCCACAAGGCCACTTTGCGGCTGGGCCAAAGGGACTTGTGCAGTGCTGTGCAAGTCCTTATAATCAGCTGATCGGCAGAGCTTGAATAGCACAGTACAGAGAGCAAAATGGGTCACCTGATGTCACTGTGGTGTCAATGTCCTTATATTAGGATACTGGATTAGATGTGGCAGTGTCTGGATCGTGCAGGCTCTCCTTACATTCTTATGATTGCAGCCTAAGGGGGCCATTCCAAAAAATGACCCCACTCCCCCCATAACTTAACATATTCCTCAATTCTAAGTGTGTTCGAAAGCATGCCAGTGCAAGTAGATAAATGGGTACCACTGCGGCGGGAAGGTAAGCGGCGTTTCTGTGCGCTCTGGCACTCGTCACGGTCCTCCGTGCACCAGAAGCAGTTTAGTCATGCTGGCCACATGACCTGGAAAACTGTCTGTGGACAAATGCTAGCTCTCTCGGCTTAAAAGTGAGATGAGCACCACAACCCCATAGTTGCCTTTGACTGGACTTAACCGTCCAGGGGTCCTTTACCTTTACCTTTTTTTACTGCAAGAGTAGGAATTATTTCCTAGGTAAGAGCAGCAGCCAGAGACTCCTGATTCACGTAGACATATCATTGTGTTTATTGTAAGGATAATCCAGAGAAAACTGCTACAGTCTTCCGTGGGAATTTCTACATTACTGGAGACAGAGGGCTAATGGATGAAGATGGATATTTTTGGTTTGTTGGGCGATCCGATGATGTTATCATCTCTTCTGGGTTTGTACATTGCAGAATGTGTTACTACAGAGAGGAGCAAGTATTTGTTAATATTTCTAGGCCACTTTCCCACTGGTTAGCCTTCCAAACAGCTAACAGATTTTTAAAGCAAAATGACAATAGATACAAATGCACAAAATACACAGGAAAATGAGAAAGCAAGTACAGTGATACCTCGGGTTAAGAACTTAATTCGTTCTGGAGGTCCGTTCTTAACCTGAAACTGTTCTTAACCTGAGGTACCACTTTAGCTAATGGGGCCTCCTGCTGCCGCTGCGCCACCACCGTGCAATTTCTGTTCTCATCCTGAAGTAAAGTTCTTAACCTGAGGTACTTTCTGGGTTAGCGGAGTCTGTAACCTGAAGCGTCTGTAACCTGAAGCATCTGTAACCCGAGGTGCCACTGTACAAGGGGAAATGGCTAATTATAAAGAAACAGAACACAAACCAGGAAGCAGATAGATGACTCAAGGCCTAAGGCCTGATGAAATAAAACAGTTTTACTAGTACACCATAACCTCCAGGCCCAAAACTGGGACTCACGTCTTCCGGGTGAGTTACGTGATCTGCACAAGATCGTGGCCCTGAATAAAGCGCTTTTGGGAAGTGAGATTGTGGCATGAGATCACACAAGATTGCTGTGCTCAAAATGGCTGCCATGCTTACACCTGAAAAAACGGTCCCTGTGTCTGCTCCCTGTCACCAGTATGGCAACTGCATTCTGGATTAGCCATAGTTTCCAAGTCACCTTCAGAGTCAACTGGCCTTTTTGTTGTTGTTGCTTCCAGGTATCGTATTGGGCCTTTTGAGGTGGAAAGTGCTCTGATTGAGCACCCAGCAGTGGTCGAATCGGCTGTGGTGAGCAGTCCAGATCCTGTCAGAGGCGAGGTAATGAAATGCTAAATAAGAAACTCAAATCCTATTTAATGCACGGCCTGGGAATTATGGTTGTCTACAAGGCAGAGGCTGACAGAGGATTTGCAGACTACAAATGTTCCCATCTTTGCATGGTTTCATCTGTACAGGGTTGCCAACTTTTTTGGATCAGTGGGAATATTGGGAATTTTGGGAAAGTATAGGAATCGGGGCGTTGGGGAAACAGCAGCTGCTTCAGAGGGTAGGGCCTGAACCACTGGATTCAAATTACAATGAAGGAGATTCCAACTAACATTAGGAAGAACGTTCTGATGGTAAGAGCTGTTTGACAGTGGAATAGACACCCTCGGAAGGTGGTGGACTCTCCTTCATTTTTAAACAGAGATTGGATAACCGTGTGCCAGAGATTCCTTAGCTGTGATTCCTGCATTGCAGGGGGTTGGTCAAGTTGACCCTATGGGTCTCTTCCAACCCTACACAGTTCTATGATTCTACACAGGAACAAAGGAAGCCCTGAGAAAGAGGGGAAGATGCTAAGTCGGAGTGCCTGCGGGAGTGTGACTTGCCCTGTGTTCACACTCCTTTTTAATTTGCACTCACTGCATTTACAGTGCTGGGTTCTTTATGTGTTCACATGACATTATCCAAAAGGCTTATGTATCCTGTTTGATGTGTTGTTTCTCAAAACCGGCTTCTCCCTAGCTGGAGTTCTTGAGTTGCTCCTAATTTGTCTCTGAGATTTAGATGCATTTTCATAGGGTAAAGATGCCCAACCCACCTGTGTGTACACAAATAGAAATGAATTATATTAATGAAGCCCTGTGGGGACGCGGGTGGCGCTGTGGGTAAAACCTCAGTGCCTAGGACTTGCCGATCGTATGGTCAGCGGTTCGAATCCCCGTGGCGGGGTGAGCTCCCGTCGTTCGGTCCCAGCTCCTGCCCACCTAGCAGTTCGAAAGCACCCCTAAGTGCAAGTAGATAAATAGGTACCGCTTTATAGCGGGAAGGTAAACGGCGTTTCCGTGTGCGGCACTGGTGCTAGCTCGCCAGAGCAGCTTCGTCACACTGGCCACGTGACCCGGAAGTGTCTTCGGACAGCGCTGGCTCCCGGCCTCTTAAGCGAGATGAGCACGCAACCCCAGAGTCGGTCATGACTGGCCCGTACGGGCAGGGGTACCTTTACCTTTACTTTAATGAAGCCCTGCTGATGTGAACACCTGATGGGATGGCAGGGGGAGCTGTGAAATGCACCAGGATGGGGACAACTTCACTATGCTCTAAGGCAGCAATGGAAAAACATCTAAACATGGAAAGCATTCGGTTCCCACCAAGACCCTTAGCAATTTTCAAGATGTTGTTGTTGTTTTGCAGGGGGCATGGGCGAAGGAACAACCCATGCTCTGGTATAGAAACAGCAAAATTTGTTCCTGAATTAAATTCCTCTCCATATGGTCCTAAAGTCCTCCTGAACGTTAAAAAACCAAAACATTCCCCTTTCATTATTTATTGCTATCGATCAACTAAACATTGCAACATGTACTGATTGTTTTTTATCCTCCTTAGGTGGTGAAAGCTTTTGTGGTCTTATCTCCTTCCTTTGCATCACACAACCCTGAGAAGTTAACCCTTGAGCTGCAAGAACATGTCAAAAAGGTGACTGCTCCATACAAATATCCTAGAAAGGTGAGTTGTGTTAAAAACGGATCCCAAATAATATCCATGTTTGCTTTTAGTATGGACAGGCTTATCAATAGTGAAGCCTGTGTGATCAGGAGCAGGATGTCTGTGAATACTAGTTCCTTAGGAGGGAGCTACTGTGTTTGTGCCTTACCAAGGACTTCCTGAAGGCATCTGATTGGCCACCAGGAAAAGGAGGGTCCTGGGCTGAATGGACCTTTGGTCTGATCTATAGCAGGGCTGCTGTTCCCATTTCAGCTTCACCCCTTCAGTGGCCAAATAGCATACTCCGATTTTACTAACTTTAACGTTTATAGGCATTTGCAATTTAATTCTGGTGCTTTTTTCCCCCTCCTTCTCCCATCAGATGGAATTTGTCCAAGAGCTGCCAAAAACCATCACAGGCAAAATTCGAAGAAATGTATTGAGGAAAAAGGAGTGGGGACCCATTTAGTTCTGTGCTGAGGTTAAGGCAAGAGTTCTCCACCATCAGCATTAGGCTGGCATTTAAAATGTGTAGAACCAAGTGTGTGCTAAACTGTGTTAGTTTTAAGAGTATTTAGGTCACAATGTGGGCAGATGTTAAAAGTGATCACCGGATTCCAAACTATTTAATAGTACCTAACACATGCAAGGTTCAGATTAAAAAGGACAAGCAGGGGCTGCAACAAAATGTTGTAGTCAATGGATGCTCAGCTCTTATCAGGAATACCCCAGTTTAGGGTTCCAGGATATGATCAGCTGTAAGACTGGGGTGAGCGTAAGCAATTTCCCCAGTGTTGCTTTTTTAAAAAGAAAACAGATTTTTCTTTTGTACTTTTTCTGCAACCTTTGAAGTTCCACCATTTGTGACAGTCACACACACCCTTTTGTTTCCCAGTGGTCCCCGTTTTGGCTACTTTCCTGTTGGCACTTGCCACCTGTGTTTACTATTTAGTGATTTGTTAGAAGGCTTCTCTGGGCTAATTTGTCATGAAAGAATATGAGTGGTGCATACAAGCCTAGACCTGAGCCTGTCATTTAAAAGATGCCTTATAGCACAGATAGGGAGCCTGTGGTCTTCTGGATGCTGTTTGGATTCTGGCTGCCATCAACCCCAGCCAGAATGGCCAGTGATCAGCTGACAATGGGCATTGTTGTTTAACATCTGGAAGGCAACAGGTTCCCTACCCTGCCTTTGAACTGATGTAGGAAGCTGCCTTACACCGAGTAAGACCTTCTCACTTAGAATTAGACACAGACTAGCAGAAGTTTTTTAGGATGTTGGACAGGGGCCTTTCGCAGCCCTTCCCTGATGTAAGGGCTTGAACTTGGGACCTTCTGCATGCAACACATGCTATAAGCTGTAGCACTGAACGGCAGGGGTTGGGCTAGATGACCCTTTGGATCCCTCTCAACTCTACAATTCTATGATTCTGTGATCCAAGAGGCAATACTGAGCTAGATGGACTCCTGGCCTTATCCTACTTCATGTATTCCTTCTATATAAGACAGCAACATTACGTTGAAATTGCTTGTTCCTTTTTTTAAAGTCGCAATTTTACAAAGTATACTTAGTCCTCGACCAAACAAAAAAATCACAGAGGAATGGCTTCAAACTGAAACAAAATCAGTTTAATAAAAAAAAATGTACAAAAACAAGACAATATACAAAACAGAATCATTATTTTTTAACCTGTCTCAGACGTTCTTCTATTACAAGGATTCTTTTCTGAGAAGGAAATTCCAAATCGAAACTAAAGCCAAACTCATGCAGGCAACTTGTTTTAAAAAACGAAGTTTAAAATGACACTGCAAGACCCAATTTAAAAAAAGAACGCTTCCCAAGCTCCATACAACACCTTCGATCTTAGAGGAATTACCCACCCTCTCCCCGCAAAAAATGCTTTTTGCAGCTCCCCAGCAGAACTAATGCTCTGGTGTCTCACTCCAGGCCTATTTTGTCACTTTCCCAGGCCTATAATAATTTCTTCCCCTAACAACCAAAAGAGGTGCGAGTTTCTGTCTGCTCACAGCCCTCACCCTTCAGCTGCTCTGTCAAGGATTTTGTTGCTCTGGAAGCAAGCGCCGTGAAACTGCCTGGAAGTATATGTGACAGAGAGCTGACTCTACCAATTTTCTGATGGGGCCAGAAATGGGAGCCTGGGAAATGGCTGAGGCAAATTTTATGGCCCAAGACAGAAAAGCAGTGGCAGATCCTTCCCACAAATGGGCCACAAGGCTGTATCTCTAGGGTCACAGTTGTCTGCTAAATGGAGGGCAGGCATTCCCCTTTAAACTTCCCACCTCTAGTTTAACAGTGTGACCCAGTGTTAATGGAAAAGAGCAGGGCAGCTCTTTGCTCATAAATGCAAGACACTGGTGCTGCTCTTTTCCATGGGCTACAGAGATGAATGCAAGACTACCCTGGCCGGCTCTCCTAGTTTTCAAGGGTCAGAAGATGAGGTATCGCTGCAGCATCCCCCCTATGTGGGTGCTTTGGGGAGGGGGCATACTATGTATCTGAAGCCTGGGTGGGAAACCTTTGACCCTCCAGGTGTTGCTGGGACTACAGTTTCCATGCTGGCATTGATGGGAGTTGGGAACTGGGAACCCGGGTGTTATGGGGCTCCATCGGGAAACCAGGCCTGCAGTAGAACAGAAGAGCCTTTCATACAGACATCAGTCAAAGGCCAGAGTTGTGTGGCCCTGCTTGTGAGACCACTGGCATCTATGCTTCTCCTGTCCCTCCTTTCTCAATCTTCAGAAAAGGATTTTGCTTAGGAAAGGCAGTCACCCATGCTGGATTATCTGGCTACAACATCCTCCTGGAGCAAACCCACCTTACCTTACCCTGTATGTGGGTTCATTAAGCAACATTCACCAACACGCTGCTTGGCACAAGGTGGCTAGAACCTGCCAGGTCTAGCAGGAGGACACAACGCACCCACTGGCAGAGATGGTGGAGAACTGTGTTGGTCTGTTAGCTGCCAGCCACAGCTAATGCAAACTCATAAGCTAAAGGTTGCCCACCTTGCCTGTGGAAACAACTCCAAAAGGATTCTTCCCAATCTCTGCAAACACATTTCAATACAGTTTCATTTCTCTCTCAACTTACTTGCAGATCTTTTGTCTACTTCAGGGCTGGGGGGGGGGGGGCTGTGGCCCTCCAAGTATTTCCTGGACTCCAGCTCCCATCAGCCCCAGCCCATGTGGCCCATCAGTCAGAGATGATGGGAGCTGTAGTCCAGCAAAAGTTGCAGGGCCACAGGTTCCCCACCTGTAATCTAGCTGCTAATAAACCCCTACCAACACATAAGGTGTATACTACCCACGAGGTTTTTTATAAAACTTGTATTTTTTAGGCATTAAAAAAAAAAAACCCTGCTCCCTCTCCACCACACTCTGCTATGGTTTTAGGAAGTGTTCGTCCCAGATCCTGAATCAACTCTGGATTCACAATAGTTTAGAAATCTGAAGCATGTAGCCGTGGCCAGGCCAGTGTGAAAATCTGATTATGGCTTGCATCAGTTCATTGGCTTGAAGATAGCATGCTTGCCCTATATTGACCAACACTTGTTACCAAACAAGGCAGCAAGAACCCACACAGATAGTGTTATTTGTCTGTAAACAACCATACAGGAGATGCTGCCTGTGTCTGGATTTAACACCAACAGCAAATGAGAAATAGCGCCTTTTAAGTAGCAGTTAATGTTGATGGGGGGGGGGGGGTGATTCAGCAAAATTAGGCCAAAATCTCATTGTCAAAAGGAACTCAAGCCTTGGTATGCTTTGAGTTTCACCTCTCTCGTTGACATTTTTACAGAGACTTACATTTGCTGGACTGGAGCTAGAGGCTTGGTTCAGATTTCATATCTAAAGCACAGTGTGACTGTCAGGGTCCTGCCTTGGGGCTCACCAGCTCTCAACTCTTCCTTTGTATGCTCCGACTCCCTCTCCAGAAATCGAGGAGGAACACCCAACTACTGTAACCACAGACTAGGAAGCAAGGGAACACCCTGGAGCTTGCAAACAGGAGAAGGGAGCTCTCAGTTTGGCTGCGGCTTCTGATCAGAGAGCTCTGTTCTCCTGTTTGCGAGCTCCAGGGTGTTCCCTTGCTTCCTAGTCTGTGGCAACATTTAGTTTGATGTTCCTCCTCGATTTGTGCAGATTGGTGGTTTGGCTAAACAGCCTAACTCCCATAGAGTTATAAAGGACAATTAAAGCACACCCACACCCAATTCATTGAGAGCCATCCTTCAGAGTCTCTCCCCCTGTAAGTTTCATTAATGGTCCTAGTCCTTGTGATTGTCGCTGGCCTCTGCCACCTCCGTCTTCTCCTCCACTTTCTCCTCCTCAGTTGGTTTCCCCCCATCCAGGTCCCCCTCTTGGGACACTTTGGAAGCATCCTGCTGCCCTTCCCCTTCCTTGCTCTTCACCACTTCCTGGAGGTTGTACTTCCTGAACAGAATGTAGTCCTTCACCACACTCAAGCAGCAGATGTTCTTTATGATCCCCACCACGATGGTGAACTCGGGGTTGCTCAGATCAACTTTGTTTTCTGGGTTGAGATGGCCAACGACTCCTGCCAAGGCAACAAAGAAGGGTTGGGGAGGCAGAAAGCCGTCTGATAAGCTTGGAGAGTAATACTTTTGATCAGCCACAAATGAAGAGATGGTGTCCCATAAGGGCCAAGAGACTAAGGACAGAAGAAGAGCTCTGCTGGATCTGGCCAAAGGCCCATCTAACCCCACATTCTGTTCTCACAGAGGCCAACTAGATGCCTCTACGGGAAGCCCACCAGCAGGACCTCAGCATAACAGCACTCACCTCACTTGCGAGTCCCAGAAGCTGGTATTCAAAGGCATACACCCTCTGACAGTGGAGGTAGAACATAATCTTATTCTCCAAATTTTTCTAATCTTCTTTTGAAGCCGTCCAAAGTCACATCCACAACATACATTTAAAGCACATGGCTTCCCCCAAAGAATCTTGGGAGCTGCAGTTTACCCTTCACTGAGCTACGATGCCCAGCACCCTCAACAAACTACAGTTCCCAGGATTTTTTGGAGGGCACCATGTGCCATAAATGTATGGCATGGATGTGACCCAAGTTGGTAGCCATAACTACCTCCTGTGGTAGTAAGCTGCAGTTTAACTGTGTGCTGCATGTCTTTAGCAATCCATCATCTTTTCATCTTCGGCCACTTAAGAACAGCCTGATGATGATGGCCAAACTTGGGATGATGAGAGACAAACATATTTTATTTCAGCTTAAGTATTTAATACCTTCCTCTTCCATACAAAGGGAATGTATCCAGATTCAGGCTGCAATCCTCTACCTGGGAACAAGGCCATCTGAACTCAATGGGCTCACATTTAAGGATACATATTTTTAAAAATACACTGTTAAGTTGGTTGCTCACAGGTCCGCTGAAATCAATGGGAACTCAATTAGCTTAGGCTGCAACCCTGCGCCCATTTACCTGGGAATAAGCCCACTGAACGTGATGGAACTTACTTCCAAGCAGGTATGTTAAGAGGGCTGCATTGTTAGTCTGGGTCCAACCCACTGTTCCACCCCACCCTGAAAGCACTAAAGTTAGAAATGAAGATCTAAAAGAGAGATAGGGAAGCTGAAGGACTCCAGATGTTGCCGGACTCCAACTCCTATCAGCCCCTGCTACTACAGCCAATGTTCAGGAGGGCCACCAGTTCCCCATGCCTGATCGAAAAAATCTGGCAACCAAAGTCATGTGAAAAATAGTGGCTGAGAGATATGACAGAGGCAAGGAAAATGGTGCCCTGGAATCTGTTTTCAGTCTCAGAATAGAGCCCCCAGTCCTTTTCACACACAAATCCTACTTGTTCCCCCTGCCCTAAGCTTGCTTTGTTTCAGCAACCTAAAAGCAAAGAAAAAATCACCCTATTTTTTTGTTGCTGTTATTAAACAACTGGGAGTCAGAAACCCTACTACAAATCACCCAGAGATCCTCAACAGATCCTGACTCACCTTCTGCCTATTCCTATTACAAAATAAATCACTTACCTGCCAGTTCTTTGATGACTTCTTCCCGGCTCAAGTGGCTGTTATTTCGAGCCTTGTAAACAATCTGAAAAGTGCCTTTACGGGGACTTTTAAACCAAGGTTCAAAGAAGGTCTCTGAATATTGTTTCATGTCCTCCAGGAAAGCTTTGCAGGTGCCCGAAACAGGCAACATGCGCAAGATGACTCTGGTCTTCTTCTTCTTGGTGGCTTTCATGTCCTGCAGGATGTGGTGCACCAGCTTCTCAGGCTCTGCAAGAAGAAGGCAATGAGAGAGACTTTTTCACTCATTCCTCTGGGTGAAGAAAGGGCATCTCTAACAGCATGGAAGTCTAGGCGCAAACACAGGGAGATGCCAGTCCCAAAACTGGGCAGAGCCACCTCTTTTCTCTCTCTTTCTACCACCCCTCTGTCTGCCCCTCTGATGCCCATCATTTCCACTTAGTCTATTCAGGGCTCAGAACTTATGCTCTTGTCCATTATGCTGCCTCTTCCCATTCCATGCACACTTACCTACACCCAGAGTCCTAATGAAAACTACATTGTTGGCACCGCTCTCCACCGACTGGAACCGTCGCAGCTTCTGCTCTGTTGAGGTGCGAATCTGATTGACTTCTTTTTTCAATGCAGTTTCAGCATCGTCGTCGTCCTCCTCATTTCCTGACAGTCTGCTCTCATCTTGATCTGTGAACTTTACAGACACATGCACACATATTGTCAAGTTAACTCAGCGAGGAAAGCTTCTTTAGAGCTGGTGCAAGCTTAAATTCTTATACAAATTCGGTAGGTCTCTCCTTTAAAAAAAAAAAAAATCAACACAGCCCTGTTAAAAAAACAATTAACACGGCTGTGTTAAACAATTAAACTCGGGTCCCCACAATTTCTAATGGTGTTAAGCAAGGGAAAGTTTCCTCTAGCCATTTTGTCCTTACCACGCAGAGCTGTATGAATTTCTATCATCTTATTTGCCGTTTCTCTTAAACTAAAAAATCCCAAACGCTGCAACCTCTCCTCACGGGGGCGTTGCTTCCTTCCCTTGATCCTTTTTGGTCGCCCTTTTCTAACGCTTCCCCAGCAATATCCGTTTCGAGGGGAGAAGACACAGTACAGTGGTACCTCGGGTTAAGTACTTAATTCGTTCTATTCCAAAAGCAGCTGCACCACAGATTTGCATAAGGATATTACGATTCCGGCGGTTCTTCTTTCCCCCCACTTTCCCAAGCGATATCTAATTTTTTAGGCTCCTATCGTGCCTCGTCTTGCTCCCCTTTCCTAGTCTAGTCTAAACCCCAAAGTCCTCTTCCTACCTGCTCGGGCCCGTAGAGCTGCTCGCCATACTCGCCCAGCAGGCTGTAGGCTTCGGCCACGCACTTGCGCTCGTTCATGTTGCAGGTGATGAGGATGCCGCACATGCCGGGCTCCAGCTGGCGGGAGCCGCCGGGCCGGGCCCGCTTGGCCGCGTGCAGGTACTGCGCTTTGGGCCGCCGCTTGCGAGAGGCAGCCGGCGCAGCTCCCGGCGCGCCAGCGGGCGGCGTCTCCACGGCAGCCATCGCGGGCGTCGGGAAAGGCGAACCGCGGAGGCGGCGTCAACGGCTGGTCCCGCAACGGCGCGCGTGTCGGCGCCCTTTCGATTGCGTCATCGGGACGCGCCGGGGGGGAAGCACCATAGAGATAGGACATAAATATTAGCATGTTTAATTTTTATTCATTTATTTATTTTTCTACCACGGAGCCGGGTGTGTGGACCTGCGGTTCTGCTAGTGCTGCCGGACTACGACTCCCCCATCGGCTTGGCCACCAGGGATGATGGGGGTGGTAATCCGACAGCATCGGGCCTACGCCTATCATAGAGGCGCCAAGGGATAGAGAGGCGCTGCTCTGCAGTCATAGAGCATCGAAGTTCTCCCTTTTACTCTCTGCTTTTGTTAAAGGATAGAGGTGCTAATGAAGCGAAATGCGGGAATCGGTGGCTTTCCATTTAGCTGTGCATTTCCTACCGGAAGTACAGGCCTTAGGCTTTCCCCGTCTCCATGGCAACAGGCAAACTCTTATCCGCCACGCAGTTCCGCGCTGTGCCCCAAAGTAGTTTCCCGCCGGGTCCTAAAACCCGACTCATGCAGCAACTTTAGAAAAGCTGTTGCGGAGCTAAAATCAACACGCCCCCCTCCCCGCCCCCGCTATATTTCTCATATATCCGTGTCAGCTTCCAAAAAGCTGCCTAATAAATTTCCCATTTAAACTACCAGCATATGCCATATAAACCTTCCTCAGGAAACAAAACCATGCAATGCCAACTTTGCAGAGACCCGGACATTCTAATAAAATGGGTGATTATTTCAGATATATTTATTTCCTTTATTGGATTTCTGGCCTGCCTTTCTAAAAGAGCCCAGGGTAGCAAACTACAAAGTAGCAAAAGAAAAAAAGAAAACATTTTAAATAAATAAAAATGTGTATTTTAAAACATGAAGAGTGAGTGAACATAGTCACAATCCTAATGACAGCTAATTCCGTAGTTTCAAGGTTGCCTGGAATGGTGTCTTTCAGCCATCAAATGCTTGGGCAACCCAGGTATGTTTTTAAATCCCTCCTGAACATTAATGATGAGGAAGAGGGACACACCTCACCATGGAGGGTTTTCCTCAAGTGGAGAACCACCACCAAGAAGGCCCTGTTCTGGGTCAGTGCCAACCAAGCTGCCCCCAGCAGCAGCAGCAATATCAGTGGGACCCCTTGTTGGGTTGAAATCACGACAGACGAATGGTGGGTGTCAAAGGAGAGACGTCTGCCCGGGGCAAGTCCCGGGAACTCTCTTTTATTGAATATTACAAACATTGCCACAGGTGTGCTTGTGGCTGATTGGCTGATACAAACACAAAGCATCTTGTTGCTGATTGGTTAACATAGGTACAAGGCGGGAATAACATTTTACATTAATCAGTGATAGTTCAAAAGACTGGGAACGGAGCTGGAACTAGACAGGCATGAATCCTCCTAATTAAATTGTAACTAAGATTGATATTGAGAGAACATAACATGAAGGAATACAACAATCACGTTCTGTAAATGTGGTCAGCAAAGCATTAAGAACAGGTCAGGATACACTGTTTCATGAACTCAATGGGAACTGTTCAGAACATTCTCAGACTCTTGTGCAGAAGCAGAGAGAAGATTATGAGCGAGACTTCCCAGAATGCAAGAAAAGAAGCAATAGTGCTCATAGTAAGCATAGAAAGATTTCATAGTAAGACTTCCCACAATGCCACAGTTATGTGCAGTAAGAGAACTGCAGAAAGAGAACTTCACAGTGAGAGAACTGCAGAAAGAAAACTTCCCTTCAACCCCTGAAAGCTATAGATTGTAGGCTTTTGATATCAGGGAACTATTTTTTTAAAAAATCAATGTACACTAGTGTTACTGTACATGGTCTAAATAATTGGCCCAGGGTTGTGGGTGAGCTGTCAGGGTAACGGTGACCTGCCCTCCTTTTTAAGCTGCTGGCTTAAAAGTCACCAACCACCGGTGGTGTAGCACAGGCTGATGGTGCCCGGGGAAGGCACATGCACACTGGGGAAGCACACTGGGGTAACAGAACTTTGATAAGAGGAGAAGCCGGGAAATCAAGAAGAATGCTGTACTGATCATGGAAAATACTAAGAAATGAACTAGACTGTCGGCAGTCCTTCTCTGCTTCTCTTGGCGCGTTTCCAGTAGATAGCCAGGCCTTCCCATCACCTGAAGTTAGTATTTGAGAAAACAGAAGAGGAGGCACTGAATCGCTCAGGTGGGTGGGGACCCAACCATAGTGTTTGCTTTATATTCTGCAGTCTCAGATGCAGAGAAGTCCTCGTCCCTTGAATTGATAGCCTGGCATTTGCAATTTCAGCAATTGGACCGGGATGAGATGGGGTTGTTGTTGGTTTTTTTTAGTTCTGGGCACCTGAGGGGCCTGCAGACAGTGGCTGATGCTCCTGAAAAGGCGCTGAGAAAGAAAGAAAGAAAGAAAGAAAAAGAAAGAAAGAAAGAAAGAAAGAAAGAAAGAAAGAAAGAAAGAAAGATCTGGGCAGCAGGAAATCTTGACGAAGCAGCTTGAAAACATTCAGAAAGAAAAAGAAGAGTTAAAAGCATGCCAGAGGGGCCTGCAGACTGGGGTGTGCCAAAAATCTGGCCACCACGAAAACTGTGGTGAGTGAGAAGATGGATTGGGTAGGGCTGCCATTATGTCTGGATTTTCCCAGACATTACCAGGATTTCAAAGGCGGAAGTGACATCCAGGGAGAATTTCCAGAAGGTGTTGTTCTGTCCTGGATCTCTGGCAAGTAAACGAAAAAATCGTGGGTTTTTGAGCATTTTCGTTAAAAAGCTCAACAACCCTGGGGTGTCCTGCCTTTTACATTTTGAAATATGGCAACTCTAGGATTGTGGGGGGATGTTTGGTGGAAGGCAATTTGTTCTGATTATACAATAAAGAGGATTCATTCTGATTACATTCTGGTTTGTTGCATGGAGGTTATTTGTCTTTAACCAATTGTTTATTCCGCACCTTTTCTATCATACAATTATTTTATTGATTTGTTTTTAAAAAAATGAAACATAACCAAAAAAAAGAGAGCAAAACATTTTTAAAAAGCCTTAAAGCATCACAGCCTGGAAGGACAAAAGTACATAGATACAGCACAGAAAGTACTAATTCGTACAAAGGCCCTCTGCACCAGTAATAAAGATATGAGTACAGAGTTGGTAGCTTTGGGGACAAGGGAGGGCAAACAGCAAGCCGCCTGTGCGTGGCAGATCTTAATGCTCAATTTGTTGCTGCCATTATTTACTTCTCTCCGCAAAATGTGGGTGAAAAGGGAAGGAGAGAAAGTGCTGAAGGTCATACTTCATTGATTATGTCCCAGTGTGTGCACTTTGAGCTGCCTCACAGCTGTTTATTGTGCAAGCACAGGCCAGGGTTCAGTGGCACCACAATCAGGGTCAGACTTTGAGGCAGAAGTCCTGGGCCTCAGCAGAATGAGAAGGAGAGCCCCCAACACATAAAATGCTGGTGACATTTTGAAGTAAATGAAGTACTGTAATACAAATTACTATCTAATGCAGGGTGTGTGTAAAACTATTGCAGTGTAGCATACTGTTACTCTGAGAAGGCCCACTGAAATTAATTGACATAAGTTATTCATCTTCATTTAATGCCAGTGGGTCTAGTCTAACTAACATTGCTTACTATCAATTAGGAAGAATTAAGCATCGCACTAAGGTGAGTTTTTGTCTTCATTGCATAGCCCTGCATTATAGTATGAGGAAGAAAAACTACTCTGTTTTTCCCCACACCAGTGCATAATTTTTATACGCCTCTATTGTGTCCCCCGTTAACTCGCCTTTTCTATAAACCAAAAAGCCTCAATTGTTATAATTTGCAAGGGGGTTCTTCCAATCCCTTGATCAACTATTATTTTCATTTGTGGGAGTTGGAGCCGTTTTCTCTGAACTTAATTATACACTCTGACCTTTTAGGGGCTTGAAATTTAGGAACATGTGAACCAGGAGTCTTTGCGGCCTGAGCCTCTTAGTTTTTGAAGTGTGTCTAAATCTTTCTGCAATCATAATCAGAAGTATTGGAAAAAATGTAAAATTCATAAAGGTTAGAAAATTATTTCCAGCACTCAAAATATTGATTTGGTACGAGAAACTTTCCTTTGGGAATTTTTTCCTCGAAAGCCAAGGTTACAAATACATGGGCACAGTTGATAGCACAAAAATAAAAGTTTAGTGACATTGTTTTTGGTAATACAATCTCCTGTTTCACCTGAAAATATTTACTTGTTGGTGGCTGCAAAAATGGTCATTCATAGTAGCCCTAACTTGGGCCTTGCATCTTCAGCATTATTTTATTTTTGGAACATTAATATTTGCAACCAATCCACATGCAAGCCAAAGGAGGCTGACATGCAACTGAGTGCTTACATTAACCTGGGAAGAGTTTCTGAGATGCCAACTTAAAATAGATCTGCCTGCCTGCAACATGAGATGTATGAGGGTTTGCTTTAAAAAAAAAACTGGGAATCCATACCAGCCTCAGCCTCTCCTTTCCTTCTGAAACATTAACTTTGGACTATGTTGCAAGCTCGCTGTAACTTGTTCTCTTGCAGCACAGAAATCCAACCTGCATAAGGTGTGTAGGGGTGAGCTACACAACAGGGTTATTGCAGAATACTTTTTCTGCCAAACATGCAATGTGGGGAGAAAAGCAGTGAACAACATTTCAGGGTTGTTGTTCTCTCTCAGCTTCAGTCCAACCTAAAACAGGGGCCTAGTACAGATGGTCAACACTGCAGGGTTTGTGTCCTAAAACATGGGTGTCTTCACACAACATTTCTTAGGGATTAATTCCATCTACTAGCACCCTCAAACTCTTATTTGAGTTTGATCCTTGAGGTGATCAACATTTGTAGCATATTTTATATTGACAACAAAAAATATTTTATATTAGCTAATATTGTATAGTAACAACAACAAATAAAAACCATAACATCTGTCAGGCCTTTGGTGTAGATAAGGAACTGGGCACAAAATAGGAGTCTGGCCTCAACTCACCCACTTTCTGCCTTAAAGTCCATATCAGGGAGGGAGAATCTGCAGTCCTCTAAGATATTTTTTGGACTCCAACTCCTGTCATCCCCCTAACCACAGGGCCACGCCAGTGTGGATGGTAGCTCCCATCAGCCCTAAAACTCCATCTGGAAGACCACAGGTTCTCTATCACTGGTCTAGACTGGCTGGCAGCAATCCTGGGGTTTTAGACATGGGCCTGTTCCTAACCCATCAGTGGAGAGAAAGGGAACAGGATGTGACCTGCATGCAAAGCATATCCCCTACCACAGAACTATGGCCCTCCCTATCAAAACTCTTGATGTAATTGTACACAAGGTAACATCAACAATGTTTTTGGCAATGTTTCATCAATGCAACTGTGCAAATCAGTTATGTAGAGAAAGGAAATCAAATGAAAACTGGATGTTTGTCTCTACTACAACAAGGCTTGGGGATCGTGGCCCACAGATGTTGCTGGACTCCAACTCCCCTGACCCCTGACCTGAAAGAGCGTCTCCACTCCCATCGTTTGGCCCAGAAACTGAGATCCAGCTCCAAGGGCCTTCTGGTGGTTCCCTCACTGCAAGAAGTGAAGCTACAGGGAACCAGGCAGATGGCCTTCTCAGTAGTGGCACCCACCCTGTGGAATGTCCTCCCATCAGATGTCAAGGAGATGAGGAGATATAACCTTTAGAAGACCGCTGAAGGTAGCCCTGTTTTGGGAAGCCTTTTAATGTGTGATGTCTTACTATGTTTTTACAGATGTTGGAAGCTGCCCTGAGTGGCTGGGGCAACCCAATCAGATGGGTAGAGTACAAATAATTTCCAGCACTCAAAATATTGATTTGGTACGAGAAACTTTCCTTTGGGAATTTTTTCCTCAAAAGCCAAGGTTACAAATACATGGGCACAGTTGATAGCACAAAAATAAAAGTTTAGTGACATTGTTTTTGGTAATACAATCTCCTGTTTCACCTGAAAATATTTACTTGTTGGTGGCTGCAAAAATGGTCATTCATAGTAGCCCTAACTTGGGCCTTGCATCTTCAGCATTATTTTATTTTTGGAACATTAATATTTGCAACCAATCCACATGCAAGCCAAAGGAGGCTGACATGCAACTGAGTGCTTACATTAACCTGGGAAGAGTTTCTTACTATGTTTTTACAGATGTTGGAAGCTGCCCTGAGTGGCTGGGGCAACCCAATCAGATGGGTGGAGTACAAATAATAAAATTGTTGTTGTTGTTGGCTGGAACCAATGGAAGTTGATCATCACCTGAAGAGCTACAGCTTCCCCAATCTCATTAAAAAAAAAAAAAAAAAAGGAGACAGAATGGTTGAGGGTTCCTGACGCATCATGGTTCCACTTTGGAAAGAAGGGAAACTGCAAGTCCAACATTTCAGGTGAGGGGAGAATCAGATGAGACTTTTAGAAGCAACCTTAAGGGAGAGTACATTTTTTGAGTGAACCTCTTTGCCGACAAACAGCAGTACTGCAGGAAGGTTCTTTGTTTGCAGATGTTCAGCCAAAGCTACACTCTTCCCCATTCTTGGTTCCTTAATACGTTCCTTCGGATTTTCCCTGCTGCCGTCTTGGGCAACTCCCGGACAAACTCAACCTGGGTAGGCAAAAAATGAGAGTGCATCTCAGTTTTTTTGCAGCCTTGGACTAATTCATTACCACAGCAGCTCAGAGTTTGCAAAACAATTTAAAAAACAGTCAATTCCTCTTCACAATAGACACACTGAAATCAATGAGTCTAAATTAGTCATGTTCTCCAATTTCAATGAATCTACAACCCATTTTAATTTTCCTGTTAGGACCTAAGAAGATACTTGCCTTTCTAGGATACTTGTAAGGAGCAGTCACCTTTTTCACGTGATCCTGGAGCTCCTTTTTTAATTTTTCTGGATCATGCGATAAAAAGGCAGAAGACAGGATGACAAAGGCTTTCACCACCTATGGGATGCCAATCATATATGCATTAACGACTCAGAAGAAAAAATAGGCACCAGTGTGACTGGGTGATTGGGATAGGATATTGATCATTAGCCAAAATAAAATACTGCTGTGTGGAGCGCTCTGTGCTCCTGTTCAGAGTTCCAGCTGACCATGCCATTTTCAAGGTACTGAATTCCATTCTACTTCCCACTAAGCATGCTCAGTCCTCAAAAGGTTTTCCCCCACTTTGGATTCACCCCTAAATGTTTTGTATGCCTGCAAACCTTGGGGGTTTCTCTGAGCCCGCTGAGTATGAATGTTGCTGTTTTAGCAGCAGGCAGATCCTTACTTATAGAACTGGAAGCACACATAGATTAATCCTTAAATGTTGGGTTAGCCATAGGAATGAGCGAGCAGGAAGAGAAGAGGATTTAGGAACTCATGGAAATTGTCAGGATCTCGAGGGGATATTTAGATCCCACTGTGATCCTGGTAACGTCAAAAACTGGGCTTTGGGGATGCAACTGTTTTTTTCACTTTTCTTTTTGCAGCCAAATGAACCGAGGTGAGTTTGCCCACCAAGAACATTTTTATACCTCCCCTGCTCAGGCATGTGTCTGAAATACAGCACCATCTGTACCGCTGCGATGTGTCAAGATTTATGACATGTTCCCCAAGCAAGCGCACTGCATGTGGCTTTCTGCTGCTGAGTATCATGTGTTGCAGAATGTGTTGGCTGCCTGAATCTCTGTTACCTCTCCTCTCACGGGATCTGGGCTGCTGACCACAGCCGATTCCACCACAGCTGGGTGCTCTATCAAGGCGCTCTCCACTTCAAATGGGCCGATACGATACCTAAGAGACAGAAGGAAGGGGATGTCACTCCTGCGCCTTTTGTCGCTTAATAGCACAGGTCAAAGGGGGAAAGCCAACCGAACTGAACCTACCCGGCAGAATTAATCAGATCATCTGATCTTCCGACAAACCAGAAATAGCCTTCTTCATCTTTAATCCCTCTGTCTCCAGTGACATAAAAATCACCACGCTCGGTGGCTGCGGTTTTCTCAGGGTTATCCTGACAACAACCAAACATCGTTCAATATGTTTTCACCAATGCCTGCTGGTCTGTCCCTTTTGGCAATGGTTCCCCAAGACAAAAGAGCAAGGTGATTTGCTCTTGGTTTGATTACTGCCACAAAAAATGCTGACTCCAGATCTCAGTGAGCCCTTGAATGAGAGGCTCTCCCTTCCTTCCTTCCCTGAGTGGGTCATCCCTCCTTCTCTTTGCTACCTCTGCAGCCTATTTGCTTGTACTGTCCACCAGAGTCTAAACCAAACCACCACCCAAAGGGAAGAGGGCAAGATGAGCAAAGGATGCTGCTCAAACTCCTTGCTCTCGTCAAGACAGGAGAGGGCAGGTGAAGAAGCAGAAACAGCAAGGCAGAGGAGGAGCAGAGCCAGGAGGACGAATAGAGTTGGCAGTGGGTCCCATGCTGGGATGTGGGCCTTGTCAGCTGCCTGATAACACCCACCCCTGACAACAGCCAAGTTTGCAGAACTACATGTCTGTGAGCATCAGGAACAAAGGAAACTCCCTTATAATAGGATCAGGTTATTGATCCACCTAGCTTAGTATTGTCTCCACTGATTGGCAGAAGCTCTCCAAGGTTTCAGACAGAGATCTCTTCTAGCCTTATCTAGAGACACTGGGGATTGAACCTTAGATTAGCATGCAATTAGATCCATATCCAACCTTAATACACTGCATGTTGTACTACCACTGGACCCTGTAACATAGCAAAAATCTAGACCTGGAGCTAAATGCAACTGATGTCCTCAGCTTGGTTGCAAAGTGAAGCTGTTCTATCTATCAGAACGTTATTGACGTGCTAAAAATAATACTTACTAAGTACCGTGAGAAAAGGCAAAATGGTCGCTTTGGCTTGACTCTGATAGCAATGTCCCCTTCTACCCCCGGAGGCTGAATTTTGCCTTCATCATCCACAATCTGTAGAAGCAAAAGATAAAAAAAAGCTTATATTGTTTCAGCCAACCAGTGTTGATTTAAAAGTCACACACATATCTCCACGAACAATGGTACACTTCATGGTTTGGCTCGGTTCTCAATGGCTCTCATTAAGATAGATATCTCTGCTTGCTCCCAGGGTTCCATTATAGGCCAGTATATCAAGAAATGGGAAATGAATTAGAATATTTAGATTAGTGATGGTGGGAATACGTTCCCAGTGATTTCCATTAAGTTCTATGGAATACAATTTAGAAACCCATTCCCGCCCCACCAAATCAGTTTTGGAAGTAAGGAAAGTGACAGGAAGATACACTTGAAAATGTGGGACTTCCTTGATGCAGTGTTGCCCAACCACCTCACAGCAAAGTAGAACAAATACTCAGTAAACAGCGGACATCATTAAACCTCCCTGCAAACTCTGTACAAACAAATCAAGGTGAGAGCTCAACAAACAGGTTGCCCAGTCTTCAGACAGACACCAGTCTGGTAAGTTTATATTCGTCCTTGTACCTGGACATCATACGGTGGAGACGCCACTCCCATGGAGCCCGGTTTGATTTTCATTCCTTTAACATTTGTACAGATGGCTACCTGTAAGAGCAGAGAGAGAAAAAACAAAGCCAAATAACATTTGGGAGTTTTCACTAGTTTGGGAGGGTAATAAGCCCTCTCCATTGCTGCTTGAGCAGAAAATATTGCCTAGTCTCCAATCGCCCCCAAAATGTCAGGACCATCACGAAAACCCTTAAGCCATCAGGGCTTCTCACTTTGTCATGCAGAGTCCTGAATTCCCAAATGCAAGCCTTTACTCCCCCGGCTGCTTCAAAACAAAAACAGATAGGAAATATAGATAGACGCAGTTTTTTGTCTGGGAGCAAAAGGGCTACAGAAGTGTATATATACAGAGGCAATTTTTGTGTTTCATACTCAGCCCACTGGCATGCAGCCCCCGGAAGTTTTCTCAGAAAAGGCTGGGCTGAAAAGGCCTTCCCCACACCACCCTTGATTTAAAAGATCTATCAACTGCATTGTGGTGAGTTTGCCAGATGCACAGCCATGCCAGAATGAAGATAAACATACTGTTTCTGTTTGTCCATAGCCTTCATAGATATCCACCCCTGTGTGGGTTTTCCATCGCTGCAGCACCTCTGCGTTGAGCGGTTCCCCTCCTGTCACACAATGCTCCAGGCTTAGGAATTTGTAGCTTGATAAGAAATGGCGACAATTAGTAAACCCACAAGTGAGGCTTGCATCCATGGGTGCCTACAATAATTTTTCAAGGCAGGGGTAGCGGGCAGACAAAGTGAAACTGAAAGCGAGGAACAGGCTAATTTTAAAGAGAGAGAGAGAGAGAGAGAGAGAGAGAGAATGCTGTCTGTATGTTTTGTCTCAGGTTCTATGCATTTACTCTTTTTTTAAAAAATGAAAGGTAGTAACCGAGGGGTTATGATTCATCCAGGAGCAGCAACTGCCCGCCCCGCCCATGGACACCCATGACTGCAGTGGGAAATGTTGCAGTGGGAAGTGTTCCTGCTCACTCAGCCATACTCTCCCCAAAACTTCCATGATTTATAATGGAAACACAGCACTATCTGGAAAAAAACCCCTATTTACTCTACAGGAAGTTACTGAACATAGAGAGCTGCCTTAACAGAGCCAGCCCACTGGTCCATCTCACTCAGTAGTGTTTTCACTGACTGGCAGCAGTTCTCCAGGGTTTCAGACAGGGGTGTCTCCCAGCCCTACTTGCCGATGCTGGGGATTGGGGCCTTCTGCATGCAAAGCAGATGCTCCACTTCTGAGCTCCGACCCTTGGGACGGGGAATCCCAATCAGCGCGAGGGACACAAACCCTCCTGAGGGCAACAATCTGGAAGGCACCCATCAGCTCACGCAGGACATTTCCCCTTTTACCAGTTAGCCCAGTGAAAAGTACCTGGCAAGATCCTGCTGCACCAACATACGGAATCCTGTAGGAGCTGTGCAGAAAATGGTGATTGGGTATCGGGCAAGGGTCTAGATAGAGACAATCAAGATCATCAAACCCTTTATTGGCATCACGTACAAACATCCATAGCAAATCAATACGGAATTACCACCTTCCCAGTGACACAAAACGTTTGTCAAATGAAAGAGGCAAAGCAGTCTAACATTACATCTCTAGGTCTCCAGGGAGATCAGACATCTGCAATGTGTTTCGATGACAAAAAAATCAGATAAAGATATTTAGCTGCTAACTTGGTGAGCTCCTGATTATTCCCCAATAATAGAAAATGTAGGACTTCTAACTCTGGTTTCCATTTGGGGATGCAGAGTTGATCTAGGAACTGCTGGTGGAGATCAACATATAGTTTATATTTAAGAACCATATCTGTAAGAGTTTCCACCTGATGGTCTTCACATTGGCAAATTCTTTCTCCTTCCACCATTCCCAAGAACCTTCCCCATAGGAGGTTTGAAGGATTTGAATTAAACCTGCCCTTCTTTCTTGAGGATTAAGCAAAAATTCAAGATAATTGTGGTTAATTTCATGTGCCCAAGAAAGTTGAAAGTTAAGAGGGGAACATGTTTTCTCTGCTGCTGCTGTTAGTTCCTGGCATTCAATGTCCCACAACCTAGTTTTTATTATAGCCTTGGTAGATGGTGCAGACATTGATCATAAAAATTCCACTGACAGCCCAAGTTGTTGTACCTTATCTATGTAGGCCATAATGCATATCTTTATAACAAGAGGTAATTCGCATATCCCCTCTGCCCTCAAGGTCTTCAACGCCAAAGTTATAGCTCAATTGCTCTACGGAATTCCAGTCTGGCTGCCAGGGTTTACCCAGCTGGTAGAATGAGTGCAGGCAGCTTTCCTTCTTAAGATTTTTGCTGTCCCACGTTGTGTACCCTATGCAGCCTTGTGTCTAGAGGGAGGTCAACACAAGGTAGAGCCCGTAGCCTGGGCGAGATTTCTCACAACAGATAAAGATCCTCTCCTTAGAACAATAAGCTTCAATCACCAATATGTGCACTTTGAATTGGGCCCCGAAGACAAATGTGCAACCAGTTCAGCTGTTTTAAAACAGGATTTATATACATTGGTACCTTGATTTAAGACCATAATCCATTCCAGAAGTCCGGTCTTAAAACAAAGCAGACTTAAAACAAGGCGCACTTTCCCATAGAAAGTATTTGAAAATGGATTGATCCATTCTAGACAATGAAAAACACCCCCTAAAACAGCAATTTAACAGGAATTTTACTGTAATGAGACCATTGATCCATAAAATGAAGGCAATAATCAATGTAAAGGTAAAGGTACCCCTGCCCATACGGGCCAGTCGTGACCGACTCTGGGGTTGCGTGCTCATCTCGCTTAAGAGGCTGGGGGCCAGCGCTGTCCGAAGACACTTCCGGGTCACGTGGCAAGCGTGACGAAGCTGCTCTGGCGAGCCAGCACCAGCGCAGCGCATGGAAGCGCCGTTTACCTTCCCGCTATAAAGCGGTACCTATTTATCTACTTGCACTTAAGGGTGCTTTCGAACTGCTAGGTGGGCAGGAGCTGGGACCGAACGACAGGAGCTCACCCCGCCACGGGGATTCGAACTGCCGACCATACGATCGGCAAGTCCTAGGCACTGAGGTTTTACCCACAGCACCACCCGCGTCCCCCAATAATCAATGTACTGTACTATAAAATAAATACAGTGGTACCTTGGGTTAAGTACTTAATTCATTCCGGAGGTCCGTTCTTAACCTGAAACTGTTCTTAACCTGAAGCACCACTTTAGCTAATGGGGCCTCCTGCTGCCACCGCGCCGCCGAAGCACAATTTCTGTTCTTATCCTGAAGCAAAGTTCTTAACCTGAAGCACTATTTCTGGGTTAGCGGAGTCTGTAACCTGAAGCGTATGTAACCAGAGGTACCAGTGTATGATGGGGGGGGGGGGAATAACATGATGATAGTCATTGTTTGGATGGGGGGCTTTTATCCATTTCTACAGTCACACAATCAACCAGTAGCTGAACTGGGTTCCACACAGTCACAAAGACAAGTCACAAAAACGAAGTCACAAGCCACAGTCACAGGTCAGTCCCATAAAACGAAGTCACAGTCAAAAACCCGAAAAAGCCACACAAACCAAAACACAAAAAAAATAGCAAAAACAAAACCTCCAAATATCACTGTGTTCCGTGGGTGCTCAGGAGTCAACAGCTGGCAGACTCAACAGGAAGCCTCTGATTAGCAGCGAGGGACTCAATTAACAAATGAAACACCCTCAATGGGAACCAGATGATGGAAAGCGACCCCTAAAACAGCAGCAGGGCCCGACTTATATATAAAAAATGACTCAACCCGGAGCACTCATTTCCGGGTTGCAATTGGACTTAGTCCAAAACGGATTTATAATAGACTGGAATTTAGTCAAGGTACCACTGTACAAGCTCCAAGCAGAACCACAATCAGTAACTCGGTTGCTGCATTTAGGGTCAACTGAAGTTTCTGAACCATCATCAAGGGCACTGCAATGCCCTGCACGCTTACGTTCAGTACGATGGCGGGTTCGAATTGCGGCAGGCGATGTACAAAGACGCACGACCCATTGAGCCACGGACCGAAAACACCACTCCAGGTCGTCTTAATCCATCCTGGGTCCGACGTATTCCAGAATATAGCCGAAGGAGACAAATCCATGCAGCGCCTATGTAAGTGGAAAAGGAGCAGAAGACGTGGAACTAGTTGCTGACTCAGGGCATCAGGATTCTGGGAAGCAGGTTACAGAATGACTCAGCAAAAGTGCTGCAAATCAGGCTGAAGGAGGCAGAAGGTGAGTCGGCTAAAAAGTGCAAAGTCCATACAGGTGGTGAACTGTAGAGCAGCGAGCCACCGACAACGGAAAACTGCCACTAAGCATTACAAAACACTCCATTTAATAATGTTGAGAAGATACCAATGTAGATCCTTCAAAAGTAAGCCAAATCGTATTCTTCCTCCATCCCTACTGACCAGGGGAAGGGCTTAGAATATAGCTCAGTAGCCCCATCCTATTCCCCACACCTGTCATTAGAGGATCCCCAAAGAAAGGCCCAATCCAGAATGCCATGACTCATCCATTCCCTGCTTTTGCTACCATAGCCCTTTTTAAGCTTTACCTGGCGGCAGTTATCAATCCAATGCCGTGGCAGCAGTGGGAATGTTCCACCATTTTGGGAGCTCCCGTGGTTCCGCTTGTAAAGTAAATGGCCATTGTGTCCTCGCTCTTGGTCTTTGCGCAGTCGTGGTCGGCAGGCGCTGATCTTAAAAAGCAATCACATCGCATGGCATTGGCAGGCAACACTTTCCCCTTCCACAGCAGCCACACACATCATGAGCAGAACCTAGCAGCTGGAATCCTGCACCCATTTGGTAACCCTTGGCAGAAATCCAATGGGTCATTGGCCACATTCACACCATAGGCTGAAAGAACTATGGTACTACTTTCAAATTATTATTATTATTATTATTATTATTATTATTATTATTAATAATAAAATTTATGTACCACCTTTATCTTCCAAGGATCTCAAGGTGGTGTACATGGTTCTCCTCCTCTCCATTTCATCCTCACAACAACCTGTGAGGTAGGTTATGCTAAGAGACGGTAGTGTTAAGTTGTGGGTGAACATATCAGACGACACAGCGATTCTTCAAACAGCTCTTGTTTATTCACAGGCCAGGACAGAACTGAACTGACGGGTTCAGTCAGCCTGCTTATATAGAGCTCCAGTACAACGTAACTGTAACAGTTTTCTAAAACTATCCAATCACTGAACGTCACTTTCGATCCCTTATTTGCATAACTATCTACAGTATCCCCCTGCTGGCCCAGGGTGAGAACTTCAGTACATAACAGGTAGCTAGCTCAAGGTCACCCTCTGAGCTTCATGGCTGAATGGGGATTCGAACCCTGCTCTCCCAGTGGCTGAATGCCTCCCCTCTCACCAACTCGGCAGGAGGAGAGCTCTGCTGCCAGCTCCTCTCTGCCTCTAGAGCCCAGGGAGACTGGTGGCAGAAAAGGCACGCCACCCCTTGGGGGTTGCTGCCTGACGCAGATGCCTCACCCAGTCTGATGGGTGGTCCAGCTCTGCTATTAAGTATAAATTAAAAGTGAAAACGGATCCCATGTTGCAGCTTGGGAAGTCAGACCTGGGTATTAATCTGGACCAGCTGAAGACCACTGATCTAAATAATATCTCTACTGCTATCGATTCATGTCTGTTGCAATGCTTACTGGACGAGATCCCTGAAGTTCATCCAGCCATCTCTGCTGCTGTCGGAAACAAGAAGCTTGGTTTTCAGAGACTTGCATTCAGACAGGACTGAGTCCACTGCAGGGGCCAACGTGTCGCTGACCACGATGCATTTGGCTTTGGAAGCCTGGAGCCTGTAGGAGATGTCTTTGGCAGTTAACTGGGGCGTCCCTGGGATGAAAACAATGCCTAGAAAAGAAGCAGAGAATGTCGTGAGCAGGAAACCCAGAAAGTCTCCATGCTTGGGAAGGCTGCACACACAGTGGTGTCTCATTCTAAGGTGGTGTAGTGGTTAGAGCAGCTATGGAGAACTTTGGGTCCTTCAGATGTTCTGTCAGCCCCAAGCAGTATGGTCAATGTCCAGGACTGGGGGGAGTTGCTGTTTTATTCATTTATATTTTATTAAATTTCAAAAATTTAATATACACTCCAATACATAATGAATTTTTCTTTTGTTTTATTGGCTTCCCACCCTGTTTTCCATGGTGTTTTTATTATTATTATTTCTCCCCTATGCTGCACCTTATCTCCTCTCTCTTATATCATAACAACAATACAATAATCTTTAATTCCTTCTGTTCCACATAGTTCAAATCCTGATCATGAATTTATCATACTATAATATTTATTTCAATAATCCAAAAGAGGCTTCCACTCTTCCACAAATCAATCATCATTGGGTTCTCTTATTTTAGCTGTTAGGGGCTGATGGGAGTTGTAGTTCAGCAATGCCTGAGGGCCCAAAGGTTCCCCATTCCTGGGCTAGACTGTTGGACTACCTCTGGGGAGACTGAGGTAAAAATTCCCAGTAAGCTGTCAAACTCATTGGGCCAGTCACTATCTCTGAGGCTAACCTTCCTCACATGTGGAGAAAATGGCGGGGGAACAATTTTTTGAGTCCCAGCATTCCTAGGAGGAAGAGGGGCAACTTAGACCCTGCAAAGCAGGTATAGGGGACCATTTTCAGCCAAAGAGTCACATTCCTGTCTGGACAGCTTTCTGAGGGACACCTGACATTGGTGGGTGTGGCCAAGGGCTTAAGTGGGAAGAGCAAAACCTGCAAACTCCACACCTTCTCACACCCTTCTAGATCCTCTTTCCAGACAAGCAAGAGGCATCATGGGAGTTCAAGGACACATCCAGGGGTGTGGCCAGGGAGAATTCCTGGGGCCAGATAGAGAGGCTTAGAGGGCCATGTTTGCCTCCCAAGCCTGAGGTTCCCCACCCCTGCAGTGAATAAATAAATAAATAAAATACTTATCCGTTCTAAAAAATGCAGACATCTGAAGCTAGCCAGGAACATGGGTTTCATCGCTTCTGCAGCTTCTTCTCCCTCCCACACAGTAATTTATTTTAAAAGTGAAATCTTGATTTCGGTAATGCTTTTGACCAGGCATCCCCAAACTCGGCCCTCCAGCTGTTTTGGGACTACAATTCCCATCATCCCTGTCCACTGGTCCTATTAGCTAGGGATGATGGGAGTTGTAGTTCCAAAACAGCTAGAGGGCTGAGTTTGGGGATGCCTGCTTTTGACAATGTTCCCCATGGTATTTTTTCAAGGAAGCTGGTAAAATGTGGGATTGAACGAATGTAAATTGTTAGGTGGATCTGTAGCTGGTTGTCTGACCAAACCCAAAGAGTACTCATTAATGTCATGGATTCTTTAGCTGAGATCCCTGCAACGCATGCCCTTTCCTCCCAATTTTTCCGCAAATTGTGTTGCTGTTTTTTTGTCAAGCTGTTAGTGGAGAATATTTGTCTACTGCTAAATCTTCTCACTGGGCAAGACAGCACTTTTTCTGGGGAGGGGGGCCCTCTCTTTTCTTTCCCCGAATCTTGACTGACCTGTCCGGATACAAGCCACATTCATCAGCCACCATTCGGGAAGCTTTGGAAGAACCACCATGACCCTGTCGCCTTTCTGCAAGCCGCAGGGATCGGCCAGCATGTTGGCAGCTTTCCGGGATAAGACTCCCAGCTCCTCAAAGCTCCACTTCACCTCTTTGCTCTGGTCGTCCACCCACCAGAACGCTGGGTTCGGAGGCCTCTTTCCATCCTAGCAGAGAAGACGTGATTAACAACCTAATCCACAGAGCCATTTTATATGTATGAATCATATAGCAGTGTGTGGTCAGTTGCGGCCGATGGAGGACCTTCGGTGAGAGATATGGAAATATCGAGTCTCTAGGACTTGGAGGAGAATGGAACTATCCCAGGTCAGAGCTGGGAGGAGCAGGAGCTACTGTTTTCTGTGAGTGGTAAGGGCCGAGAATTACTTTTAAGAGAGGACTCCATATTTTACTTATTTGATTTGTATTTTCTGTAGTTGTAATCTTACTGTATTATGGGGAATGCTTCATTTTTTTTAAATAGGCAAAGAAAAAGGAAAGCAGTGGTGGGTGTGTGGGTGTGTCTGTATGCACGTGATACCTAGTGCCAGGATCTTGCTTCTGTGCTGCTGTTTCCAAAGTATTTTTTACTAATTTTCAAGGATGTACAACAAAATATAACTAGACAGCTAAAGACAAGCAATGAACATCAGCAGGCATCAACACCCCTGGCAATCTTGCCAGCAGTCAGGTAAGTATTAATGTTGTTGTTGTTGTTGTTGTAATCATCATCATTATTACAATAAATCATTTATTACTCTCCCTTGACCCTAAGGTCCTAGGATGGGTTATAGCATTAAAAGCAAAATTTAAAACAACTTCATGTCCTTCATGTCAGGTAGCTGAAAAAAGCAACCATTTTTCTCTATTCCTGTCAGCGCCATTACTTTGCGGGTTATTTCCTCAGCTGCAGCCTACCTCCATATATTTTTATGTCGCAGGCCTACATCATAGGAATGCAAGATGCCTTAGAAAGAGCCAGTCCATTGGTACATCTATTCTGGTTTTCTCTACACTGATCAGCAGGAGCTGTCCGGGTTTTCAGGCAGGGGACCCTCCTAGCCCTAACTGGAGATGCCGGGAATCGGACGCAGGACTTTCTGTGTGCAGAGGTAGTATCACTGAGCTAGAGCCCTTCCCTTAAGTGGCCTTCCCCCACCTATGTTTGAGAGAAGGAACACAGGAAGCCGCCTCAGGCAGAGTCAGACCATTGGTCCATCTGTCTCAATATTGTGCTGCAGCAACTGTCAGAAGCTCTACAGGGATTCAGATGGAGGTCTGTCTGAACCTGAGGCCTTCTGCATGTAACGCTTAATCACTGAGCTACAGCTGAAGTCAGCAGAGGGAACAAACGGCGATTAAGGCAAGGGGCTTCAACCAGTGTTGAAGCAATGATTCTTCAACATCAGCTTTGTTGGACTGGTCATGTTGCGCTGATGCCTGATGATCGTCTTCCAAAGCAACTACTCTATTCCGAACTTAAAAATGGAAAGCGTAATGCTAGTGGTCACCAAAATAGGTTTAAAGACTCTCTCAAGGCAAATCTAAAAAAAATGTAGTATAAACACTGACAACTGGGAAACACTGGACTGCAAGCGCTCCAGTTGGAGAACAGCCTTTACCAAAGGTGTCATGGGCTTTGAAGACACTCAAACTCAGGACACAAGGGAGAAATGTGCTAGGAGGAAGGCACATTTGGCAAATCCACACCTTGATCAACTCCTGCCCGGAATCCAATGTCCCCACTGTGGAAGGATGTGTGGATCCAGAATTGTCCTCCACAGTCACTTATGGACTCATTGTTAAAACAGTGTTTATGGAAGACAATCTTACTCGGCTACGAGTGATCGCCAAAGAAGAAGAAGAAGAAGAAGCAGGCATTTTGGAGGAGGATGCTCCTGACACAAGAATCAGGCAGTCTGGGAGGGTCGAATCCAAGATTACCCTGCATCTTGCAGTTTGGGGAACACATCCCTGAACGAAGCCACCGGCCTCTATGCTTTGCTTTCAACCATGTTACAAAAAATTATTTTGTATATTATTGATGTTTCAAATGCCTCCTGTGAAATATGTTGCTATGTGGAATACTTAGTAACTTCTCCTCTTTAAATGAGAATATGGTAAGACTTTGAAGGCATCCTGATATTTATGAATAAAAGAAACGCTTTAAAAAAATATTACTACCCTCAAACACCAGCAATGCTAATCAAAATATTTCCCTCCAGGGAATGTAAATGAAACAACCCAAATATATATATATATTCTTTTAAAAAAATCATTCAGTTGCATTGTTTTTCTTTATTCTTGTGCATTATTGAAGCATTTGTTCTTGATGCAAGTCTTAATCGGTTTTTAGTAGTCTATTGCTATTTCAAAATTTCAAAAAACCCAAGTTATGGTTGTTCATTCTTATTGATAATTTGTTTGATCTGTTTTATACACCTCTTTGGGGGTTGTTGTGGTGCTGGTGGTGGTAGTTGTTACAATCAAGAGGTGTATAAACTTTGTGAAGTATATAAAAGTTACTATTGTTTAATTTTAATTTTTATTTAAAAAAATAAAGTCTCAGGTTCCTCTGTGCTCCAGGGAGACCAAGTGCAGCACCACAGTACTATTAACACCCGGTTTTCCTACCTGTTCCCCCAAACAACCAAACCCCTACCTTTTCCTCTTGGGTCCACCTGTCCAGAACATCCCTGGCAAAATTAAAGTACTCAGGCACATCCAGTTCACCATGGTTTATAGCTTCGTAATGGGAGATGATCGGAGAGGTCAGGTGTCTCTTGGCTTGGCGAAAGAGAGTGCAAGGAGGCGGCCGCAGGCTCCAGAAGCATCGAAGCAAGGTCTTCATGGCAGCTTGAGGGCATCAACCAGCTTGATCTCTCTGCAGTGACATGTTTTTAAAGCATAAAAACCCTGAAGATTCTGTAAGCCTCAATGCAGTCAATATAGCAGCAGAGCCACAACCTTATGGATCCCAAACACAGGAAACCGACTTATATTGAGTCCATCTAGCTCAGTGTTGTCTACACAGACTGCCAGCAGCTCTCAAGGGATGTTCTCAGCCCTATGTGGAGATGTCAAGGATTGAACGAGGGGCGTTCAGCACGCAAAGCAGATGCTCTACTCCTGAGCTGCCGTCCTTCCCAAATCGATTAGCTCATCTCCCAAACTCCACCCTGCAAAATGGATGAGTGATGTTTGTGCAGGACGCCCTGTTTTCACATGCTGCAAATGTCTCATATATGTACAAAGAAGAGAGGAGGAGCTGACTCCCGATTTTCTGAGGGTCCTTGGCTAACAAAGTACAGTAAAGGTAAAGGGACCCCTGACCATTAGGTCCAGTCGTAAACCGACTCTGGGGTTGCGCGCTCATCTTGCTCTATAGGCCGAGGGAGCTGGCGTTTGTCCGCAGACAGCTTCCGGGCCATGTGGCCAGCATGACTAAGCCACTTCTGGTGAACCAGAGCAGCACACGGAAACGCTGTTTACCTTCTCGCCGGAGCGGCACCTATTGATCTACTTGCACTTTGATGTGCTTTCGAACTGCTAGGTTGGCAGGAGCAGGGACCGAGCAACGGGAGCTCACCCCGTCACAGAGCCAACCTTCTGATCGGCAAGTCCTAGGCTCTGTGGTTTAACCCACAGCGCCACCCGCGTCCCGTGGCTAACAAAGTATACAAGGCTAAATAGACAGCTAAATAAACGGCTAAATAAACAGAAGGAAATGAGAGAGTCAAAGAGAGTTTCACAATATCGCCCTGCATCACGTGGGAAATGCTTTTATGTAAGCAAAGTAAGGTACACGATATTGAGCAGGGGCAGGGGATGGAGCAAAGCCAAGCCATCCAAATTACCTGACTGAAATCTCTCGAACAATCGTGGTGCAATCACATTGGAGCAGAGCAGACGCCACCCTCTCCACCAAGGCCCCCCTGCCCAAAGAATCACAAAATTGTAGAAATGGAAGGGAATGCCAATGGTCATCTTGTTCAACCCCCTGCAATGAAGAAAGCCCAGCTAACAAATCCCCGACAGATGGTCATCCCATCTCTGCTTAAATACCTCCAATGATCGAGAGTCCACCTTTTAAAGATGCTTGCAATGGTGTCCACTGGTCATCCTAAACCGAGTAGACCCATTGAAATCAATGGGCACGGCTAGTTCAATGGGACCGCTTTCGATAAAACTTTGCTGGAAGCAACCCTTTGCAGCTCAGCTTCCATCATAACACAGAGCAGGGATTTCCAGGCAACCGGTTCATTGCACTTAGGGGACACTGTGTCAAAACGAGTGCATTGCAGGGGGTTGGACTAGATGGCCCTCGGGGTCCTTTCCAACTCTACAGTTCCACGATTGTAAGTGTTCTCTCACACTGTCCAAGAGCACTTCCCCATCACTTCGCTTCCTGCAAAACTTTGGAATAACCTCCTGCCCAGACATATGCAAACTCGGCCCTTCAAATGTTTTAGGACTACAACTCCCATCATCCCTAGCTAACAGGACCAGGGGTCAGGGACGATGGGAGTTGTAGTCCCAAAACATCTGGAGGACCGAGTTTGCCTATGCCTGCTCCTGCCTGACAGAAACCCTGGAGAGCTGCTGCCAGTCGGTGAAGACAACACTGGGCTAGATGGACCATTGGTCTGCTTTGCGATAAAACAGCTTTGATGTTCTACAGTCCTCTGTGGATCTGTGTGCTCTGTGTGGACATAGACAAGCTTTCCTCCTTTTCCCATCCCACTAGACCCCCATGGACGCGGGTGGCACTGTGGGTTAAACCACAGAGCCTAGGACTTGCCGATCAGAAGGTCGGCGGTTCGAATCCCTGCGACAGGGTGAGCTCCCGTTGCTCGGTCCCAGCTCCTGTCAACCTAACAATTCGAAAGCACGTCAAAGTGCAAGTAGATAAATAGGTACTGCTCCGGTGGGAAGGTAAACGGCGTTTCCGTGTGCTGCTCTGGTTCGCCAGAAGCGGCTTAGTCATGCTGGCCACATGACCTGGAAGCTGTACGCAGGCTCCCTCGGCCAGTAAAGCAAGATGAGCACCGCAACCCCAGAGTCGGCCACCACTGGACCTAATGGTCAGGGGTCCCTTTACCTTTACCTTTACCTTTACCTAGACCCCCGTGAACATCCAAGGATGCTGAATTTTGGAAGATTTGGTGCAGACGTCTGCGAGAACAGGATGCTGGATGGGCCACTGGCCTGATCCTACATCTTCTTATGCCCTATGATTGCGCAAGCTGTATTGGCAGGCATGCGACTGAATCCCACCGCGAAGCAGTCCAGAGTTCACTGACCTTGGCTTTTTCCTCGGGGGACTCCGCGCAGAGCCAGGGAGGCGGCCAAGGAAACTCCACCGGACTAGTCCGTCCTCCTCTGCAACAAGTGCCTGGGCGGGCCAGCCTCTTCCCCCAAGGCAGGCAGGGACGGCCCCTTCCTCTTGGCGCGGGGCGAGTGGCGCCGTCGAGGGATCGAGATCAGCCAAGTTGCCTCCGCCAAGTCCGTCCAACAAACTGTAGGCAACGGCGTAAGTGTCTCCCCTCCCTGCTCCTCCTCCTCCTCCTCTCGCCCTGGGCGGTGCTGCTGCTGCTGCTCGCTGAACTTCGCGGAGGCCGAGATCGGGGTAATCGAACAGCTTCCGACGTGGCGGGGCTGCTTTCTCGCTTTCGCTTTCTTTGTCCCAACTTTCTCTCGTCCAAGCGCTTCGGCGGCGGCCCCAGAGCGCGCAGCCTTTCGCTTGCTCGCTGCTGCCACACTTCGGGCAGATTGCTCGTTGAAAGAAAGGCAAACACAGTTGATGTCGAATAATTCTTTTTAAGGGGTTTCTTAACCGACCTTCACTATGAGGTCCCAGGGCAGGTCACAACAACAACCATTATTAGTAGTAATTAAATAATAATTAATAATTAGTTTATTAATTATTAATAATTAAATAATAATTAATTAGTAATTGGGCTATGTGATCCCCGCAGCCCCTTCCAACTCTACAATTCTGTGATTCTGTGAATATTCCATGTTAAAACAAACCCAAATAAAACCATTGCAGTTATACAGGTGTTTCCAAATGGGACAGAATGGTATTTTGTTTGAACCTAATTTCTTTTGTAAAGTCCCTTAAGGCTGGACAAACTGGTTTCTCCACAATAAATCCTAGCATTAACCTGGAACAATATTCATTTCTTTGTAGTTGGCATCCTCCCTGCTTAAAGCCCACTTCTAGGTTTTGTAATCTTTAAAAAGCATAGTTCCGAGAGAAGACATCCTAAGGAACATTGGGGTCTGGCCCAGCTATGTTGTTGTTGTTGCGGTGGTGGTGGTTGTGGTTGTCCCACTCTTCTGCCACACAAAGGCTCCCACAGCGGCTTAAAAGATCAGTGAAAAAAGACAGTCCCTTCCCTCAGGCTCACAACACAAAAGGAAAAAGGGACTGGGAGGGAGAAGGGAGAAAGAACAAGCTCAGGCACGAATTCTTAGTAACAAACTCTTGCAGGTAACAGCAGGAATAGAAAGAAGCCAAAAAGTTGCTCGTTTTTCAGCAGATGCCATGGAGAGACCTTGCCATTTCATCCCTCTCCCTCTCAGCCTGATGAAATAGCTGCTATAGATGCAAGTTCAAGGAGGAAGATCTCTAGATAAAGTAGCTGTTTCTGGAGGGTTTTACTCATGAGTAGACCAGCTGGCTGGGGGTGTTTGGGCCTGCTGCTCGACATGAGAGAGATAGTGGAGAAAATCCAGTACCCTGTTCAGTTTTTACCCTTGTGGAAAAGTGTAACTAATTTAAAAAGTTTTTGAGGAGCCTGCTAACTGTTGTGTTCCTTCTGCAAGCACAGTTGCATTTGACCTGGATTAACCCTGGCCATGTGAGGACAAGGCAAGGAGAAGAAGAACTTTGAGTGGGTTATTTATAAGTGACTGTTTAGAGTAGTTTAATTATCAATCCCTCTTCGCGAGGAACTCAGAATTATAGCTCTGTGAGGGGAATAGGGTCTTCTAACAATACTCAACACCTTTAACCAGTGCTTTTTTCTGGAGGGACACAGGGATACGCATACCCCTCAACATTTTGTGAGTCTTTGTACTTTTGTCCATTTACTGTATTTATTTTTCCCAATTTGAAGTACAGTGGTACCTCAGGTTACATACGCTTCAGGTTACAGACTCCGCTAACCCAGAAATAGTGCTTCAGGTTAAGAACTTTGCTTCAGGATGAGAACAGAAATTGTGCTCCGGCAGCGCAGCAACAGCAGGAGGCCCCATTAGCTAAAGTGGTGCTTCAGGTTAAGAACAGTTTCAGGTTAAGAACGGACCTCCAGAACGAATTAAGTACTTAACCTGAGGTACCACTGTACAGTCATACCTCTTGTTACGTTCGGTTCAGGTTACGTGCTTTCAGGATACGTCCTGCGGCGACCCGGAAGTAATGGAACAGGTTGCTTCCGGGTTTCACCGCTCGCACATGTGCAGATGCTCCAAATGGCGTCATGCGCAGAAGTGGTGAATCGCGACCTGCGCAGATGCGGGTTGCGTTCTACTCATATTGCGAATGGGGCTCCGGAACCAGAGGTACCACTGTATAAAATTGTGATTTTCTTGAGTTAAAATGACAGTACCCCTAAACATTTTTTTTAAAGCATTGCCTTTAACAAACCACAGCTTCCAGGATTTTGGGGGTGAAAGCCATGACTGTTTAGAGTGGTAACATATCACTTAAAATGTATGCAGTGAATGTGGAAGAAGAAGATGATAACTACCCTACTATTCCTTTCTGTTTCTTCCCCTTTGCCAATGTTGAACAGATGTGCACTGATAAAATGCACACAGCCTCAAAGACCGTATTTGTAACTATGATTATATCAAGATTCATTTGGGTGATTATGTGACCAATGGGCAGGAACACATGTGAGCATCTAGAAAACAAGTCAATCTTTATCTATCTTTCGCTCTTCTCTTTCACATATTGTGAGGCTATTTTCTCAAGGCGTGTTTTCAAATAACCCAGGAGAAAACGCCATAAATAACCCAGAATCTAAATAGGAGGGGAGGCTTGGTAGGGTTTGAGAAACAAAAACTTGGCTTCCATTCCTTTGTTTTAGCCCACTTTTCCTTGAAGTAACTCAGGATAGCAAGCATGATCCCCACCCTCCCGGCACAAAATGATCCCGTGTGGTAAATTAGGTTCAGAGATAATCTGAAGGTTTATATCAGGGCAGTTGTATGAACAAACACATCATTGTAGCTTTTCCTGTAGTGTTTTATAAATGTGGCTTTTGTAGCCTCCAGTTCTGGAATTTGTTGTAGACATTCTTCCAGTTTAAACCAAAACTCAGACGTGGGATGGAGGGCAGAACAAATCATTGGAACAGTAGAGAAAGGAACAAAAAAGATTCACTTGCCCATGACCAGTGTCATCATCCACAGCCAGCTTAGCCCAGAGGTCAAGGATGATGGGAGTTGTAGTCCACCCACAGAATACTGCACTAGAGCTCACTGACACTTCAGAGGTATAATGCAATGGAGCAGCCTTGCAGATGTTTTGGACTTCGGCTCCCATCAGCCTCAGCCAGCATAGTCAATAGTCAGGTGAAGAGGTGCAGATTCTACCTCAGTGATTTTGTTTACATGCCACGGATGTTTTAACACGTGGAATGTTTATTGTGTTTTCCAGATTTGCTTTCTAACCGGGTTTTTTGTTGTTGATGTTCTTAGGGGATGATTTTATTTATTTTTTTGCTAATTGTGTGGCTTCAAATGCAGATCTTTTATCATATTTTTGTATCTGATTTCCATTTGTAATGTTCTGTTTTGATAATCCTGTCATGTTTTAAGAGATTCTCCTGCCCCAAATAAAGAGCAGTATACAAACAAACAAACGAAGTGTGAATTATCATCCATTGGTTGCTTCTGACATCTCGTAAAGACATGCTTTCTCTCCAGAATTTTCTTGACCTGTAAGACTGCACCCTGTTATTACCTAACTCCTGTTTTTATTATACTGTTTTATTGTGTTTAGGTTTCATTTATTTATATATACTTAGAGATATTGTGGGGGGGAGGGTTTAGAAATGTTTTTGCAAAAAATAATAAAGAAGAAGAACGCTGAAATTCTCAGCGAGCTGAAGAAATCAGTATCTTCTCTGTTGTACAATGGTTTCCCTATGTATTTCAGGTAGGCAGCTCATGAAAAATGCACTGAATGTAATACACTGTGGAAGGCCTCACTATGGCGTGCATCACCTCGATGATATTATCGAAGGCCTCGGCCTTTCGAGCTCTCTGGCCTCTTCGCCTGTCTTCTTCCAGAAGTTTCAGCAAATGGCAGCTGGCCCTGGCTGCTCACAACTTTTCAGGCTACGAATCCATACAAGCACAATATAACCCAGAGGTGCCAGAATACTTCAACTTTGCAAAAGATGTGGTAGATAACTGGGCTGAGGCGGAAAAGGTAACATTTTCTGTCACTTTTCATGTCAAGTCTTTCAAATGTGGCGCATCAACACAGCAGTCTGGTTCGCACATAACACTAAGCCATGGTTTACATACCTTAGCAGTTTGGCCATGGTTTGTTAAAGACAAATTAACCATTCCTTGTTAGCCATGGTTTGTTGTTGGTTCATAAACTTTGTTTACTGTGGCTTGGTGTTACACAGAAACCTAGCCAGTGTGTGGTGGGTGTTTTAAATTCCATCCTATATTTCAATAGATCCTTTGCTCCAGTGTTGTTTGACTTCAACTGGCAGCATGCCCAATGTTCAGGGATGACGGGAATTGTAGTCCAACATCATATGGAGGGCCACAAGCTAGCCACTTACATTTTAGTACCCAAAACTGCACCATACGCCCTCAAAGAGGTATCAGCAGGCCTGAGGGATACAAAGTTTGTAGAAGTACAAAATATTTTTTGGGGGGGGGGACTCCTAAGGGGGGACAAAACAGACCACTGAGGACTGAGCATTCTCTGTGGGTTCAGAATGCAGATTGAGCGGACCTAGAAAACCAGTGGGGAGGGCAATGGAACGGAGTATCCTGGAAAAGGGTATAGCTGGCTGGTGCCTTTTAACAGGAGCATTACAATATTCTGGTGCTGGTCCCACTAGTAGAGACATCTACAAAGACAAAGCAAAGCAGGAAATGTCAAATTAACAAATTATTGACTTTAACTAGGGACAGGGCAGAAATTCAGCTCAATTCACATTCAAATACATCCTAAACTGCACTTTTCAAAACAACATATGGGACAAAACACTTTGAAATTCAAACTTTTGTGAGTTTTTCAGTGCCATTCTCTAGCCCAAGTAATGTTTAGAAAAATCAAAATACTAGGGTAAAGTGTGAATATGAATGCTTATATTAGTGGGCACAACAAACAAAAATGTATTGTATTAGGGAAGATTGCTTTATAAAATTGTACATATTGGGCAAAATTGCATCCAAAAACGTGGATAGTGAGAGAAATTTTGCTGAGGAATTTTCACGATAACTGATTTTTTTTTTAAAGTAAAAACTAAATTGCAAACTGATGTGTGAATAACTAAATCTAAAACTGAAACATGAGAAATAGAGAAACCAAAATTGACAGGCCTCTAGCTATAACCAGTACTTCATACTTGGCCATAAGAAGCGTTCTGCCAACTGAGTGTGGTTGCTTACAGCCAGCTGACTCTGTCATTCCAACAGGAAGGAAATCGACCGACAAGCCCAGCTCTCTGGTGGGTCAATGACCAAGGAGACCAAGTGAAGTGGAGCTTTGTGGAGCTGTCCCACGTTTCCAAAAAAGCGGCTAGAGTGCTCTCTGAGCAGTGTGGCCTGCAGAGGGGAGACAGAGTCATTGTGATCCTGCCACGGATTCCTGAATGGTGGCTCTTGAATGTGGCTTGCATGCGAACAGGTTAGCAGCATGCGGAGAAGTGCTGGTTGGTGGAGGAAGCAGGATGCGCCCTCCCCATGTGGGATCAGGATCAATCCCTTCCCATTTTTCTAGTTCAGGGGCTGACCTCTGCCTAAACACTTGAGCCATCCTTTCATGGATAATGTTCTTTATTTATACAGATGTTTTCCCCACCCTCTGCTTCTCTTCTACCCCCCGCCTACACTATACATTTAAAGCAGTATCAGACCACTTTAATCGGTCATGGCTTCCCCCCAAAGAATACTGGGAACTGTCATTTGTCAAGGGTGCTGAGAATTGCTAGCAGGCCCCTACTGTTAGAATTCCTGCTCCATGATTGTAGTCATGGGATTTTTGTCTATCACATGACATGGTATGTTTTGACTCCACAGGAGACAGGATGTTTGTGTTACTGTGTTCCGTGAACTGGGACTATTGTCCTTTGTTCATTCTCTTTGCTGTCTGATGCTAGAGAGGGGGGGAGCCATGTTGCAGTGCTCCGTGTGTGTTTATATGTAAATAAAGTAGATTAGCCAAAATGCTGAGTTGCTGAGGTCTGTCACGCAAGATGCGCAAACTCTGCGGATCCCTAAGTGTGCCGATGTCTGTTAACATTGGTTGCTGTGATGGTCAGGCTGAAGAAAGCTTTTGAAGCTTCCGAATGATTGACCAGGAGGGAGAGAACATGCCAGTCTTAAGCTGGAAACATGTGACATCATTTTTAATCTTCGTCATTTGGTCCCTCATTAGGAACCGTTCTTATTCCTGGGACAACACAGCTGACGGCAAAAGACATTCTCCACCGAGTCCAGACTTCAAAGGCCA